GGGCCAACTCCGGAAACGAGACTAGGAACGGAAGGAGCAGGACGTGTAGATGCGTTTTGCCGGGCCCAAAAAACGCATCTGGTGTGTTTCCGGGAGAGCTACTAATACTTCTATTACTACTACTGCCACTACGACTACTACTACTACCCCTCTACTGCTACCACTGCTACGACCACTACTACTACCACCACCACCACCACCACCACCACTACTACTACTACTACTACCACTACCACCACCACCACCACCAGTACTACTACTACCACTACTACTACTACTACTACTACCACTACTACTGCTATTACTACTACTACACGACTGCCAGCACGAAAACAGCACGAGGTCTAAATGCGTTTTGCCGGGCCGAAAAAACGCATCTAGCTTTCATGCTTGCCGAAAACCATGGTCCGGGGCCAACTCCGGAAACGAGCATAGGAACGGAAGGAGCAGGACGTGTAGATGCGTTTTGCCGGGCCCAAAAAACGCATCTGGCGTGTTTCCGGGCGAGCTACTAATACTATTACTACTACTGCTGCTACTACTACTACTACTACTACTACTACTACTACTCTTGTACTACTACTACTACTACTACTACTACTACTACTACTACTACCACTACTACTACCACTGCTACGACCACTACTACCACAAATGCTACGACAACTACTACTATCAGTCCTACTACTACTACTACTACTAGTACTACTACTACTACTACTACTACTTCCCCTACACGACTGCCAGCACGAAAACAGCACGAGGTCTAGATGCGTTTTGCCAGGCCGAAAAAACGCATCTAGCTTTCATTCTTGCCGAAAACCATGGTCCAGGGCCAACTCCGGAAACGAGCGTAGGAACGGAAGGAGCACGACGTGTAGATGCGTTTTGCCAGGCAAAAAAATGCATCTGTCGTGTTTCCGCGCGTGTTACCACTATTATTACCACTACCACCGCCACCACCACCACCACTACTACTACTACTACCACTACTACTACTACTGCTACTACTACTACTACTACTACTACTACTACTACTACTACTACTACTACTACTATTACTACTACTACACGACTGCCAGCACGAAAACAGCACGAGGTCTAAATGCGTTTTGCCGGGCCGAAAAAGCGCATCTAGCTTTCATCCTTGCCGAAAACCATGGTCCGGGGCCAACTCCGGAAACGAGCATAGGAACGGAAGGAGCATGATGTGTAGATGCATTTTTCGTGGCCGGGAAAACGCATCTGGGAGCGTGCTCCTTCTAGGAGCTGCCTTGAAAATCCCCTGCTTGTCCAGATGAATTTTTCGGGGCCGGGAAAACGCATCTGGGAGCGTGCTCCGTCTAGGAGCTGCCTTGACAATCCACCGCTCGTCTAGATGCATTTTTCGGGGCCGGGAAAACGCATCTGGGAGCATGCATGCTCCTTCTAGGATCTGCTTTGAAAATCCACCGCTTGTCCAGATGCATTGTTCGGGGCCGGGAAAACGCATCTGGGAGCATGCTCCTTCTAGGAGCTGCCTTGAGAACCCACCGCTTGTCCAAATGCATTTTTGGGGGCCGGGAAAACGCATCTGGGAGCATGCTCCTTCTAGGAGCTGCCTTGAGAATCCACCGCTCGTCTAGATGCATTTTTCGGGGCCGGGAAAACGCATCTGGGAGCGTGCTCCGTCTAGGAGCTGCCTTGAGAACCCGCCACTCGTCTAGATGCATTTTTCGGGGCCGGGAAAACGCATCTGGGAGCATGCTCCTTCTAGGAGCTGCCTCGAGAACCCACCGCTTGTCCAAATGCATTTTTCGGGCCGGGAAAACGCATCTGGGAGCATGCTCCTTCTAGGAGCTGCCTTGAGAACCCACCGCTCGTCTAGATGCATTTTTCGGGGCCGGGAAAACGCATCTGGGAGCATGCTCCTTCTAGGAGCTGCCTTGACAATCCACCGCTCGTCTAGATGCATTTTTCGGGGCCGGGAAAACGCATCTGGGAGCATGCTCCTTCTAGGAGCTGCCTTGAAAATCCACCGCTTGTCCAGATGCATTTTTCGGGGCCGGGAAAACGCATCTGGGAGCATGCTCCTTCTAGGAGCTGCCTTGAGAACCCACCACTCGTCTAGATGCATTTTTCGGGGCCGGGAAAACGCATCTGGGAGCGTGCTCCTTCTAGGAGTGCCTTGACAATCCACCGCTCGTCTAGATGCATTTTTTCGAGCCGGAAAAACGCATCTGGGAGCATGCTGCTTCTAGGAGCTGCCTCGAGAACCCATCGCTTGTCCAAATGCATTTTTCGGAGCCGGGAAAACGCATCTGGGAGCATGCTCCTTCTAGGAGCTGCCTTGAGAACCCACCGCTCGTCTAGATGCATTTTTCGGGGCCGGGAAAACGTGCTCCTTCTAGGAGCTGCCTTGAGAATCCACCGCTCGTCTAGATGCATTTTTCGGGGCCGGGAAAACGAATCTGGGAGCATGCTCCTTCTAGGAGCTGCCTTGACAATCCACCGCTCGTCTAGATGCATTTTTCGCAGCCGGGAAAACGAATCTGGGAGCATGCTCCTTCTAGGAGCTGCCTTGACAATCCACCGCTCGTCCAGATGCATTTTTCGGAGCCGGGAAAACGCATCTGGGAGCATGCTCCTTCTAGGAGCTGCCTTGACAATCCACCGCTCGTCTAGATGCATTTTTCCGAGCCGGGAAAACGCATCTGGGAGCATGCTGCTTCTAGGAGCTGCCTCGAGAACCCACCGCTTGTCCAAATGCATTTTTCTGAGCCGGGAAAACGCATCTGGGAGCATGCATGCTCCTTCTAGGAGCTGCTTTGAAAATCCACCGCTTGTCCAGATGCATTGTTCGGGGCCGGGAAAACGCATCTGGGAGCATGCTCCTTCTAGGAGCTGCCTTGAGAACCCACCGATTGTCCAAATGCATTTTTCGGGGCCGGGAAAACGCATCTGGGAGCATGCTCCTTCTAGGAGCTGCCTTGAGAATCCACTGCTCGTCTAGATGCATTTTTCGGGGCCGGGAAAACGCATCTGGGAGCGTGCTCCGTCTAGGAGCTGCCTTGAGAACCCGCCACTCGTCTAGATGCATTTTTCGGGGCCGGGAAAACGCATCTGGGAGCATGCTCCTTCTAGGAGCTGCCTTGACAATCCACCGCTCGTCCAGATGCATTTTTCGGGGCCGGGAAAACGCATCTGGGAGCGTGCTCCTTCTAGGAGCTGCCTTGAGAATCCACCGCTCGTCTAGATGCATTTTTCGGAGCCGGGAAAACGCATCTGGAACCATGCTCCTTCCAGGAGCTGCCTTGAGAATCCACCGCGCGTCTAGATGCATTTTTCCGAGCCGGGAAAACGCATCTGGGAGCATGCTCCTTCTAGGAGCTGCCTCGGGAACCCACGGATTGTCCAAATGCATTTTTCGGAGCCGGGAAAACGCATCTGGGAGCATGCTCCTTCTAGGAGCTGCCTTGAGAATCCACCGCTCGTCTTGATGCGTTTTTCGGGGCCGGGAAAACGCATCTAGGAGCATGCTAGCTGCCTTGAGAATCCACCGCTCGTCTAGATGCATTTTTCGGAGCCGGGAAAACGCATCTGGGAGCATGCTCCTTCTAGGAGCTGCCTTGAGAATCCACCGCTCGTCCAGATGCATTTTTCGGAGCCGGGAAAACGCATCTGGGAGCGTGCTCCGTCTAGGAGCTGCCTCCCGCCACTTGTCTAGATGCATTTTTCGGGGCCGGGAAAACGCATCTGGGAGCATGCTCCTTCTAGAGCTGCCTTGACCCCACCGCTCGTCTAGATGCATTTTTCGGGGCCGGGAAAACGCATCTGGAACATGCTCCTTCTAGGAGCTGCCTTGAGAATCCACCGCTCGTCTGCAGATGCATTTTCTAGGGGGAAAAAAAACGCATCTGGGAGCATGCTCCTTCTAGGAGCTGCCTTGAGAATCCACCGCTCGTCTAGATGCATTTTTCGGAGCCGGGAAAACGCATCTGGGAGCATGCTCCTTCTAGGAGCTGCCTTGAGAATCCACCGCTCGTCTAGATGCATTTTTCGGGGCCGGGAAAACGCATCTGGGAGCATGCTCCTTCTAGGAGCTGCCTTGAGAATCCACCGCTCGTCTAGATGCATTTTTCGGGGCCGGGAAAACGCATGTGGGAGCACGCTGTTTCTGGAGACTTCCATCAGTTGTGCCCCCGGAGCCTTGCAAGCTGGTCGAATCGGATCGGTCGAATCGCTTCGGCCCTGGTCGAATCGAAAAATCGAATCGAGCCGAATCGCATCGGCCATCCATGTTACCTGGAAGCCAAAGGGAAAACGACACATTTTTCGCAGTAGAGGTTTAGTCTTGAGCCCGCCGAGTTCCACGGTTCGCTGGTGCCCTTGCACAAACACCTAGAAGTTCCATTGATGAGAGCTAATTTCCAGGGCATGTCTATTTGGGGTAGGTAAGTGGGACCTTGGAGACATGCATGTGTGGATGGAATGGTCAGTCAAGATGTGGCGGGGCAGAACAAAGGGAGTGCGGTATCAATACTTGTGCGGTTTCCTTTGGGTAGGGATGCACCTGCCTTCAAATGCGTCGAACGGATTCAAGCCGCAATGTCAATTAGGCATCCTGTGAGCATGAAGGCTGAATGATTTCAAACAGCTCAAGCTTGCGCTGTCGGGCAGCCACCACGTTGAACCAAAAAAAAGCTGTCCATGAAGAAGATTAGCGCTTGGTGAGGCCTAGGGTCAACAGGTGACAGCCCGTCACCGCACCTCGTTTCACACCTTCAAGTCAGGTTGGTTGAGCACTCACTTGCCACCTTTCTTCATCAGACTCAGACTGCTAAAGGCTAAAAGTGAACTTATTGCTTGTCGGAGGAAATGATAGAACACAAAGAAGCCAAAGAGTGAACAAGGTACTCCGCCACATTTCTCACAGAAGGAGCCCAAAAGGTCGGATTCCCAAACGTTTCCTCTACAAATGCTGGGCTTCTTGGCTAATCCATGTGAGTCATGATCAAAACCTGGTATAAAAATGGTGCACCCAAACCAATGAACAGAATATAAAAGGCGGCCGCGCTTATTTCTGGTTGGGATCATTATCCCTTACTCACCTAAACTCGGTTGCTGCCTGCTCCCCTGCTAAGAGTTTAACTTTTAGCGGTTTAATACGGAAAGCCCATTAGTTGGCAGAAAGTTAAAGTCCTAACATCCCTTGGCAAAATGCCCCAAAGTACTCACCTAAAGCTACCCGGGTTTTGATTGTGGCCCATGTACACCGAGGCCCCCGCGAGGCCGAGGAAGGGCGCGAGGCCGATGGCTCCTTCACGGGCCTGGCGGGTGGCTCGTCTTCTTTTAAGGGAAACCCAGAAATTGTGGCTTTCCCAGGGCTACCTTCCATTTCCATTCTTTTCAGGGATCCGAATCTTTTCAGGAAACCATCAAAAACCCTGGGAGTTTCCCTTTAAAACCACACCAAGATGTGTACCTTCAAAAAAAAAACAGAGACAAAACTGGTTGATCGATCCGTTTGCGATACGTTGCTTTTGTGTGGTAAGTTTGAATACTCCAAATTCACCCGTTCCAAACCTCATTTTCGATCCGCTCAACCCAAAACTAGCCAAAGCAGCAACATATCTACAAATTGGTTTCCCATCAGGCAATTTGATTCCGCACAGCCCCATTCTTTTGCTTGATCCTGGGTTCCCACATGCATGTTCATTAGCAGGCTGCATGTGTCTCTTTCAGGGGTCACTGGATTCTCCAAAACAGGTTGCGACTTACTGGTGGTTTCCATTGAAACGATCCCCACTTTTGGACGTTCCAAGAAGGGAAGTGGCTCGGAAGCCCTGTGATCAGGTCAAAGGGACGCTAGTTGATCCAAAGAATCTGTAGCTCTCCCTGTCTCAGAGCTGCTCCGGATGTGAAAAACACCCTGTCCGTAAGTTCAAAGTGGGCCATTCCTGGCAATCCGGGAGTCCCATGGAAGGACACCTCTTGAAACAAGGCAACAAGAATACAGGCTCTATGAATCCTCAAAATTGAAAAACAGTTCGGTGGGCAAGTGTGCTTTGCAAGATCAATTGTTCACCTCGCTATGTGTTTAAACCCATCTCTACATATTCTGTATATATATATACATATCTGTACACGTGTCTATGTAACTTTGGAGCGTGGCAACCTTAAAGCCTCCAGCTTTGCACACGCACTGAGCTCCAAGAGTCCCAGGCTCCCCGGCGAAAGCGGATTCCCGCTGACGTCCAGCCAGGACACCACACCTACCGCACTGTCACTCGATTCCATTCCGCTGGGCACTTTGAAAGGGACCTGGAAATGGGAAGCTTGGCTAGCTGCCACAAAACCTCCGTCCACAAGAAACTCACAGCTCACTCCATGGCAGCTCGCGCTGTGCATGCTTTACAGAGCTAATTGGGGCGCGAATGTCATAGGATTCCAACCCTGTCTCTCTTAACCGTCCCTAAAACTCGTTTCCTCCAGACAAGCCCTTGTCATATGGTCTTGTTAGGGCCGAGGCCAAGAAACTCGTCGGTAAGCAATGGAGACGGGGTGGGTCTGTGGCCACCCCTGCAAAAATGTTGCTTTTTGTTTTTGGCTGGTTTGCGGGGGAAGCAGCCATGTTCCAACAAGTGCAAAGGTGAGTGGTCAGAGCAACGAACAACTTTGAGCAACGGACCAATCAAATTGTTTTGGTTCCCCTAGGCTTAGCTGGGCTGTTCAGAATCGAGTGTTGGCCAATCCTGATCCAGAACCCCTATCGGAAAACCACCGCAAAGAAGACAGGACACCGTTCCTAACCCAAAAGATCCTGCGGATTTAGTGCCAACGGGCCCGCAGGACCTGAAGCCAAGCATCTCCATGCTTGGACCCCACAAGCCCAGCTCCCTACGGACATGACATATTACCTGCATTTGTTGCTTTCGGGGTGGCAACCTAGCGCAGATACACATCTAGGCATTGGTATAGGCGGTATAGGGTGTTGCTTCGTCGGGGTGCTACTCCTTAGCCAGCCCAAGTCAAGCAAACGGAAGTGGCGTCTACCGGAGCCTGCCGCTTCTGCCAGTCTCCCCATCTTACTCACCAATAGCAGTAGGCCAGAAAGAAACAAACGATGAGCACGCATGGCTTAGCAGCTCCCAAAAGTGCCAAAATGTAAATTGGCTCTCTCGTCGGTGGGCATGAGCCAAAAAACACACCCGTTTCTGAGCCTTCCTGTCGCAAAACGTGGGCTGCCGAGCTGCCATGGTCTTGCTGACCCCCGGTTACCCTAGAACTCAGGGTGCCACTCAGGGCCGTTTTTGTGAAGGGTGCACTAGTTGTCGCAAGGGGAAACCGAAAGGAAGCCATGAGTTGTTTGTATGTTCTTGGGGCTTTGAATGTGTTCTTTTGTGAGGATCCTCAAAAAAACAAAACCCATGTGCAAACAAGGAACAAGCCGGGCTTGGTGACACAATCCGGGGAGAAAGCGGACCGGCGCCTTTGCCGATGGATGGCCCGGTGGGCACTTCGGGCCTTGAACCACGGCAGTTGGGCCTTTCTAGCTCCCACCAGGGCTAGGCACTTGGGTGGCTCGGCTTTTTCAGAACCCCCCCCCACCAAAAACAAAAAAAAACAGGGACGGGGGAGGGGGGAGGCCGTTTAGGTTTTAGTGGTTTTTAGTTGGTTTAGTGGCTGGGCGCCCATTTGACTCACAAGTTTTAGCTGAGGGCAGCCCAGTTCAGGTAGGTGGTTTTCTTTTGGTTTCCCCTTAGAAGCCACAAAACGGGGGTTACAAGAGGAACACCGTATTAAAGCCGGGGTTCTTTGAAGGTGTGCAGGGGGTACATGTTTGACTGGGTTGCCACAAGCCCGAACGAGCCAAAAGGATCGTGATCGGCCCCCAATAGCCGACGCACTCATGTGTTTAACAGGGCTGCCACTTCTGTGATACAACAGAAAGGGCTTCCCAAAGACTATTTTGTCAATAGAAAGGGGGATTTTCTTGTATTACAGAAGTGGGGAGAAACCTCTTGATCCCGGAACCCTGTTTAACAACCAACCAACCCCTGGTCAAAGATACGGCCCCTTGGACCGCGGCGAATTTGGACAACTTGTTCCCCGTTAGCCCATCCGCCCTACGTTACGGGAGGGTCCCATTCCATGTCCAACCTTCCCCATACAAACGGAATAGAAAAGGGGGTCCCCGCTCCCAATTCCATTTATGATCGGGCGGGGATAGTTGCCAGCTTACGAATTCTCCGCTTCGTCACTTCCAGCCAAGAGAACCTTGCCAAACGGACCAAACTTGGATTACCAAACAGTCAAAACGCCGACTTTGGACATATGAGACTAGCCAAGGGTAAGAATCTAAGGCGCGGAACGGAGGTGGCCCATACGTCTGAGTACATGTCAAATGTGCGCCTTCTGGCGCGTGCTTGGTAACCACTGGTTAAACTGCATCCTACCTGCGCTCACTGTTTGGGTTCAAGAGCCCGGGGCTCAACCTAACCAACCCCAAACCACCAAATAAGAGATATGTGATGCAATCTCCGTCTCAAGAAATGGGCGTGTCTTTTTTGTGCCCCCCCCCAAAAAAAATGGTGCTGCTTTTGGTCGCTCTTTAAACACCAAACCCAAAAGGGGTTCCATAAAACCAGCCACACCCAAGTGGCGTTGAGATTCGCGTTGCGAGCAGTAAGACACACGCCCTTCAAGTATGACTGCTTGTCGTTACAATTAAATCGCCAACCCAAACCTTCAAAAATTTTTGGAAGAAAACATAGCCCCTGCTTTTTGTGTGCAGATGATTTAAAAAGGATGCCCAACCGAAAGGGGTACCCACCCCAAAAGAAACACATGCCGACCCCCCCCCCCCAACAAAAACAAATCAAACCCCGCCCAACAATAGGGGAACCCGCGCCAAAACAGGTAAAAAAACGGGAAGCATCCCAACGGATGCTCCGGGTTTTCACGGAAACCCGTCAGCGAGGCGTGCCTGGAGCGCCGGGATTTCGGGGTCCACCCAGGCCAGCCTAAGGTGGGCCTCTGCCGCGTGGGAAGGGAGAAGGAGCCGGCAGAAGGGCTCGTCTTTTTGGAGTTGGTACCCTTTTTGGTTTTAAATGGAATCCGATAATAAGGAAAACCGCCGTCAAAACACATACATATATATATATATATATAATATGTATATATATCATACTTGGCACGGATCAAAACAGTGACCCAAAAGTGGCGTTCCTTTACGCTCATTTAGTTCCATCCCGACAAAGGTACCTCAAAAGAAATTAAAAGAATCACACACACACACACACAGACACAGGCACACACACACACACACACCACACACACACCACACACACTCACACATGGGGTGTCTCAAAATGAGTTCCAAAATGGCTTGCCTCCATGTCCTCCCCCAAAAGTTCCCAACTCTAGGGGTGGTTGTCTCAAATTAGAGTGAGTTGTCCAATGTTGGAGGTCTTCCTTTCCCCGCTAAAGAACAAGTTTGTTTGCCTTGCCGCAAAAAAGAACTGGTTGGCGAAGGTATGACAAATGCACCTTCAAACAAAAGGAAGTTGCAAGTATTCTGAGGGTACTGTCTGGTTAAAGATCCAGCAACATTGCATTCAAACATGCCGAAGCCCACCCAAGGTTCCCAACAAGCCCCTAGATCTCTCAGAAATCTGGGGCATGGCCCCTTGGGTCGAGTCACAATCGAGTGGTTGTGAAACCTTGGGCTCAAACCTGGACTCAAGTTGGGGTTGAGGAATGGAACCTGTGAGCATCAACGAACCACACTGGCAACTGACAAGTTGTCAGTCGGGCAGTTGAGCCAGAAAACAGACTTATTGCTAACAGACTAAACTTCTTGCTGGCTTAAAGGTAAGGCAAATGAAATCCAAAAGGGCAAACAGGCAACATGCAAACAGGGTCCAGCAGTTCAGTCGGCAATATTCGGTCATGACTTAAGGCACTAAGCAAGACCTTGCTGAGACCTTTCTCCTCAGGGCACCAGGCCCGTCCCCAGCCACCAGGGCGCTAGAATGGGCCTGGCATGGCAAAATCTGCAGCCCCCCAGTTGATTACACCATTCTGTGAGCACAACTCCATTCAGAAAAGGGGATGACTGCCTTAAACAAGGAAGTGCCCTTGCGACCTGTCCCAAAGAGGCACCCCAGCCCAAAGCCTGTCGCTAGGGGAGAAAACAGCCTTAGGTGGAGGTTTGCGGAGAGTCGTGGCTCTTCGTGGGTTCCTTTAATGCCAACCGGGAGTCCTTCACTTTTGTGAGTGACACCCTCCTATATGAATGGGATGGGTTTACTAATCCGAGGTTCCCACTAAGTGGAACCATAAATCATTACTTCTTGTGCGCCCAGGCATCCTGAGGATTGACATGAAACACATGAAACACAAGCACACTGCCTGTCTTCCATCAAGGGGGACAAGAGACATCTGGGCGTGTTTCCCTTGTGGTCCCCCTTTTTAAACAACTCAAAGAGGGTACCCTCAAAAATAGACACATCCATTCAGTTGTGAAGTTGCGGGATAGGACGTCTCGATTTCTCCCTTGTCTAAAAATCGAGCAGCCAATCAGCCAATCCAACAACGAGTTTACGCCAGCCTCTGCTCGTATGACAGCAGCCTGGCGCACCCCGTCCAGTTCTCGCTGATTTCCACCCCCAACCCACCAGAGGGTTCTAGTGTTTTATTGCGGTGGATTCCATTTAGTACGGAAAGTAAATCAACCACATACCGTTGCAATTTACAGGGCTTCCCTTTGGTTCCCTACTCTCAATATGCAGATATATTGAGGGCATCCACTATGCAACCACTGTATAGGGATTACAGGATATATTGCCCTGTTTGCCGCTGGGGGTAGTGGTTGGGTAGTGGGAACCAACTTAAGTCACGGGGGGAACTGGCTCCCCCATTTCCTGCGCTTTGACAGCTCTGAGCTGGTCTTCAGGTATATGTCTGTCTGTAGCCCCCTGCAAGCAAGTTCTACTTGCAAAAACGCATACTTTCAGATTCCAGTCTTGTCCACATTTGATCGAACTCATACGGGGTATACAAGCTCGCAGACCTCCCAAACACACGGCCCTCCTTAACCATTACCCCACCAGGATAAAACAAATCAACAAACAAACAAACAAACAAACAAACCAACAAACAAACCCTGCAACATGGCAGCCAGTTGCAACAGTGGCCTTTTGGAGAATGATGGTGCAAATGAATGTGCCTCTGTGCGCCTCTGTGTGTGTGCTTCGGAGGTGGTGTTAAAGCCATAAAAGAGCGGCGCGAGAAGATTAAAACAACAACAAAAATCGGCTTCCCTCCTTTGGTGGTCAGGGAGTGGTTTCCCATTTATTTATTTTTCAAGAACCAAGTGTCATCCAATGCCCAACCTACAATTCCAAACCACCAACTAAGGGTTACCCAAAACATAGAACAACAAAAAACCAGACGGCGCGATAGGTTTCGCCCATCGGTTGCTTCAGCGCTCATGAGCCCCCCGCCAGTGTGCCACTCTTCATCGTGGGAGCGAAGCAGTCCCACCTGGGATTTCAACCACCCACCCCTCGAGTTGGAACTTGCAGCCTTCCCTGGCCCAATGGTAGGTAAACAGACAAGATAAAACGGAAAGATTAGATAGACAGGTGGGTAGATAACATGTGCTGAGGTTGCAGATCTTGAGCCTGGCACAAACAGATGGAACCCGTTGTGGTTGCCGGGCTCCGTCCATTTGACCCTGCTTTACCCAGCAAACAACGCACCCAAGCGCCAAAAAGATTCGCTGCTGAACGGCCGGGTTGATGGGGATGGGGTCCATGGGGTCCATGGGTCCCTGTGGTTCCATGCCAATTCGTGGCATCCAGCGGATTCAAGGGTTGCTTCAACAATGTCAAAAGCTTTCAACCTGTCCTCTTTGCCTCATCCCAACCAGTGGACTTTTTTAGAACCCCGAGGTACATCTCAATGGTTGCCTGGCAGCTTTCGACAGCACCTTTCGAATGCAAAATGCTCAGCTTTGGCCCGCAGCCACAGGCACAAAGGTATCATCCTGGCCCATTTTTAGTCAACAAACGTAACACAACAGGTCCAAAGAGGTTGCAGGGGTTATGCCTGGAGTCACATGACCCAAAAAGCCAGAGACCTTTGGGCTCTGACCTCAAGGAAAATGACCGGCCCCAAGAATCCCAACCGAAATGCGGGGTATATAACTATGATTGTGCTGCTTGCTCAGTGCCCTGGTTCCCTTGTTCGGTGGGTTCCCCACCAAGGGTCACAATTCAGCAAGGTGCTTGTAAGGAATTGAAACTGGCAGCCTATATGCTCCGGAGACCCGGCATTTTGAGGAAAAAGCCGTGTGGCACCCCAAAAAGGTCGAAGGGAATACAGGCTTGCCACCCCAAAAGCAGACTCCGAGCATCGCGCAGCGCTAAGCGGGCAAAGGCCTCGGATTTCTGGTCATCTGGTCGCTGGGGGCATCGAAGGGAACTAGCAGTCCTAGTCTGACTTCTTGGATGGCTCTCCGTGTTTCGGAGGTGGTGTTTTTAGGCAAACAAAGAGCGGCGCGGAAGATTAAAACCAGAAGAACACAAATCAGCTTCCCTCAAGTTGAGGATTTGGAGTGCAGTCCGACATGTTTGCAAGTGCTGAAGGTGGCACCTAGATTTCCCTTGTCATGACAACCTCCCTCTTCACTCAGCTGGAACAAAACCATCCGCATCAAGCAAAGAGAAGCCTCTGGGCCGCGGCTAAACTTGCTGATCAGCGGGAAATGAGGGAATGCCCCAACTGATACATCTCTTGTGGTTCCTTTTGCAGGGATCCCCTTCGGCTCATTCCCACTGAGAACCAGCAAGCGGGTGTATTTATTGAGGGTTGCCGCGGGTGCCTTGCTGATTTAATGTGAAGCTTTCAGAGGCAAAGCACCTCGATGTGGGCTGGGGGGGGGTGGTTCCCGCTATTTTGACACAAGCCCAAGTTTCTTTTTGTTTTTAAAAGAAAAGGCCGTGACTGAGAATTCGAATGGGAGGAGTAACTCAATCTGGTCTGTTCAACACGGAGGGTTAGGCCCATCCTAATCCATAATTCACACAGGAAAATGACCTGAAAGGGGGCGGTTGACCAAACGAAAGCGGCAAAAAGAGGACTGTCCCACTTGGGAAAAGTTACCCATGCTCATTTGTTGTTGGCCAGGAATATTGATAAACCCCAACTTGATCACCAAGGGGGGTTCCTCGGTATCACCAATGAAATGGGTCCTTCCGCAAACCATGATCTGCATCTCCTTCGAATCTATGCACACTCAACGGCGTGTGCGGTTACAAAGCTACACACTTGCCCGGGCAGTTGCTGGATTGTGGTGTGGAGCAGGTGTTGCCTCACTTCTCGAGTGGACTGAGGCTTCTTGAAGGGTTCTAGCAGTGGTGCTGTTGGGGATGTCACCTGGGCTTCTGGAAGGAATCTGGGCTGTCCTCACATCCTCCGCTAGGAGTGTTCAACTCTTAGTAGCTTATAAATGCAAAACCCCCACTAAACCCCCCCCCAAAAAAAAAGCTGAGCAAACGCCTGGGGGAGCCAAGGCCAAGGACTCGTTCTCTTTCCGAAAACGCGGTCCATCCGCGCCGCCCGCACCTCGGTCCTCGGTCGCTTCCATCCGAGTCCCGGGCGCCGACGACCACCGCCGGGCTGGCGGAGTTGGTGCTGGGTGCGGGACTGCCGGACCTCTCGAAGCGAGGCTCGGGACTTGGTTGACGTTGGGTTTGGGGATCAAACAAACAAGTTTTAGCAGTTCATTGAAGATTTTCCCACCAAACCGCAAGAAGAAAAAGAACAATGTTTCCCAACAACAACCATGGGGAGATGAGAACTGCCACGGTCGGTGCCCAACAACTCACTTCCGAGTGGATGGCCCCCCCAAGAAGTCGAGGGACTTTTTCATTTACCGCATTTAATGGTCCAAACCCAAGAAGTATACAGTCCAAGAACTCAGGGAGTCAGAAGAGAAAGGAGGGACCCTTGCAGAGCTCACTTCTCCCTTAGGGACCTGGAAATGCACGGTAACCCTTTGGAACCTTGACTACATCTCGACGAAATCAAGGAAACCAAAAGGGGAAAAAAGGTCGATTCGCTTTGGGCTGGCTGTTCGGGAAGCCCACCAAACACATCCAAAAACCGGTTCGGGAAAAGGTTGCGCTGGAGGCCTTTGCACTGGCAACGATTGAAACCCAAGAACTTTGATAAGATTGGATGCACTTTTTCCTTCGAAAGTTTCCGCCTGAGCCCAACGCTTCGACTAGACTAGGGAAACCCCATTTAGACTGTGTTGTTCCAAACGGGGGGCATCCCAAACCTTAATCCGCCAACCGCAGTGGGACACCACTACGACAAAGGCAGCCACTGCAACAAGGAAAGCCACCGCCACCATCTGGCGTAGGATTACCGTTGAACAACTCGAACATGTGGCTTAGAAAACGCCTATCATCATGTCGTCTTGATGGAAAGACTTTGCACTTGTTGGGCAAATATTGAATCTTGATTTCAAGGGTCAGCTTCCCACTAATGGGTGGTTTGGATGGTGTGTGCCTGGGTGTTTTTCCACTTTCCCTCTAGCAAAACAGCTATTCGCTTCTGCTGGGAAGCCCCAGGTATCCCTGCGACACAAGATCGTCGATTCTCTTCTGCCGGCTGCAAATATCTCCTCTCTCTGAGCGCCCGGCACAGAGCACTGGTCCAACAACACCACCCCTGGCCAAGAATACTTCCTGGAAAATAACCACCAAAAGAAAAGGCATGGCGCAACGGACCCTAAAGGGACGTTGAAGCAAACCTAACCAAAATGTAGGGACCTCTTGTTTGGTCAAAAGCGTTGACCCGTTCATATGTGGGGGTTTTCCGGCAACAAGACATCGGCAGAAAATGCCAACTCCATGGCTAGCTTCGGGGCTCGTTCTTGCAACTTTCAGGCAAGTAGTTTCTTCCATGTGCTTTTTCGTTCCGTGGAAAAACCATAAAACGCTTTCACTAGTGCTAGATGCTGTTTAAAACCAACCAGGGATAATATACAATATCCATTTCAGCTAATGGAAGCTTTCGGAAGTCCTCATGTGAACCCTCCAAAAATGGACCTTGTCTGGCCACAAACTTCCACAAGTCGGACATAAGGCAACCTGTAGGCCGGCGGGCGAGCTGAATGGGGAGAGCTGGCATGTGAAGTCAGCATTGGGCCAAGCCAATGACTCACCTCAGATGCCCAGTGGCCATAGGAAAAAAGGGAATCCATTTTGTTGGTTGAGTGTAAAGGGGAACCCTTCCCCTGAAAAATGGAAAAAAGAGCGCCACTGGGCAAGTGGGACTCTTGACGCATGTTCGCTGCCATGATTCTTGGGTGTCTTTGTTTGAAAGGTACCCTTCGAGTGAAGCCACAAATTCGAGGGCTCCCAAACTTTTTGAGACAATGCGATTTCAATCAACATCCTGTTGGCTGCCCTTGTGCACGGGAACAACCGCTAGCTTTTTAAACAAGCGTGTCCAACCAAGTTTCCCAACCACCTACTCGTTGCAAACAACGAAGCTTGCCACAAGCCCACGTTGCCAAATACGGAAAACAACTGAATGGAAGCAACTGTGACGACACACCGACTAGTTTCGAAGCCGGCTTGGCCGGCTTGTTTGCTTGCAAATGGGGTTAGCCTCGTAAATCGAGTGCCCAAGGCACTCGAAAAGCAAGCAACGGCTTGGAAGCGTCTTAGAAAATCGCAGGAGACAAAGCGCAAGGTGAGGAGGCCTGACTCGGTTTCGCCACCGCAGTGCCACCTGCCGCAGCTTGCAGCGACGAATCTGGGGATCTGGAGACAGGTTCTTACCTGTTGGTTTGGGAAGGGTGTCTGCCATTTCGGTTAGATAGCCAGGTCCCCAAATCCACATATATGTCGCATGGGAGCAGGCTTCGGAGTGAGTCATAATTTTCACCTGTCCAAGGGGCCTGAACAAATGTAGGGTCATTTTGTGTCAGTTTGTTGGTGACCCTGACTAAATATGGACCAAATCGGGGCAACCAAAAGGCGTAAAGGTCGATTCGCTTGGGCAACTGAGTAGCTCAGCGACTCCAAGCAGTTCCCTAAAGCACCTTGCACTAGGCAACTTTTCAGCTGGTTGGGGAGGTGGGGGAGGGGTCGATCCTTTTTGTGGGACCCGCACCCCGTTTCGGTTGGGCAAGTTGGTGCGGCATAAAACTGCCACTTTTGGAGGTCCATTGAGGGATATTCAGGGTTTCTGGGGTAGAAAATGGCAACCCTGGAAAAGGGAAACCAAAGGCAAACAAAACGTTTCTTGGCAAACAAAAAATGTGTGCACCGAAAATATCTTATTTGTTGACTCTGTCCATGTTTAGCAGTCAAGACATCTTATTTTCTTACTCTGTTCTATGTTTAGCCAAGCCCATGCCAGTGGATCTCAGCTGGCGCTATAGTAGGTAACCAGCAACTTTCCCCCACCCCCACCCCCCACCCACCCCCACCCACCCCCACCCACCCCCACCCACCCCCACCCACCCCCCACGCAAAAATGGAATCACTGGGCATCATATAACTTAGTCTTCGGATCGACCCCCTTGGCTGGAAGCACCTTTTTCTCTTCGACTAAACGCCGGCGGAACCCACGGCCCCAAACGCTTCTTGCGAGGGTCATGAAGGGGCAAGAAAGGCGCCTGTGTCGAAGCCTCTGATCGACCCTAGCTTGTGAACTAGATTGAACCACCCATGCAACACCAAACACCTTGCCCAGGACCTTTGCCCTCAGCAAGATTGGGCTTAAGGTCAACCATAAACCCTAGCTTGTGAACTATGCAAGGTTACACCACCCGTGGAACGCCAAACGCCTTGCAAAAGACTTTTGCCCTGAACCAGCAATAGGGGTTTAAAGGCCAACCAAAGGAAGTCCAGACTTTTCGAGGCCGGCCCTATCTTCCAGCCACAATCTCAAACAAGCCCAGCTTACGAAGGACCTTGAACCAGAGGAATGAATTCCATCCACTTGCAAACAACCCTCCCAAAGGCCTTGCCAAACCCCAGCAGGGCCTCACGCCCAAGCCGAATAGGACCCGAGGATTACTCCCTCACTACTGGAATTTCGGGCCATGGCCAAGGAAAAACGAGGAAGCCATTCGCCGATGTTCTACCCAAACGTGGAAAAAGAAGCTGACTCTGTTTTCGAATGTGCATTCCAAGAATCCATCTCCAGGGTCAATTCTCCACGAAATTCGACCCTCCCACAAAAACCTGGAGGCTTGGGCGATTTCCTGAAGAATCTCCCAGCTTAATGGCTTTTAGAGACCTTGGAGGCAACCGCCCGGTTTTCTCAGGCTCCGGCAGGCTGCCGGCCGCATTGGCGGTCAAGTCGCTGCGCCCCACCACGACCGCGCCGGGCCTTGGCCACTTGGCCACGCGATCAGCGGAACTGTGGATGGTGGCGAAATCCCCTGCGCGCCACGAAATGAAACCATGGCTGAAAACCTGGAAACTCCGGGGTCAGCAGCCATTCTAGCCAAGAATAAAACCTGATTGACAAGTTTTCCTGGTAGGAAGAAGGGAGCCCTGTTTTGGGGGCAACTCCTATATGCACTGGCGTTAGCGTGAAGGCAAAGTAGCTTCTCAAAACCTGGAAATCCCAGGAAGGTGTGTAACCCCAACCTACCCCCCCCACCAATCTCCATGGAACCTGACAGGGAGTCCTTGTAAAGCGAAGTTGTCCTCCATGACAGGTTCCATGTTCATTCGTGGGAGGATGTATATATATATATACGCATATATGCTACCCCCCCTTGAAATACTCAGGTTTTTGGGCAGAACTGAGGTTTTGGCCAGACTGGGGTGACAAATGCCTTGAGACTCTGAAATGAACTGGACACTCAACTCCATGCAAATTCTAACCAAGCAGAAGTTAAGCTCAACGGTGATTAGGAGTTGCGAGTTGTGTGACCGTCACATTGGCGTGCGCGAAGTGCACTTAAAGTCACATTGGAGTATGCAAAGTGCAATTTGGCAGCTCCAGCTCAAAAAACACAACTGTTCAGTACAGGAGTAGTGCGCGAAGTATGTTTTGGCAGCTTCAACGCGCCTGTAATTATTTTGTGTTTACTATTTTTGTTTGGCAGCGAAATTCAGCAAAACATCAACTTGGGGAAAAGGAACTCATTCCTAATTCATGTCCTTGCGCAGTTGCATTTACCTGTTAACTCGAGTGTTGTGCATAATTCCTGACATGCTAGTTCAGTCTAATTGAAACATATGTTGCAAAGCAACTATCCCACGTGTGTGTGTGTGTTGCGTGTCTGAGTTGGCTCCATCATCGCCAACAACAACTATTGAAATTCAAGCAAGGGAACAATATCCAGTTCACAAAGCTTTCGAGTTCAAACCAAATTCAAGTTTACTCGTTTGCAGTTTCTTGTGCATTTCAAAAAGCAACTGGAGAAGATAGCTATTGTCATGGCCAAATGAATTTGGAATCAGACTCAATTTTGAAAGGGTTATTGTCCATATCGAACTTTATACGGTTTGAACCAAACAAGAACTGAGCCAAGCCAATGACAGGAACGTGTTGTCAATCATAGATCCTATTATTTGCATAAATGCTGTAAAACACAGTGTTTTCAGCATTTGGTCAGACCGTGTTGCCCTGGATCGAACATCGAACATACAAGATTCCACAAACATATGTTTAGAATATGCTCAATCCTGGTCCCCCAAAAACTTGACAGTTTGTTCTAGACTCATTAAGGTTTCGCCCCCTGCATTGAAGATTGAAGATCTACCAGATTTTCTATTTGAGAATCTTCCGTCCGGGCCAGCCCTCACGTCCACAAAAAAAACTGTAAAGGTGTCAGCAACACTTTTCTCCCTGGCCAATTGCAGGCAGTGCAAGTGCACATCCACATTTTGATTCTGACAACGTGCACTCTCGGTCTGCCTTTTGGATTCTTCAAATCCGCACTTAAGGCAATCCAGGATCTGGATGGGAGATTGAAGATTCTCTGACACTCTCTCTGAAATTCTCCAAATATGTACCTAGAGTAATCCAGGATGTGCTAGCACGTGCTAGCACATCCTGGATTGAAGATTGAAGATTGAAGATTCTCAGACCACTTGTTCTGGAAATCTTCAATCCATCCTGAGGACAAACTGGTATGTGCTAGCACGTCCTGGATTGCACTAGTACCGATGCTAGAATTTCAGTCTAAAAAGGGGTGCATTTTTTAGAGCCTCATGTTAGAAGCTGGAACGTGTGCTTTGAATGCATTTGTACAGCCAAAATGTCAATTTCTGGCCAAAAAACTGAGTATTCCAGGGGGGGGTACCATATATACATATTCGAAGGCACGCCCATCCGCCCTTTCTGTCGCCTGTCGCCGCATGCCGTCGCCCTTGCGTTGCGCCGGCTGCGAAAGCTGCCGCCCTCTAGCTGCCACGAAAGGCCGCGCAAAAATCCAAAGACGTGTCGCAAAGCATATCATATGAAATGCGCGTGTGAAAAGGCGCCCATTCTTCAAGGCGTTTCTTTGGTTTGCCTCTAAAACAAGCTTCTTTAGAAGCCCGCCCGTGAAACCAAGTCAGTAAGATCCTATCAGAACTAACTCAGCTGTGCTAAAACAAAGAATACACATCGATCCTATTCAGATATCACTATAGAATTGCTTCTAAAATTGCTTAAGCACAGACGACATAGGTCGCTGTGATCCTGCGGCAGGGGGTCCAAGCTTGCCAACATGTGTTGGGCATTGAGTAATTGGTACAGTTGAGAGCAACTGTTGTTTGTCAAAAGGACCCCCCAAAGGACTCAACACATTCAAGGGTCCTTACTTCCTGAGCGGTCTGGCAAAATACCAAGTCCAATCGAAGCGAGTCTCAATCTGACTTGCACACAATGAATCTGAACAATCAGGCGGTCACCTTAACTAAAACTAGGCCACATCGGGAACATATATGGTTTTCAAAAGGTCAATTCGCCATGGTTCAAAGTGATACTTGGGTTTCCCTCTTTTCTAGGAACTTGCTGCTTTTTCCGGTTTGAACAAGAAACCAGCAGAAGACCAACAATTTGCGGGTGCCATTCGTTTAGCTGCCGGGTGAGCTCGTTATTTGCCGTAAGTTGCCCTGGCAAATCCGCTTTCACTTTTGCGCTGGCCTCGGTTTCCCCTTTCCGCCAGCAAGAAACAGGGCCGCGCCGTCTCAGATGGCGTAGCACTGCTCTGCGCCGAGTCCGGCACGATCCTTGGGGGCGATGAAAAAGTCCTTAAGCCACGTTCCATTTTAAGCTGTTGAAACACCCTTCTGCGGACTCTTCTTTGCAAACACGTGCTCAACCTAAGCCGCTGGTTCAACAACCTCCTTTGGATTCAATACACAATTGAAACAACAACAAAACAGCCAGCAACAAGCAACACATGTTCCGGCCGAAACGGGTCTGGCTCCCCAGGTCTGTCCTCGTAGACGTGGAACCTCACCTGCTGGCCCAGTGCCAGCATCTCGCCACCCAAGACGTCCTGGCGGAAATGTTGAGGAATCGCATGCCAGGTTTTTGGTTTGGAGGCATGGATGCTTATGTACAAACCATAGCAGAAGTTGTAAGACATCCGGTTCCCCTTCTACAAGTGGTGCGTATATAATCTCCACACCTCCAAAAACCAATCCCTAGCCTTCATTCCCGCAAACAACCCTATACAAAACGGTTCTGGGCGCTGCTCAGTTGAATGCCCTCTAACCATGTCAAGGCCATGGAACTTGGGGGTCAAGGCCATGGAACTTGGGGGTGTGAAAGATGAAATGGTTCAAAAGAGAGTCTAGGGCAACAACTTACTAAGTTGGCCGAACACCCAAGTAGGGAACATGCAGCCTGCTACAGAAGCTTCTACAGCAATTTCGCATGGATTTGGTGGGGGTAGTAGGCAAGCTTTCTGTCGAATAGATCTGGCTTCTGAATGTCTATGATGAAATGGGCAGCCCTGCGGATGGACGAAGTCTGGATAGCATTTCTTGCTGCATCAGGGTTTCATTTGGCGTGGCTATCCTTAGGGCTAGGAGTGTGCGAACTCTGGGAGCCGCACTTGGCCGCATATGTTGTTCATTGGCCATGTGTTTTACATTGCTAGGCCACACACACACAAATAAAAAAAACGTAGCTCTATCCCAGCTGGTGACCCGAAACAAAATGGGCAAAGTGTGCTGAACAGCCACTAGTGATGTTGACGCCATCCCCGGCAAACGAACAACCTGAGCTTCAGACCATTGATAACAGCGAGCTCCGTAAATTATATGCGCAACATTTTGAAAGTTAGCCAACCGCAAACCAGAGTTGAATTTACACCCTCCACAGATTGCCCAAATACACCGCTGCCTTACACATTGCAATTTAAAGGATCCAGGAAACCCTCCAAACTACCACAATTTACCAGGGTTTTGTGATTAAATCTGATTGGACCCCTTGCAATTTGGCAGGGGCACACACCGTAGCACTGGCATTCCGCAAGGGAACGAGGCTTCTTCTTGATCGGCTCACAAGGGCCCCTGAAATGTGGCCGTGCTGTCTAAGATGGTTTTCACATACAGATGAACGGAAACCTTAGAAAGGCAATTCTATCAACCACACTACATGGGTCACCGGATTTCCCCAAATCAGAAGGTAAACACTTGACTGGTGGTTGCCTTGAAACGGTCGGCTCGGAAACCCGAAATTAAGAACCATGAGAAGGCACAACCCGAGTTGACCTCGAATTGAGGCGGACAAAGGTCTGGGAACTCAATAAGTCCAAAGGATTCCAACTGTGGTGCCCTTGGATTCGTTCCAAGACCAACCAGAAAAGAAGGGCTTGATCATTTTGCGCTCGGCTTACAAGCTTTACATAGGCGGAGCAATCCAACTTTCGCTTTAACCCCCTAAAATCGGCACCTGAATCGCGATGCAAGGCTCCCTAAGGCGGGCGGGCCCCGCCATCTTGCAAAAGGACGAAACCCTCTCTAATATTGATAGCACCGGACACCGTCAAACAAGCCACAAAAAAAGCTCACCAGACAAGCCTCAGCAAACCAAACGACAACATAGCTCCCCAAGAAACTAAATCACCCAAACACCGAACCAGATCTCCCCCGCCACAAAAACACAACACAAAAACCCGAACCGACGTGTCCCCTAAGTATTGGCCCCAAGTAATCCTTGATGTGGACGTACAGCTGGCCCTGACGATGCGCAAAGGCCTGCAAGGCGGAAGAAGCACTGGGGGGTCGTCAAAATTCTTTAAACTTCTGAGACTTCTGGGACCCTGCTCGGCAGGATTGGATTTGTTCTAGGGTTACAAGCCCCCAACCCCAATGTTGACGGTTCATAAAACCTCTGCCGCCTGATCAATGCTTCCCTAGACTCATTACTTGCTTTACAGTCCCCCCAACCTACGGGCCATACCGATGAAATCCACGCCACTGTCCAGTTGGATGAAGCCCTATACCCATTCTTAACCATCCTGGTAGAGGATTTTGCGCCTGTGACGAATCCCCGAAAACGCCCTGCGCTGGCTCCAGTCCACTTGGGGAAGATGAAGAAATGCCACGCAGGACAAACTCTTAAGGTAAGCCTCCACAACGCTCCGTGGAATCCAATCTGCAAATAAGATGTGGATCCAAGAAAACCTTTTACCTCCCCCAGTCGGCCAGCTCCTGTTGCCAATTCAAATCCGGGCGTTGACGGAATCCGCCTTGGGGTGGTTCAAGGGCTGCTCTGGCTGAATCCAGCCCACTGCGCCCTTCCAGCTCACCACCTCGGTTTGGAGTGGATCGTCCCCTCCCCTCCCCTCCCCCCTCCCCCTCCCCCTCCCCCCCCCTCCCCCCTCTCCCCAATTTGTCCAAAGTACCACCCTGATGCTACGAAGGCCACATGTTACTTCTTTGGCCTCCTTTTGGTTCAAGGGCGGGAGAAACGCGGCTGAATGCTATGACTGCTATGAATGCATCCCGAATCTCCTTGGAACAGCCTGTGGTGCTTCACTTCCTCGAAGGAAGCCAAAAGGAAATGGCGACTCCCTGCAAGTTAGCGTGGAAATCAAAATAGAGTTTCCCCAAAAGGAGATTCCTCTAAAAGTAGTGGTTGCTCAGGTTCCATGTTAAATCTGCAGGAGTGTAACGGATACCGATTGCTTACTTCGAGTCTCAAGTTAGAACATGATACTTCGAAGGGACACCGCAAGGGAATCCACTGTTAGGGGCCCCAGCAATATGTCCAAAACCAACACCTTGACTTCGCAATTGGCCCAATGAACACCAAACAAAAACTGATGTGATATTTTGACAGGAAAGCCCAAAATCGCAATTTGGGCCCTTTCTGAACCCCAAATGTTTTGCACCCCAAGGCGTTGGTTCATTTCCGTCGCCCGCGGCCGAGGCGCTGTGCCGGTGAAGGGCTCTCCGGAGACCCGGGTCCGCGGCAGGTTGGGGCCCGACAGAAACCGCCGCCCAGGGATGCCCACGCCTGGCGTCAAGCGGAGAGAAATGCCCGGGTGGATATGTTTTGGGAACGACGTGTGAGGTCATCAACGAGGCTCTTTGGCGAGGGGGGTCAAAGTAGCTAAATATCTAGGAGCCTGGGTATTAGGCTGTTGTTGTTTACATGCAATCAACAAGCAGGTCAACAGCAACTCATGCGTCCGGGGAATACAGTCTAGTCATCCCTAAACTACCGCCATTGGGACAGGCCAGCGATGTCCGATGACTTCCAATTTTTGGCTTCGGTTGATTTGCTTGAAAGCTGTGCCCATGTAAGTCTGGCCTAACTTTGAGTTTCGAAAACCACCCTGGGAATAGCGGCGAATCACTCACTCCCACTAACATGGCACCTGACAGGGGGCCCCTACAAGAGGATCATGATCTTCCAGGCACCCTCACACAGGTGCTATACTGGCGGAGGGGAGAAGCTCGAATCGGCTTGTGAGTGCAGATTTAGCCCGTCAGAGACTTAAACCAAGGGAGCCAAGTGTCAACTCAATCACACAGTTTGGACCAGAAGTAAGACTAAATATGGGCCAGAATGAGAAAACCAAGAGGTCAAAAGGTCGGATTTGGACAGGCGAGTGAAGGCAGCACCAAGTCTAAGGCGGTCTTAAAACTTGGTCATTCCTTTGAGTGACTGACACAACCAAACACCAAAAACCAACAGGAGACTTGCCCTACCATGATGTAACATCGCCCATTGCTGATTTAGATCCATGTCTTTCTCCGTTCATTTTGAGTGGTTGGCCTTCCTGGCGCCCCACAGGCAAACCAAGGGCTTCTCCTCGAAAACTGGGAGCGCCTGCGTCGGTCTGCACGGGCACTGCAGCCACCAGGTCGAAGACGTGCTTCTCGGCGCTGAGGATGTTCTGCAAGGTGCCCTCGATGATGCAGGGCCTGGTTTCCCACAAAGGACAAAGGAAAGGTGGGGCCCTTGCAAATTACCCGTTCATTTTCTAATTTTACAAATCCAAATGGAATTGTTTGGCTCTCAGATTGAGTCCCTCAAATGGGCGAGGCCCCTTGGGCAACTTTCCCAAGGAAAGCAACCGTTCAAACAAGATTGATAAAATAAATCCAAAAGTTGGTTGTGAAGAGGCAGTTAAACCCAGGGCTTTCCTTGTAGGAGTGCATGACCCATGGGGCCAAGGAAGTAACACCCAGGACTGGTATTGCCCTGAACCCCAAACAGCAAGGACAAAATTAATAGCCAAACACATACACGGCCCTATCATTCGATCGGCTGTAGGGATGCCTAAGATGCGAGTCAAGGCCACAGCATGCCTCCAGTTACAATGCAACTAGAGGACATGAGTGATCAAACTTTTGGAAACATGCTGGCGCAGCCACAAGTCAATGGGCTTTGGGGATGGGGGACCATCAAGCATCAACCCACCCAATCTGCACAGCATGGTCATAACATCATCGTGCATACCCCAAAAAAACATACCAGCCCCCCCCCCCCGGCGTAAAACATGCTGTTCGTTCATCTTGCAGCCCTCCTCCCATCCCCACACACGCTCCGCTGCGCAAGAAGCGGAACGTTTCCTCTAGCGAGTAGAACGCACTGGTATTCCCCGACATCCGACGTCAACGCATCCCTCAAATTGCCACGCAAACATCCCACGAGAGGAAGCTAAGCTTGGGTAACGCCCGCACCCTAGGTTCTATGGCACTGGTGGCTCACTAGAAGCCATTCAAAGAACAAAATAAAGCGAGTGAAAAACAATCCCACCCTTTTGCAACCAGACAGACACAGGGCGCGTATGCCCCAGACTGTGTTTTCGCTCCCCGCCTCTGACCCCGGATCTCCTCCCGAAGAAGCTGAATGCGCGCGTTCGACTGCTTCCTGACCCGGCCCAAGACCCAGCCCTGCTTGCCGATGACCACTCCCGCCGCCTGCAGGAACGTGAGTGAAGCCAAGGAACTGTCGGTACTCAAATGCTGGCTCGAAGCCATACGGAAGCTGCAGCCGACCGATCAAGGGCCATTCATGACTATAGTACGGTTCATATCCAACACGTGGCCCCCCTAGCTGTGGATCTTGAACACTAGATGAGATGATTAATCCCTTCCCCCTAATGCTAAACGGGCCCCCGCCTAATGCTAAGTGGGTCCCCCCGAAAAACAAAAAAAGTTTTATCATTCGGGGTCCCCGGTTCGTTCTTCGGAAAAACCTGAGTGTTTGTTTGTCATTTTTCGCAGAGCGCTTGATTCTGTGCCAAGACCGCCACCGAAAGCCAGACAGTGCAAGATGGCCGCTAGGCAGCTTTGTAGTACGACCGTGTAGTGCAGAAAACGTGCTCCCGGAGCTCCGGCTCGAAAGTCGCAACTTTGTAGCAACTACAACCGTAATGCTAAGAGCTACGGATTGAAGGTGTAAAAAGGGCTCCCTAATTGGGCTGGATTTGGGCACGGGCGGGAAACTACCTACTGTAGAATTGGTTTAGCATTGGCTATTCTAAAAGTGGTATTCCCGGATATGGGGCTTTCAAAAATCGGTTTTAGTATTAGGGGACGTTTAGCATTAGGAAGAAGGGATTATATATATATATACATATATGTATGTATATATCTATGTATATATCTATGTATGTATGTATGTATATACACATAAGCATATATACCTACAATGCATTCACAATAGCCTCCAGGAACCCGGGCTATGCCGGGCTAGGAGTCGCTGGGTCCTCAATCAGTCAACCCGGCACCGACAATCCCCTGGTAGAAAAACTGGGACGGAACTCCAGGTATGGAGCCGTGTGCGGCAATTGCAGGCATGATAAGACCTCTATAAATGATATACATTGCCGACTGTTACCTTTGGAAACTCCCAGGGTGCAAAAGGGAAGGCACTACCCGGCAATTAAGTCGATGCTATACGTATGTATCTTTTCATTTCAATATATACATACGCACATATACAAACACAGGTATGGATGATCTCCAAAGCGATTCACATCTAAAGCTTAGATAGCTTTAATGGGGAACCCCATCGATATCATTTCCAACATCTACGTGGGCCTCAACACGCGCCCCCCCCCCCCAAAAAAAAAAAAAAAAGAAAAAAAGAAAGAAAACAAAGCCCGGTGGCTGGGAAAATTGCTACCTTGTTCGCCAGTTCGTGTTAAGGCGACACCCTTCCCCACCAAGAAACCTTCGATTTGCTCAACCCCACTCGGACAACATTAAACCATTTCCAGTAATGCTACACGCCTTTCAAAACCAGGGGCAAAACATCACTTCAGTAAATGGAACAAACAAGAGCGCAGGAAGCAAGCCACGGGCTTCAGCTTCCGACTCGCCGCACCCCACGGAGTTTTCGGCGCTTCGAGTTCGCCTCCGCTCGGATGAACAAAGTCACGGAGGTCTCCAGGGTGGGCTCCAGGCCTTCGGCTCGGATGGCCTGCACCATGCGCCCGTAGACCAACTCCTGGATGATCATGCACCTGGAACTCCCCTCGCCAATGAACTTCCGGAAATGACCCCTTCAAAAGGAACATGGACCAAGCCAGGACCCCAAAACGTCAGGCGCCATGTTCATTGGTGGGAGGGAAACAGGAATGAAGCGTCTAGCTTTTCTTCTTTTGGGCGCACCCTACTATAGGGAATCCCAAATGGCCCTGAGATCTGAAGTCCCAGCTGTCACACTCCAACGTGGAACCTTAGAGTAGAGGGATGTCCAACGTTCCAAGGTGGCACTCTCAGTGCCCGTGCAGAAGAAGGGCACCCGTTGAAAGCCTCAGTCCCCAGAAGCCCCGGACCCCCTCCCAAGCCCTCGAGAACCCTTCTTGAAAAGCGACCCCCCAACGCTGAATCGGCATGCAACAAAAAAGAGGGACACCACTAGGCAACTGCTTGTTGCCAGGAACCAGGCACAATTTCACTGAGCCAATTTTGAGTGGTTGCCAAAACCGGAACGCCTGGTCAGATCTGGTCGATACGCTTTGGGCAACTCTGCCAACCGCTGGGATCGCTGGGATCGATCACCAAAAATGGCCACGGCGCTGGTGGTAGTTGCCGATGATCACGATCCGGTGATCCACCACGCGATGATCCCCCACAGTCTTCCTGCAAGCGCTAGCGCGCCTAGGCAAAGTACCTGGTCTAAAAAGTGCGTGATTCACGCGCAACTTTAGACTCTCGGGTTTGTTTGGAGGTTCTAGCGTCTATAAGGCCCAACATAATTCGAATGGGGTTGTGGGGTACTTGACAGCCAAAACAAGTCCATGATCATACGATTACTCTTTTAGCACACCTACGAGCTCTCAATCTTCCTAAGCCCTCGCGTATTGTTGGCCCCGGAGTGCTGTGTCCACCAAAAGTGACATCCTCAAAATTACCCTCTTGAGGGGTCGACGGGAACAACCACATGAGTTCAGGGGTTCGCAGTCCTGGAGATCATCCTTACCTGGCAGCCCAGGGTGGACGAAAGATGCTTCACGCCCTTCATGACTGTTCCTGCCAGCCGGTCCGGCACCACCATGTGCACCTGCATCACCTGAAGACGAGCAAAACCAAGCACTCGTGACTGGTAGGTTTATTTGGATATGCACATGCCTAGTCTTATCCGGAAGTATGTGCCAAGCGGTGTGTGGGTGATAGCATGTGAAGTTTTGTATGTGACAATTTGGCGATTCCCGAAGCTCACATCAACGGCCCACGGTCCTTTCGAGCGAGAAGGCACTACTGTCTTGAAGAAGGCAGTGTGTCTTGGGAACGGAATTTTCTCAGCCAGTAAGCTATTTACGTAAGCAACCCTCATACACCAATACATCGAAACAGAATGGCTGGCTTATCAAAAAGAAATTAAGCCCAATGAACCTGCTTCAGGTGGTTCATCACCCGATTTGCGACCAACTCACTCGGCCAGCAACAAGTGCGCCGGCCAGGGGGTTATTATGTCCCCCCACAGACAAAGAAAACTAGCTGAGGCAAAGCGATTTGACATGGCTGTGGAAATTCGATTGTGCTTGATTCTTCCCTAAAACGACGTCGAAGAGGAGGTCCAAGAACCTGCTGGGGGATGTTGCATCCGCACTATGACCGCACCCGTCAACAAACTACACGCGCGACAAAGCAAACCCAAGCGCCTCTGGCTGCAGACTCGCCGGTGCCACCTCCCCTTGAACCATGTGGATGTTGCCTGCAGCGGCATGCAAATCGACAAGGGCCTCGACTCCTCTGGTCTTTGGGTGGGGTCGCTGGGAAGAAAGCGCAGGGCCGACGAATGGCCAAAAAGCCCCGTAAGCCCAAGGTCAACCTCATTTCAGAATGATTATCTGGTTATATGTTTTTCGCGCAACCCCAAAATTGTGGTTGTCTCTTGGTTTCCCTTGGAAACAACACGGTACTTTCTCGGTTGCTTTCTGCTCCCCTTTCTCGGTTGCTTTCTGCTCTCCTGCTAAAAGTTGAACTTTTAGTGGTTTAATGGAAAACCCATGAGTTTGGCAAAAAACTAAAGTCCTATCCAAGCAAACTGCACCAAAGACTAAAACAAAATAATACAAAACTAGGTCCTCCAGTTTTGGAGGTTAGAATAAGTGTACCCTTTTTTCTGTAGCCTCCCAACCAAAAAGGGTAAAGTGCACCTAGCTGGGGGACCTAGTCATTCTGCCCGTCTCTCACTACGTCTGAAGCCTGTGACTCCGAGCCACGCTTTGCCGTTGGCGGCAGCTCCGCCGGCGGCGGGGGCGGGGGCGGCGGGATTCCGGGCCCGGACGCGGGGCTGGCGGTGAGCGCGGGCGGCTCGGGCACGGCGGCGCCGGGAGCGGAGTCCTGACGTCTAAACTCAGCCCTTCTATTTTCTCGAGGGTTGTTTGAAATATCTGGGTATGGGTCAAAATACACCAACCGCAGATTTTATTTTTCCCATTTACCAGGGTTCCATGTGGGTACGTCCGTTTAGCGGAGTACTGTCCTGACACGATTTATCGGGTTTCCAAGAAAATATGGATTGAGACTGGCCAACCCTCCTCTTTTTTGCTGCGCTGACTAAAAGCTACCAGCCCTTCAAGGCTGGTTTTAAGCGTCACCTCTTGAATCAATTTTGAGCTATAGTGATGTATACAGGCGAAATAACTATACGAGAGCCTGAAACTACTTGTCTCATCAATGGCACATAGGGCTCGTCCCCTGGTTTTTGCAGGAAACTCAGTGACTTCTCCAATTTTCCTCCCAAGCGGATGGAGAAATCAATAAATGTTCACCGAACATCTTCGACCTAGAGGGTGGGAACTTGAATTATTCGCTGGCCGCACCAACTCCTTTCCAACCGTAGCGAAGAACTTGCTGTCAGTCCCAAAAACACAAACCGACACACAAAAACACACTGGAACAGGAACACACCTCTCGCGCTAGGGTTCCTCTCACGTTCCTTCTGTTTTCAGATCCATCCTTAACTCATCTGCCCAAAGGACCTGGAACTAAAAGTTGAATGTTTTGGGGCCATGACAAAATATGGATCATGGGAAAACCAAAAGGTCAAGAGGTCGAATCGCTTTGAACAATTGAGACTTGGAATTTTGTGGCATCCAACTCTTGTACAGGAACCTCTTGGGACCGCGTTTGGGGGGCATGGGCTTCCATTTTCTGATTTTCCGCTGCCTCCAAATTTTCCGGTCCTCCTTGTCCTTGGCGGAAGGTATCGCCTCCTTCTCCGGGACATTCGCTAGGGACGGGGATGGGGTCACCGAGCGGGTGCGCTTGGGCTTCTCCGACTCGTCCTGGCTCTCCACCTCGGGACGTCGGAGACCGGCAGGCGGTGTGGGGGGGCGATTTGGAGTGGACTTGAGGTTGCGGGCAAAGGCAGGCTTTTTCGGTGGAAACCTGTTGGGTTCATAGTGACGTGCTTAAAACCAGAGGCAACGGGGGTGGCACTGATTGGTTGAAAGTAGGGCTATGAGCTGTAAACCTCAACCGAAGAGTTGCGGCTTGCAACTCAAGCAAACAAAGTCAATGATAGGGGGTTGTTGGATTGATTGGAGGTTGACTAGCCATCCTAGGTTCAAGGAGAATGGGATAGACAAACGCATTGACAATTGACACATTATTCAGAATAAGGGGTACCCACTTGGATCTTCAACCCACTTCGAAGTAGACAACCACGGCTACGCCAACCCAACGTCAACCGCTTCATCAAGCCGGTGGGTTGAAAGGAAGCTTCCCCCTAGTGAAAGCTTCTTTGTCGCATGGGGCACTGTGAATCAACCAGAGGTTGATTCTCCCGATCCTGAGTACCAATTCCACGGAACCTCAGCGCACCTAGAAAAGGCCATGGTTCTTTCGTGACCCGCAGGCAACAAAACAGAGTTCATCGAAGACGGTAAAAAAGGGGACCGAACCGACCAAAAATAGTGGGAAAATTGGGAAGGATCAATTCAAGTCTCTAGCTGGAGGTTCATGACTGTAGGGCTCTTCCAGGATAGAAGCCCCAAATGGAGATCCTTTGTGGAAACGCATGGTATATGAACCGCCGGTTGGTCACATTGAGTAGAAACTCCCCCTGTTCCGCAGGAAGCGGATAAACTAGCAAGGTAGATAACCACAACATACCCTGCCATCAAACGGCGTACACAAACCGCCCCGCAACGGGGTTCCACGAGCAATCGCTCAGCCAATCTGAGGCATGGTGTGAAAATCACCATGAATGCCCATGACTATTCGTTCACATAGGAGGTTATCCTCTCACTTCCTGAGTCTGAGAAGGGCCAAAAACGTCCCAACTTTGTGTAAGCCACTAAAATGGGTCTTCCCAAAAAGTTTAAAGTCCGCGAGCTCAGGAAGTGAGTCTGTTAAGCCACAGAAAGTGGCCCCAAGGTCTAGGCCAGGTGTGAAACTGCGCAACGTCGCCCGCCTCAGAGATCCACTCGTGGCGGTTCAGGGTGGCCAGATCGATCCTTTGTCGCGGCTCCAGCTGCAAGAGGCCAAGGACCACCGACTTCGCCTCTCGATGCGCGAATCGCGAAAACCAAAACGCCTCTCCTTCGCTCCACGGAAAGGCGGGCGAAGTGGGAGGGGGTGAGCTCGCCTCTCTAGCCCCGAAGCCCTTTAACTCCAACCTTTTCTGCTGGTTGGTTGCTGGCAGCTGAATCCGGAAGATACACCTTCGTAGCCAGCGCTCCCGGAAAACAAGCCGAAAGAGTTGGATTTAAAAGTTGGCCCCAAACCAGAATGGGCCCAAGCATATTTTGTTGGGCCCACTATTTGGCCGCCAAGCTAATTTGGTTTCAATCGTTAGAATGCAGGTGCAAGCCAACGAGACAAAGACACCTCCTCGTCGGAGATGAGTCTGTATCCCTGTATCATTTCGATTTCTCGTAAGGTGCTGAAGGGGTGCGATTAACACGAAACATCTCGCCCTATCCCGCGCGCCAAACTGGGAGCACTCTTTGTCCAGGACTATCAAAGCCAGCACCAGCAGGCCGTCCAAGCATTCCGTGTGGCAGTATCCCTGATTGAAAGAAACGGCCATGCGTCCGATTGAGTGAAACGTCCTGTGCCTCATATGCAAACACAATACGAAGCGAGACATCTGCAAATTGAGTCGGAAGATACCACAATCAGCTTCCTCTGATGGGTGGTTTGGTGGTGAAACGGGGTGGCTTCCCATCTACCATCTACAAGAACCAGGGCTTCAAATCCGAATCCAAACCAACCAACAACCTGACGGGAAACCCAATTTTGATAGAAACCTGCGACACACTCCCCCACCCCCCCCCCTTCCACCTCAGTTTCTGACCTTGAAAAGCCCTAGATTTGGTCAAAATCATGAACCCAATTAAAGACCACCAAATCGGGCCACTTAAGGAGAGTCGATTCGAATCTCCGAGCGGCGGTCTCGCTGATCTTCAGCTTCCCCACGATGGCCACCAGCTCCTCCTGCCTGAGCCACGAGTCCGGCTTCGTGCCACGCGGTGCGAACAAGTCACCCACATATTGATAGTTTAATATATATATATATATAAACAAAATATAATATTACTTAAATGGATTGTCTGGGAGTGGTCACTTCCAGTCATTCTAAAACAAAATCATTCTTTCCCCAAGAACAACAGTTTGACAGCTAACACCTGGCCGAAAAGTCCTCTCTTCTTGCAAAATGTCAAGCACCTTGCAAACCAAAATCCTGCTTTCCCGAAAAGCCGGCCTTAAACAGCTTGCGAACAGAAGTCACTTCTTGTTTCATGGGCGAAAACCATCTCGCTCCACCTAACAAACCCTGGAATGAAGACCCCCTTGCAAATACCAACCAACCATGGTTCCCTTGGTTTCTTAGGCGGTGCGAACGGATTTCGTCCCACAGTATGTCCATCATGTTTGCGACCGGATCAGCTCAGGTCAGGATTGACTCCGGCCCTGTCCGGCTTCCAAGGTTCCCATCCAAGGTCGATTCCCAGGAACCAAAGGTAATTAAGTCAATTGTGGTGTCTTTTGCTCTGAAGCTAGCACGAAACGGCTCTCATATGTCTCCTTAACCGGGGAACAAAAGTTTCGGGGCAAGTTACGCAGAGCTTCAAAAGGCGACAAAAGTGAAACCAAAGCCGTCTTGAGATGAAGCCTGGGAGAGGGTAAATGGACATCCCTCACCTCCAAACCGGCACTCGGCTTGGAAAGCTGAACTGCTTGAATTTGAGTGGCACGTCCCCCATTCTTGTCCCGAAGGCTATAGTCTGGCAACGTGAGGATCAATGTGAGGCTGCCAAAAGGTATCCTCAAAATACACGCAGAAATGTTGATCGAAGAAATTCACAGCGACCGGCAGCCCTGGTTCCAGCAGAGAAAGGGCACCCTTGGGCAATTGATGCAGGACAACCCTGGTGAACCGTTGGACCAAGAAGCAGCGCCGGAAAACGCACTTCCGGAAGGCACCATGGAAGAACGCCACATGATGGAACCCACTTGCAGAAAGTGAGGCGAAGAGGTTGATTTGCTTTGGGCAACCCAGTTTCCTTCAAGCAAAGGAGACCGACGTCGAGACGAAGCGAGCGAAAAGCGGCAAAAAGCGCCTCGTGGGGATCTTGGAGAAGGGGAAGTGCCCGGCCAGGAGCACGAAAAGCAGCACCCCGAGGCACCACAAGTCCGAGCTGAAGTCGTGAGAGTCCTCACGGACAGGTACAAACCAGTGGAACAACTGTGGGGAGCCTGGTCCATTTCCAGGTGCCGAGCAAGGACAATGTCTGGGAAATAACTGGGGTTAACTGCAAAACACGTCTAAACAAAGCTTGGCAGCCTGACCCTGAAATGGAAATTTGAAAAGGCAAACGGAGGTTGTGCAAAACAATAGTGGAATAGTCATGCCTTAAACAATGAGTTGGTGGGAGGCCTCGAGCGCGTGCTTGCAATAGCAACTTGGCCGCTGTAGGAATGCACTCCAGACACCCTCGAGCAAAACGGGGCAAAAGCAAACCAATGAGCTTGAAATTTTCACTCAGCAAGCTGAAACGAGATCAAGCGGGTTCTGCAACCTCATGGTATGGCCCTTTCACTTGTTCCGACCCCATTTTCACTCAGCACCAGCAAGCTGAGACGATATCAAGTGGGTTTCAACCCGGTGCGTTTTCACATCTGGCCTCCCTCAAGACCTCGGGCGCTGTATATGGGCGAGTGCCCACCGTGGACCGCGCTTCGCTGAAGCCCGCCCCGATGGCCTGCGGATTCTATGTCCGTTTTCCCGATCTGGAGTGCCCGAAACTCATGGGGTTACCACCAACTAGGTCCTCCAGTAGAAAGGTTCGAATAAGGGTACCCTTTTTCTGTAGTCTACTTTAGTAGGGGAACCCTCCCCCAAAAAAGGGCAAAAGGCACTACTGGGCGAAACACCGAGGTCATCCTTGGGCCCCTGCTACAAGCTATAAAATTCAAGAAATGATCATAGGATCGCAATGTTAGCGATTGCTTAGCCCCCGAAATGACTTGGGCACCTTTGCTTGAAAACATGGTCGTACGAAGACAAGCATGCATCCTATAACCACTCGGCGGAGTATGTGGACGACAGGTTTTGCCAGATTCACAAAGCATGCGATGCGCCCAAGGTCCATCAGTGAAGAGCCATTGCTGACAGAAAAACTTTCAACCAACATTCACCCCGGAGCTAAGCAGCACCCCTCCAAAAGTTTGTGGAACACCCACTAGAAGGAAGTGGACGCCCCCCGACTGAAATTAATCAGGGGTTCTGCTCCCGGGGTTCCGACTAGCTGACTCCTCCATTTGCTTAAGTCCCTGGAACAAAATGAACCATATGTCCAGTAGTGACAGATCCCCTTTGAAACCAACTGGGGGAAACAACAAGCATATTCACCTCAGCAAATGGAAACATATGCTGAGTGGAAAGCTTCCCACCTCCAAGCACCCCCACTGGCCTTGGACAGCCCGAAGTCTGTGATCTTCACCTCCGTTGGGATTCCCGCCAATTTGCTTCAAGAAACAAGCCCTGGGTTTTGGGTTTCAGGTTTCGGGCAAAAGGGACAAGCACAATGAATAATTCCAACTCTAAGGGTTTAGGGGCTTAAGGCCCCCTTTGAGGGGGACAAGCAAAGGAGTTTCTTCAAAGTGCGGATGAAATCAGCGGCAAATAATAGAGCTACACCTGAAGGAAGGGACACCAAGTAAAAAAAAAAACAGCACCATAGGCAGCTCATGTTGTGCCCCTCGAATCAGTGAGTTTGGAATTAAGAAACGGGGCAGCCAACTGTTTGGGAAGCGAAGCACATCCAACCCACACCCGGCTGAATTGCGATAAACCTAGCAGGGTGCCCTAGGTTCCGCGTTTGCGCGACATGTGAGTGTGTCTCTAAAAGGGACACCTTTGTGGTTGGAGGGGGAGGTACACAAAAAGGAAAAGCGGGAAACCAACAACTTCGCTCCTTTTTGGGGAGTCGCAAATGCTGAGACACACCCATCAAGTAGGACCCTACCGCAATCGTGGCAACTTGCAGTCACAGACCCGGCGGGGCAACTTCCAACCATGCCTTCCAACCCTTCCAGACAAAAACAAATGGATGTGTTTCTAGAGGTCCCTCCAACTTGGTGGCTTTCAACTTTCCTTTCGGTCCCCCTTTAAAACCAAACAAGGGACTAACACGGGGGTACCCTCCGAACAAGACAGACCCAAATCATTGGCTTGTGAAATTGTTGAAATGTCATGCGGGTCGACCCCCAGCAAACCCTTGGCCCACAGGGCTCCGTATATCTTCGCGCATCACCCCAAAAGGATACTCACCTAGTTCCTCCAGTAGAGAGGTTAGAACGAGGGTACCCTTTTTCTGTAGTCTATTTAAACGGTCAAAGGGCCCCAATTGCTGGGGGACCTAGCCGCCAAGGTGATAGATTGAAACCCCTCGGCCAACCTAAAGGTCCGGCAAGCAAATGCGTGCACGTCGCCGTGTAGAGCGTGAACGGCTTCTCCCTCCTCTCCCCAGCAACCAGCACCTAGGATCCGTCGGGCAGCTTGGGTCCTCGTCGTGCTTGGTTCGGCCAGCTCGTGGTTCCCAAAAAGGTGACCAAAAGGGCCGTGTGAACCACCTGTTGAATCATTGAAATGAGTTTCCTCCATTTCCCTTTTAAGGGAACCTCCAAAAGTGGCAGATTCAATGGACACCAGAAAATCGCAACTTTTGAGAGCGAAATCCAGTGACCCCTGCTAATGTTTAAACACTGTTGTGTCAAAACACTGCTTTTAGTCTCCTTAAAGGGGATCAGAAGAGTCTTGTTTAAACCCGCCTTGGCAAACTTGAGCACTGGGAAGCCATGACCCAAGACGACCTTCTGACATCCAAACGCTAAACGTTCAGACAAGAACAACTGTGAAGGCGACCAAGCACTGAGAAACCATAACCCTCCTTTTGCTTGAGCCCGTAGAGAAACAAACATGTTTCCAGTGGTGACCGATTGCATTTAAGACAAAGAAGGGTGCTCATAAAACATCGTCTTAAGCAAATGGAAGTAAGTTCACTCGAGCCCACAGAACCTTGGTTGAACACCGGGTTCGTTCAAATCCCAGGCACGTTCTCCAGCTTCATGTCTCGATGGATGATGCCCTGACCTCAGTCACGGCGCAGCAAAGCACCGGCATCGGATTCAACCCGGAAGGCCATTCGAACAAACCGCAAAAGGCGGTTCCCCCAAACAACGGCACACTCACATGGTTGACTCTGTCCTTGTTCTAAATGCTTCCATTCTTCACCTCACCTCCAAACCCCACACCAACCGCACAGTGACATTTCTCACCTCCAAAACAACCTGAAACTGCCCAACGTACAAATTGATGCCTCGGATCGGCTCCGACGTTTTGCTTGGTTGCGGTTGACCCCTCTGCATAAAGTTGTGCACCTTTTGTGGGGACCGGAAAATTTCACCGTGTTTCAACCAAATAGCTAAAATCTAAGTGGGTTGGGTTCAGGGAATCCAATGGAAAGCCTTAGTTGTAAAGATCTGTTACCCCATGGCAATCCGGTGGTGGGGGCCTTGAGTTACCGGGCTCAATACGGAAAACCCTTAATGGAGTTCAACCAACAAGTTGAAGGCTAAAGATTCAACCTTAGTGGGTTCAATTTAAAACCAAAGATCCGTTACCCAATAGCAATCAAGATTGGAAGGCATATAACCCTGTTCATATTGGCCAACCGGCTGAAATGCCCAGAAATCCCCCCATAACCCCGCTCATATTGGCCAACCGGCTGAAACACCCAGAAATCCCCGAATCCCGCCCATTTGGGAGCTTTACATTGTAAATAGCAAAAAGGGCTTCTCAAAGACTAACCCCATGAGGGGGAGGTTGCCTTGGAACATTCTGTGGATGATCCACGAAATCCTGCACCACCTAAGAAACCCAACGGAATGATTTGATTCCCCAACGTAAATACCGATGCACAATGGATTCTTATATGGTGCAGGATTTCGTCCATCCACAGTATGTCTTATGTTCCTCTGGTTTACTCTTGTCATAGTGTTGTTTTTAGGGACTCTATCACTTTGAATGTGTTGATTTTCTTTCCAGGGGACTTGCCATCTCAGCCACTAAATGACGTGAAACCTACCAAAAGAAAGCTCATCTCAGAGGAAAATGTCAGTGGGTGGGAGGGCAAGTCCCTGTTTTTAGGGACTCTATCCATCCACAGTGGGGATTCCCTCAACGCCTTTGATCCCGCAACCCGCAACCCGGCCCAGGCGCTGTGCAAGAAGCCCAGGCCCTCCGCGAGCTGCGCCAGCACGAAGGCGGCCTAGCTTCGGCCCGAGACGGATGCAACGACTCTTGGCCGCAGCCAAGGGACAGATTGCTTGGATAACCACTCAAAACACATGATATCATCAATGCGAAACCCTAAACAAACCCAACGGAATGATATTTGACTCCAACGCAAACACCAAGATACCATGGTTGATCAAGCGGGTTGAGCCAACAGAGCCCATGAAGATGGGATGGCCATTGGGGTTGATTTAACCCATCTGCAATTCTTACCACGGTGAGCTCGTTCTACCCCGGTAGAACATAGGCAGAATAGCGGGGTTGATCAAACGGTCCCATGAACGTGGGACCATTTTTTGCAAACCGCGAAAACCATATTTGATACGTCCTAGATGGGAAAAGTTACCCATGGTCATTTGGAGCGAGGAGCGTTGACTAACCCCCCATACACCAACATTTCACCAATTTGGAAGGTGCACGTGGGTATACACTGCATACTGGGCTATGGCAAGGAGAAAAGAGAACCGCAAGGGTCCTTATGGAACTGGGGGATTAAACATATGTCCTTTTGACACCCCAGAACTCTCGGGGAATACGGTAACTTACCTCAGTCTGGTTGAGCACGGTATAGTTTCTTAACTCACTGGGCCCACTTTGACATAGAAATGACAATCTATCACTTTTGGAGGCCTTTCACAAAGTCGTTGAGAAAGTGGGTTCCCTGAATTTTCAACCTCACTTGCCCAAATATGGATCCACATTAAATAAAAAACACCGGATCAACGTCCAAGGGTTCCATACAAATCTGAACCTCACTTGCCCAAAGGATCCGCAAACAAAAGGAAAACAAAACACGCCACCGGGACCCACGTCGATCCACCTCCACTCGAAAGCTGCGGGGGCGCCTCTTTCTCGTGCAGCCGCGGGGGCTCGCGGTTGGTGAGCACCGTGTAGAGGTCGCCGCCGCCCACCAGCTCCAAGACCAAGAGGAACCAATCCCCCTCCTCGAAGGTGTCAAAGAGCCTTCCGAATGGGAAACGAGACCAAAATCTGCGCCAGGATGGAAAGCCCACGTCGAAGGGCAAGACTAGGTTCAGTAGAGAGGTTAGAATAAGGGTACCCTTTTTCTGTAGTGTTTTTTAGTAAGGGAACCCTTCCCCAAAACAGTTGGTCAAAGGGCACTACTGGGGAGCATAGAAGAGGGAAACAACACAGACCCTCCCACCAATTCACAGCCGGAACCTGACGGGAATTTCCTTTAAAATGGAAAATGTTGTCTTCTCAATTTCCCGCTCACCAATTCTTAACAGCCGGAACTGTTCGACGTGGGAATCGGTCCTGGTTTGGTGCGTGTTCCCTTTAAAGGGACCATTTCCCGAACGTCGGGTTCCGGAAGTTGATTTGTGGGAGGGTAACCAGTTTGGACCAAAAAACAACGAGAAGGTGATCACCTTTTGGGGCCATCACGGAGAAAATGGGAACCCAACAAGGGGAAACCAAAAGGTCACAAGGGCGATGCGCTTTGGGCAAGCAGAACCCCGGGTCAAAATAGTTTCCTTGGGATCTGCAAGGCGCAATCCATCCGGCATAATCGGACTTATAGACTCCTTGGCCCTCACGCAACAAATCCCGGATAACCCTGATAAGGGGAACTGCTTTCTTGGAGATTGTCCTTCAACTTTCTGGTGGTGTCCATTGAAACTGCCACTTTTCGTGATTCTAAAAAGTGCAGAACCCCTGGTGGATTTTGAGTGGGGGGGTTCCCTTTTTAGTGTGGATTCATCGCTGGAGGGGAACACCGGAGCACCCGCTTAATTATCAATAGAACGGGCTTTACTTCGATCTGGGGTCAACACACATCACGCCGTTGCAAGGAAACTCACTGTAATTAAATGAGCCCAGGTGATGTTAAAAAATCATCCGAAATGGATCGATGGGCCTCACTTCCTGAGACTGTCAAAGAGACCCTTCCCAGTACTGGTGACCAAAGAGGTTAGTTTGGTTTCGGCGGTAAGCAAAACCCAATGGCTTTAACTTAAAAACTCGGGATGTTTGAACCATGGCTTCAACCATAGTGGCTTGAACAAAACCGTAGAAGCTGATGCCACAGAAGCTCATAGTGGATTGAAACCATAATTGACGCGAGGGCTTGGCAACTTTTGGCAACGAGCGGCTGAACGATGGCCGGGTGCGGGGGCAAGCGCTTCAAGATCTCCACCTGCAGCGGGTGACGTGACTTTGGGTGAGGCGGGTGACGCCTGAGTTGTGCTTGAGGTTCCCCTTTCCCGCGGTTTTTTTCTCCTTTCTCCGGGGAAGCCAAAGGAGAACCACCATTGTTGAAGGGGTTCTCCACAAAATGGACACTCCCAAAGGCCGCAGCTAAAAGAAGCTTCCGGAAAGAAACCTGAGAAGGAGCCAAGACAGGCTCGTCCCACGGCAGGGCCTGGCAGGTTCCATGTTTACAAACCAGAGGAAAGAAAGTACAAAACCCAGGCAGGTACCGTACCTCACTTCCTGAGTGTGCTTTTCAAAAGGTATAAATCTTCGTTTGCTACTAATAGTCGTCCCAAAAAGGCTACAAGTCCATGAACTCGGGAAGTGAGGTACCTGTCCTCCACTGAGCATGGTGGATTTCCAAGAGGACAGTCTAAGAGCCTCTCTGCACTTCCACGTCCGTTGGGAGGGTGGTCGCTCTGCAAGCAGTAGGCTTACATCCCATCATGAACTCCACATTCTGCGTATGGCTTGCTTCACTTTTGTCATCGGCAGATGGCAAGAAAACTTTAGCCCCAAGTACTTCCACCATTCACCATTCAAAGGCCTGTTTTAAACAGAGCTGCAACAAGGTTGTCCAAAAATCACGGGCTCCCCTGAACGAACAAGAAGGTCGCTGTTGCAGGCTGTACAGCAGGCTAAGGAGATTCCGAAATATTCCAACAATTGAAGGGGCCGTTTGCTGCATCCACGACACTCCATTCATCCTGCGAATGAAAGCACTCTCGGGAACATCTAGGAATCTTCTTTGGCTCGCCAACTATCTTTCTCTCAATCCGTCAGGCCTCTGACAGAGGCCAACCAAAGGAAAATCTTCACCAATTCGCCACCCATTTAAATGAAGGAGCCACCACGATCCCAACATGGGCTGAGACTCCCAAACTCGCTTCCTGAGTGGATTCGCCTCACAAGGTCCGACTTCCTGTTTATCCCTGAAATAGTCCAAACCCCAAAAGTACTTTGCGTACTCTTTGCGTGCAAAAGGCTCAGGAACAAAAAACTCCATGCTCCCAAACACGGACAAACATCGGCCCCGTCTGAAACCGACCCCCGCTGGAAACCAACGAACTAGGTCCCAACGCAACCGCTGCCCGCGACTTCCGTTCGTTGAACTTCCATTTGCTGAAAAGTTTCCCTTTCGGTTAAAAAGGGAATCTGTCACCACTGGAAATAAACGAACTCAAAGGGGGTAGATTCCCTTTAAACCCACGACTAGGGCCTCTACCACTTCTCTGTTTTTTTTGTTTCAGGGACAAAAAAGCAAACCAACAACCGCGTGGAGCGCCTCGCGGCTCAGCTTCTTCTCTTCGCGCTCCGCGTTGGGCTGCAAGTGGAGCCGGCGCAGGTCCACCGCCTTCACCGCGAAGCCCCCGCCCTGCGTGCCCTTCCTCGGAGACTCCGAGACGTGGGCAGGTGATCGGATCCAAGGGGAATCAATGAAGCCCCCCCCCAAACAAACAAAGAAAGGAACACCCCCTCCCCCCCCAAGCCCAAAGAAAAAAACGAATACTCCCACACAAATGGCCTGACTGAAAAAACAAGAAAAACTGAAGAACAAATCGACACCAGGTTGACCCCCCTCTTGACTTCACGTTCACTTGACCATTTGCTTTAAGTCCCCTGGACAAAATACAAGCCATTTGCAGTAGTGATAGATTCCCTTTAACACCAAAAAGGGACAATACAACATATTCAGTTCAGCCCAGCACATGGAAGCTCATTTGCTCTCACCCCGACACGCGCGCGTGGATTTTTGTTCCTCCGGTCTCGAGACCAATCCGAGGCGCTTGTTGCACACGAAGACCTGGCCGGAAGCCCCGCGACCGAGCTCCCGGCCGCGGCGATAGCCGTGGAAGTACTGGGGCGGCGCGCCCTGCTTCACCTGGGAAGCCGCATAAAAAGGTGAAGAAAACGGGGCACCAAAAAGGGGAACTAAAAAGGGGAACCCAAAAGGAAACACAAAGAGGAACCTTTTTTAATTTTTCGGGGAATCAAAAGGAAACCACCCCAAGAAAAACAAACATGGGTGGGGTTCCCAAAACAAACAAACCTTGAAACGAAGACAAACACGCACACAGACACACACCCTGTTCTTGTTGGGTCGGGGGTGGACCACTTTTCGTGAGAACCCACTCCAAAACAGATTTTAAGTGTGAAAACTGAATTCCTAGGTCGAGGCAGCACAGGCAGCACAAGGCTGTGTGCCGCGCATGAGTTTGAGGTGCGGAGGGAATTCACATGCATTTCCAGGGACCCTCAAAGCCCCCCCCCCAAAAGGAACGTTCTCAAATCTCAAACGCGTCATTTGTAGAGGCACGTTCCTTTGGGATACAAAACAACTGAGAAACTGCTGTGTTGCCTCTGATTAGGAGCTAACAAATCCATTTCTCTGCAAATCTTACTATAATTTCATATAATTTCAAAAGGGACCCCCAAGCAAAGGACCTTTCTCATGGTGAGCTCGTTCTACCCGAACACGAGCTCGCTATAAGATAGACTGATTTATAAACACAGGCGGAGTGGTTCGCGTCTCAGCGATCCGCGCCCACCTCCACCAGATCCTCGTCATCGGAGCCCCCAGTGACGTCCACCACTTCGGTGACCAGGTCGTCGCTGTCCGCGTGCACGTCCACCACACCGCCGGCAGGCTCCATGAGGCTCCATTCGCAGCTTTTCCGAGGAAATCGATCCGCGTGGAGCCCTCTGTTTGTGGAGTTGGTAGAATTTGGAGGCTGTTGAGTGGAGCACTGGTAACCCTTTGGAGCTTGTGGAGTGAAGAAACAAATGTTTGCAGTTGGGGGCCAGTTTTGTGAGTTGCCAGCCGGACATCCAAGCCGATGCGTTCAAGAGAAATCGAAAGGAACACCTGCCCAAGACAAACCCAAGAGTCGGCGACCTCCCTGAAATATACGTTTAAAACAATCGCAAACCCACCACTTGTCAATCGGCCCTGCCTATCTTTCCATTCCGCTTTCGCAGTTCCTCTTGGGTGCAATTATGAAAAACAGAACTCAAAGTGCAACCACCTACTCACCTGCCACTGAAAGATGCTCGTTCAGTGGAGCTGCATCAAAAGTGCAACCACCTCACTTTGGATTGAACACTCACTTCACCATTTCGGATTCAGCACATGTCTCTTACCCAGCTGCTGGAGACCTCCTCAAAAAAACAAGATGTGCCAGTTGCAGGTAGGTTCGCCGCAGCACTAACAGTTGCCGCGCTTCTTTTCAACTTAGGGACCCTCTGTTTAGGCCTGGCATCCTTTTGGACCCAAACCAGCTCCCCACATAACGCAAGCCACGTGGACAGCTCGAATTCGGACGACTCTGAGCCAAGGCTACGGAGCAACGCGTCGATGGCTCAGCCCCAGCACTGACTGCCCGCTTCCCTGCCAACAAGAGACTCCCAAAGAAAACACGCGAGGACCCGTAGGCGTGATTGCCCCAAAGAGAAGCTCTCAGGTCGGTTTAGAGGTCCGTGCCTCAATGTTTGCAAGCGCGTTCGGCAAGGGAAATCCATATGCGCCCCGCGCCCACACAGGGGATTACAAGGGCATATGCTTGGGGCGTATCTACCCAAACAGTGAGTCGTCTACCCGTAATTTGGCCATGAAACTGCGATTCAAATGATTCTTCCAAAGGGGGGATTTGAGTAAAACTTTTGATTGGCAGGCATCATTCACTTCCTGAGTTGTGTCCGCCAAATGACAAAGCCAGCTAACGACCCCCGAAGAAAACTCAGACAAATCTCTGAATGCAGGAACTTTCATTCGGGTGCTTTTCCATATTTAGTTTCCCCTGCAACAACCCCGAAATGGAAGGGGGACACCGCGTGGGGGGCAGTCTTTCCTTTCTTGCGGGTAGTTGAAACTGATAGCAAAACGAAACGAAGCAAGAGACAGAATACAAACAAGCCAAATGTAATAAGCAAGCAAACAAGCAAACAAACAAGCAGAAACCCTTTGGCCTGGCAGCTCTCTCAGTCCCTCTCGCAGAGGTCGACTCCACCTCTCAGGCGGAGACTCGCTGGCGACGATACCAAAGTGGCCGTTGCCTCAGCGTCTCAAGTGAAAACACCAATGCACCACGGTTCCTCATCCAGAAACCATCATCTTTTTACAATTTGGAGACGGGGGTCTGGATGCAGAGCTGGAGCCAATTTGTGCCAATTTGTTTCCTGGTGTAAGTGGAGTCCTGGATCTATTGAGGTGTAAGTGCCAATTTGTAAGGTAAGTGTATCTTGGTGTAAGTGGAAGTGCCAATTTGTTTCTGGGTCTATTGAGGTTGCAAAGTGGGGCCCGTCTATGGAGCCGTGGATCCGAATCCGTGACCCCTAGTGGGACACCACAGCAGGCTTCCTTCACGCATGCATCCCAAGACCGCCACATTTTCGCGGATTTGGGCCCTCACCAACTGGGAAAGGTGATGCCTTGACTGGCCCGAACGCTTGTTTTATATATATACATATATATATATATATACATATTGTTCTATATAATTATTTTTCAGGCGATTGTACAACAAGGGAAACGACGAACATCTGGCAACGGGATTCGAGCTTGAGTTGGGAGAGCAAAGGGCCACGATGGGTCTTGTGGGATTCGCTGCTGAACATATAAAAGCCAGGCTTCCGCAAACCGCGCCTTGCAAGTGCAAGCGGCAACAGGAGGAGGAGGAGGAGGAGGAGGAGGAGCAGGAGTAGGAGCAGGAGCACGAGCAGGAGCAGGAGGAGTAGTAGTAGTAGTAATAGTAGTAGTAGTAGTAGTAGTAGTAGTAGTAGTAGCAGTAGTAGTAGCAGTAGTAGTAGCAGAGGCAGCAGTAGTAGTAGTAGTAGTAGTAGAAGTAGTAGTAGTAGTAGTAGTAGTAGTAGTAGTAGTAGTAGTAGTAGTAGTAGTAGTAGTAGTAGTAGTAATTAGTACCAGGAGCAGCAGCAGCAGCAATAGCAATACCAACAACGTAGAAGTATAGCAGCTTGAGTAACAGCAACCATGACAGCAGCACGCTCGGCTTGCAAAATCGACATCCCCCCGCCACGTCGTCCGCGAAAAACCACGAAATCCTTCCGGAGCCCTCCCTGACATGGGGCAAAGACCAAGCTTTCAGCTGGGAAAGTTGGCCAAGGATTAACAAAACCTGCGTCATGAATTCCACGGAAAGGGGGCACTACGTAAAACCCAAGGCGTCGGCCGCCGATGTCGCAGGACTCTGCCAGGAAGTTCCCCTGCTCAGCCTAACTCGGCTTCGGCTTGCTTTCACCTTATGGGAGGGGAGTGGCGTGAATTCCATCGGCTTCAGGCAGGCTTTCTGTCGCTTCCATCCTGGCTCCTCACAAGTCTCAAGGGTCGGCTGGGTGGCCTGGCTGTTCAAGAGACCTTCTGGTTCCATGTTGGTGGGGCCTTCTTCACCTTCTTGTCCAGTCCTAAGAGTCACTGGGACCTACAGTGGATGCCCGACATGTTGCAAGTACAGGACACCGGAACACCTGAGACTTGCCATCTAAGTCCTCCAGTAGAGAGGTCAGAAAAAGGGTACCCTTTTTTTTCTTCTCTGTAGTCTATTTCAGCAAATGAACGCTCCCCCCAAAAAAAGGGGTCAACGGGTGCAGTACTGGGGGACCTAGCCATGCTTTGTACCTGGCCTTCTTGCATTCGTTAGGGAACAAGACCCCTGGCATCCAGCCGCTGGGCAGCTGACGACCAACACGCCGCCCTGCAGGTTGTTCTTCACCTGGCACTTCACCTTGGCAAGCAATGAGATCAGAGCTGAATGCATGGACCCATGCATTGGGTGCTGAAGCCCATTTTTCATGACTACAACTAACACTGTGGCAATTGTGATTCTTGTAATCCTTTGTGATCGTTCACATTATTGGAGCCATAACCCGAAGCTCGTTGGTGAATTCATTTAAGTTTCTCTTTGTGGCTTCATTGGGGGAAGCAACACCAAAGGGCTAGCAGCAAATGGGTCAGCTCATCATGCGCTTAGAAGTCCTAGGTCAACCGTGGCCTGGAGCCTACGCTACGGCTCCAACTAGAACCGTTCTGCCCCGGAAGACCTGAATAAATGTGCTTTTCTTTCTGTCTTTCTTTCTTTTCTTTCTTTCTCTCGCTCTCTCTCCCTCCCTCTTTTGGTTACCAGTTGGCCCTTGACTGGCCACAAGCGCAACAGCATGTGGTCAACCAAGATGGCAAATGCCCGGCACAGTGAGCGCAGGGGCCCTTGAAACTTTAATGCCCTTTCCACGCATATTGAGACAGTGGATGCCCCGTTCGCCATATTGTTAGCAGGGGAACCAGGAAACCCTGGAATGTGGTCGTTTTGCTTGCAATCTTTACGGCGTCCACCGGAGCTCCCAGCATCCATTCCTCGACCAGGAACTGAAACCAATTCGATATATGCAGAAATACAGGTGTGAGTAGAAAGGCTCTGCTTTTGGCCTATTAAACTATAAGTCAACTCACTCCCTGATCGAACTTGGCCAGGGCCTGGTTTCTCCACTTGGCCGGCTTCTGGGGATGGAAACAATTGGAAAAATATGTTCTGATTCTGCTTCATCCGGCAAATTTTGGAGGAGACCCCAGGGCCCCAGAATGAGACCAACCCCTTCGACCCTTCGGAAGCTCCGAGGCTCCCACGAGGCACGCAGATGCCCCGACAAGGGACACCCCGGACCCTGAGGCAGTTCCGGGTTCCGTGGCTTGGCACTGGGCTCCCTCCGGCCGAAGCTTGAAGTTGGAAGGGGAGCAAAAATCCAAATTTCAGCAGTTAAGCAACAAGAAGCAAAATGAAAGGGGATTTTAGCAACAATTTTAGCAGTTAAGTGGTTGGATTCCCACCACTAAACCACAATAAGCAAAAATGCAAAATGTTTCCCGACAGCAACACTGGAATTCGGAGGCAACCAACGGCGGAGGACAAAGGAAGGGGGCGAGGACGGGCCAAATTCGGGGGCGACCAACTTGAAATCACGGGGCTGGGGCTTGGAATCTTGTGACGCCTGTTCCGGTTGCGGTTGACCCTTGGATCTATGGCAATGAACTTGAAGCGAGACGGAAGCCGGATTCCCATCCGGATGCGGCAGCTTTGCACTAAACCAACCAAAACCATGATGTAAACTACAGTAACTTCGGGGGTTTCCTTGTTCCCTTCCTTGCAGGGGCATCGGTCCCTCTGACGGTTTCACATTTTGCAGGAGGTCCCCTTGGCCACAGAAACTGGCAACCTCCCTTCGTATTTTCAAGATGTTCCTCAGGTGGACCCCCACCTAAAAAAAAACAAAACCGAACACCCTCCCGTCAACCAAGCAGTTGAATGGGCTAGCCGCACCAAGTGGGTTGCTCCAAGTGCCTCTGAAATGTCTGACCTTTTGTGGGCTTAATGGACAGGACATACAGTATGTTTCCAGAAGGCCTCTCCGGGGCGCTGCGGTCACACCAAAGACCAGCCATGTCAAATGCTGCTTTGACGCGCCTCTACAGCAGCAGTGCCAGCAACACACACTTGTATACCAAAGTTCCCCACTCGTCTGCAACATTGGCAATTGCCATTGATCGAATGCAAGTCGCGCACATCAGCATCATTCAGAATCTATGATGCTGATGGCTGGTCCAAATGCGCTCGGAATGAGCAATTCCTGGCAGACATGCGGGTGTGTGCGTGCGTCCAAAAAGGGGAACCCGAAAATGGCGCTTGCATTTTTGGCCGTGCCGTAAACCAGGCCAAAACGGGTACCCTCAAATAAGCACACACCCATCGCATCCCATCGCTACTTGTCTTGCAACACGAATGGCTGGCCTCAGCGCCGCCCCATGCTTGCTTCAGCATGCATAAGACGCTCGAGCTTCTTCGCAGTTTCCACGAGTTGCTCGAACTCTGAAGAGGCCTTGCTCACGTCTCCCGCCTTCAAAGATTCATTCAACGAGGGTGAAACAAGGTGCAGCGCCTCGTAGGGCACTGACAAGTCATTGAAAAAGTCATCAGCCTCAGACCAAACAATCTTCAGGTGGCCATTTGAATAAACCTGCTTGGGTTCACTCGTCCGGACCAGGCGGTAGGTGGCAGGTTGTTTCCCCCTGAGCCGCAACATCTTGTCCCTGAAACTCGCCGATGCGAACCTCCCAGTCAAATCCATGCGCCGCTGATCAGGCGCAAGCTCGAATCTCAAAGCAACGCCTCATGGGTGCCGTGAAGAAAACCTTCCCTCAGCTTTTTGGCCGCACATGACACTTGAGATTCCGGGCTGTATTTAGTTAACCTAGTGAACCTTAGAGTGCAAAATGCTATCATTTCACGGGTCCGAAAAGAGGGCTCCAAAACTTAATTTGACTTTTCGACAACCTGCCTGAGGCCAGAAAGGCAACATCACTTTGGACAAGTTTCGGCTTCTTGTCATAGAGGTCCCGGATCTTCGGCAAGCGCTTCGCGCTTTTGTAATCGAAGCCTGCGGTCGCCTCAGTGTTCCAAATCAGCACCCGCTTTTTCCCGTTACGTGGATGTCCTTGAATAGGCAAAAGACTATAACCATGTTTATAACCTGGCTAACCCCCGTTATATATATATTATATATATATATATATGTATATATATTGGTATAACTTGCTTGTGGGACTTGAAGGATAACTAACGCCCCGAACTGGTTGAGAAGGCAGGAGCAACCCACTATGAAAACATGTACATCATCATTGTGGCCCTAAAGCTCCTCCCTTGTTGGTTCAAAATGTGTGCAGGATCGCGGAGCCGTAACCCGCAAAAGCAAATTAACTCAAAATGTCATGAAAACAGGGAACGCCCCCGAATGGCGGTTTTCACGTTCATGTCCCCTTTGGACAATTAGCCTCCCGAAAAACAGGCCTCCTCCCCAACATCTGAAAGTTCCTGCCCAAAGGCTCCAAAATGGCAGTGCCAGAGGGTTGGGGCTGTTGGGGTCACCGCCTGGGCGTTTGTTGTACCCAAAAACCGAGTCTCATTGTCTTGTCCCCTGTAAAGCTACGCTATCCTCCAAAAAGCACACACACACACAAAAAAAAAAAACACCTAACAACCATTAAAACAACAAAAACAGGTCACAAACTAACAATCAAAAGCCTGAGCTCCCACACAACCAAAAAGCAAACCAACAAAAGCAACACACATCACAACCTAACAACCAAACGCCAAGCAATTCGAGTGGCCACTTCCAGCTCCAATGGCAGGCCGTCAGCCTCGCAGCCCGGGACGAGGGAGAATCGTAGATCCTTCCGGCAGCCCTCTTCCACCTTCCACTCGCCTGTCCTCGGAGGATCGATATCTTTATTCAGGGCAGCCCCTTCTGCTTGGTTTCATAAGGGAAACCAAAGAGAAAACCATACTTGTTGTTTGGGGTTCCCTGATTGCAAGAAGAATCCATCTGAACAGCAAAGGAACACGGGCGGGGTACAACAAACTGCAAGAGTTTCTTCAAACATGGGCTTGAACGTGAAACAGAAGCACCTTGTAGTTCCAAGACCCCGTGGGACTAAACCCCAGCACACCGAAATGTGGTGGGTAGCTGATTCTAGAGGGCGCCCCCTCTTCCAAAACAAGGAAACACAAGGCAGCGGGTGATTGGGTGAAGGAACGGAAAGCAAGTGGAAAGCTGGAGAGCCAAATAAAAAAGAACTGTTCTTGTTTCAGCAACTTCGCAAAACGGTGTGTCTTAAGGGGGATGCAAAACATGGTTGGTTTCCTGCTGGTTTCTCTTAACGACTTCAATGCACGGGGCAGGCTTGGGAGAGCGTGGTTTGTATTTCTGCTTAGCATGTCATGAGCCAACATACCTGAATCTTCAGGTGTGCGATTTCCCGTTTGCTGAAAAAGAACACATTTCAGTCCATTGGTCGAAAATACGCTTGTTCACTGCAAACGCGTCGATTGAAATTTGGCTGGAAACATGGTCGGGGAAAGTCGCCGTTTGGTCGGGTATTGTCGCCGTTTGGTCATACATGAAGCTAAACTCCGGGCGAGAGTCTTTGCCAAGACCTCCAGGATTTTGGGCACTTTCCCCAGGCTGCGCCGGAAGTGCCGGGAGAATTGGGTCTGACAGTCGCTGGGCTGCAGCTGCTGAAACTGGTCCAGGCTTAAGACCCCCTTGGCCCTGCGGGATAATCTGTCTGGTCCTGGCCGCCGGCCAGATTTGGGTAGAAAGAACGCTGTAAAGCAGCCAGCCCCAGTGCATATAAGGATCCAAGCAGTTTACTAGTGTAAACATGGCTAGCTAGAAATCGTTTAACCATGCACCATGCTTCGGCATCCTGCGGTTTTGACACATACCCACCTGAATTTGAACAAACAACTACGTTTTGGAAGTGAGGGAGACGCAGCAAATAGATCTCCCCATTGCAGGTGCAAGGATATCTGGCTGTGTCTCAAAATGGACACCTGACAGCTATGTGCTTCCCTTGGTTCTAAATGGTGCCATAAAAACCTAGGGGTTTCGGCCTTCAGAAGGAAAAATTGCCACACAAATTGTGGTTTCCATTTGCCTTTAACTGTACTAAGCAACATACCCTCAAAAGCAAGCACGCACCCAGGCTTTTGGGTCCTGCGTGCAACAAGCACCCCAGCCAGCAAGTGACCTGGAAGTCAGCTCCCGGCGGTGTTCCGGAAATGAGATTCTGGAATGTGTTGACCTGGGTGCTCAAGAGGTCTGGCAATGAAGGAACCCTCAATCTGTTTGGGACACTCGGTCCAGGGATCTGGCAGGTGCCATGTTTAGAGGGAAGCATCCTTCCCTTCTGGCGTTCCTGAGCGGAAATTCAAGAAAAAGCTAGCTAGTACCCAGTGACGAATGATGAGCAGTCCGTATCGATGGTGGTGTGTCCGTTGCCGCAGGCATGCGCAGAAGCGGGGCAAGCGGGGCCGGTCTGTAACTCGCGGAGCTCAGAGTAGCAAGGGCGTTGAAAGGAGGCGAAGGTGCAAACGCACTTCTCCATGTCCTCAGATGCCCAGTGGATTTCCGTGGAAAAAAAGCATCGAATTTGTTGGTTGATTGACTTCAAGGGGGAACCCTTCCCAAAAGAAAGAAGGAAACAACAGTGGCCGTGGGGAAAAACAGGGCATCCTTTTTGTTTGGTTGATTGATTTCAAGGGGGAACCCTTCCCAAAAAAAGGAAACACAAGGGCACCAGCGGGCAACTGGGTGTCGGCCTTTACGAAGGTCAAGGCTTTGCAAGTGCTGGACACCACCAGGTGGTTCGTCTTCTTTCCGGGCGGCCTGCTTCTTCCTTCCGAGCCTAAAGCGCCAGCCATAAGCAAAAACGACCCCGCCACCCCGTCCCCGCTCCCCCCCCCCACAAACAACAAACAAGGTTCCCCCTCTAAATTAGGACGCACACACACAAACACACGCAACTTAGTCAATCAGCGGTTTCTTCATCCGGACTGAACATGACCAAGTAAGCCAGGCCATGTTGCCCAGTGACCCTGTTAGGAAATGGCACTCCTTTTGTGACTTTGACGATTTTGAGTGGAGATTCCACCAAACTAAAAGGGATTAGAGGGTGGAATGCGCTGAGCAAGTACAAATCAGTTTCCAGGTTGCACTGAACCATGACATTTAAGCAAAGTTGATACTTGGAGTTTGGGGCAACCACAGAAGCAGAAGGAAAGCAGGTCGCATGGGGTCCATTAGTCCATTCAAGTGAGCTCAAAAATATCCCCCTGGTGGTGATTTTGAAGAAACTACCAAAAAGGTATTCTTGAGCCCCCCCCCAACACAAAGAAAAACCAACTGAACACACTCCGAGGCATCCAGTCGCCTTGGTGCGCCGCTCCTTCTGTAAAGGCCCTGCCTCCCTTTTTTGAAAAGGAAAGAGTTCACTTCACTAGCCCCCATGACTATACCACTCCCAAAGTCGGTTTCTGACTCTAATGACCCCCAGAAACCGTGAAATAATAAAAATAATAATAATTCTAATAATAATATAATAATAATATAATAATAATAATAATAATCATCATAATAATGCTAATAATAATAATAAAACAATAATATAAATATAATAATAATCATAATAATAATAATACTAATAATAATAATAATAATAATAATAATAATAATAATAATAATAATAATAATAATAATAATAATAATACTAATAATAATAATACATATTACTATTATTATTATGATTATTTAATAACAACTATATATATATATGGTTATTTTAATAACATCTATAAATAACCCCAGCTTCAAGGATACCAGTCGAAAGGGCGGGGGGCTGATTTCAGAGATGTCGGCCGGGCTGCGTCGCTCAAGCTTCTGCACCTCCCGCTGAATCCGCTGAATGGCGCCCCTGCTTCCAGTCACCGCAAGGTGAGCATCGGTGTGGACGCGGCCTTCGAACTGCCCGTCGGCCTCAGTCAGGCAGAGTCTATAGGAATCACAAGAGTCGTTTGAATCACATCGCCGTGGGCTTTAGAACGAGCTCAACCTTGTTGAAGGTTCAAATCCACCTGTAACATGTTGCCTTTTAGCGCAAAACGCCGTTGCCCTGTGATCTTCTGGTAGAAAAAGCGAAGCAGGGTTTGAAGCTCGTCAAGAGTACCCTCCCTTCAAGGCTAGCCCCTCCCCGAACCACACAAACCGACCCCCTTTGATAAACTAATCCAGCCGTGGAAAACATAAGAACCCCTTTACATTCCCATTGCTCGCCTGTCCACACAGAAAAAGGGCAGTTCCAAATTAACCCGCGGGGGCCAGGGGACCCTCCAAAATTTGCCATGATCTGGATTTCCGGACCTCAGTCGACCTTGACGAATCATGTGCCTCCAGCAATTATTTGCCTCCATTAAGTACTGGAGAACGCCTCATGGGGCCACCGAACAACTGGGCAAACAGGTTGGCTCGCCATAGGCATCTAAGCTGCATCATTGCTGTGGACATCGATTCGCTCGACATCCGGCAATTGCCTGAATTGCTGCAGGTTCGCCATGACCAGGCGGAGCGCTGCCGGGCGAACTGGAATCACGGTTTCCTCCACGATGGTTGCCTGGAGGAGCCGAAAGGGAAAGGTCAGAAAGGAAAACAGAGGAAACCGGAAAACACCTTGAAGCAGATGAGAAAATGAAACCGGACAAACAAATGAAACGGCTGGGAAGATCAGTTCCCTCTTGAAGGGAGCCCTTGTCAAACAAGCCAATCAAAACCCAGAAAAATCAGTTCAGATCAATTCGCAAGCGAGCTTCCTTGGCTGCGTCACGGCCATGTCGGGGTTTCCCAGCCGCGTGCCCGGCCGATGGGCGTCCCCAAGCGCAGTCCTCCCACCCGCATGGCTGCAGGTGCCAATGCCAATCCGGGCTAAGGCTGCCATAGCTCACATCCTGGGGCTTAGACGGTCTCAACACGAAATACCAATCCACTCCAGCAACCTCCAAAAACCAAAATTGTAACTTCGCCCCATCTTCTCCACCTGAAGAGATGTTTTTTTCAACACGACTTGCCGGCTTATGTTCAGCAAAGCTGTTGGAGTCATAGCCCAGCTTCATCCATCGACCATTCAGCCTCCAGTCCTGAACGCCCCACCAGTGCCAAGCGCTGCGCCGTGCAGAGCTCTTCCACGCAGAGCCAGCGCCCCTGAGGGTGCTCCATTCCGAGGTTTTCTCCGAGACCCAGCCTGGCACCTGGCTTCCGGGCAAAAAAAGGTACCCTGGACATGGTCACTAGGTCCTGCAGTGGGGAGATTAGAATCAGAATAAGGGTACCAACTTTTTTCAGTAGTCTACTTTAGTAGGGGAACTCTCCCCCCAAAAAGGATAAATTCAAACCAACCAAAAAGCTGGTCTCCCAAAAGGGGCACAAACGCACCTCCAGCCACAGCTGGCCCCTGCAGCCGGGACAGATCTCGGTGCGGGGCGAGCGGTCTTCGGCGCAGCGCTGGCAAAGCGCCAGAAATCCCGGGGATGGACAGTTCGCCGATCTGCCTTGGCATCCGAACCAAAATTGGAACAGAAGCTTTCATTTGCTTTGTTGCCCCCTGGAAAAAACACACACGCACACGCACATATTTCCAGTAGTGATAGGTTCCCTGTAAAAGCAACAGGGGAACATAAAGTTACATTCATTTCAGCAAATGGAAGGAAGGTATGGCAGTTGCGCAGGAGATGTGCTCCCTCGCAGGGACCCTCACTGACGAGTCTTTCGGGCAGTGGAATCCAGAATACCGGCGACACCGTCGCTGCCGTGGCCGTTGGCTCGGACACGGCGAACACCCCGAGCCCCCGTCTTGGAAGTAACCGCGTCATGATGAAAGAGTGGTGAGATTCTCTAAAGGAAAACAGACGACCCGTCGATCTTAAAAGAATCAATAACCCCTACAGTAAACTGTTTGGGGAAAAACAAACAAGTTTCAGAAACAAACATCGGTTCCCTAACACATCACATCATCCACAATATAAATTAGAGAGAACCCCGCCCCACTCCCTTCCGAATATTCGGGCAATGCGTCTTGAGTTGGTGAGCGCGGCTCTAGCTTGGTCGAGCCATCCACCCTTGGCGTTGCGATTAAGGGTTCCGTTCCGATTGGGGCTGGGCGAACAGGAGCTACAGGCCCTGGATGTTCGGCTTTCTTCAGCCAAGTTACAGGAAGCTGTCCAATTTGCGCATGGCCTGCAAGGTTTGTTGCCAATCCTTTGAAGCATGCGTGGACAAATCTCTGGGTGGATTGCTTTTGAGGGGGGACCCTTACTAGGTCCTCCAGTAGAGAGGATAGAATAGGGGTACCCTTTTTTCTGTAGTCAATTAAAGAAGGGGAACCCTCCCCAAAAAAAGGGTGAAAGGGCACTACTGGGGGACCTAGCTTTTATTGCTTGGATGAGACAGTCATGGCCCAACTATGCATGTGGAAAAAAAAACAGATGCAACCAGCTAGCCCGGTACACAAAGTGAAACCCTTTGGTTCGTCGACTACGGAGAGCGTCACTGAACAACTGCGAGCCTTCCCTCCCTCCCACAAAAGAGGACCACATTGACATGGATGTGCCAAAACAGAAGGACACTGAGCAATTGGAAAAGGCTAGCTCTCGACCTACGTGGTCACAACTTTACGTGGGGCAGCCTCGTGAGGAGTTGTCAACCGTTTGGGACGTTTTCTAGAAGTGGGCTTTCCTCAGATCTCCTAAGAAACTAAGGTTAAATGGAAACCCCTGCTAAACCCTAAAATCCTAAGTCAACTTTCTGGGCAACGCTGGGAACCACCAAGAAAGATCAGTGGAGCAGAACGGGGTCAACGTTTGGACCAAGCAGAACCAACCCCCGGCCTGCTGCAAGCGAAACACGCGCACTGGCTGAGGTCCGTGGAGCCATTGGAGCTCGAGTCAGCCATTGCGATCGATGTTGGCTCGTGGAAGCTCTGGGCGAAACGGTTCCCAGAGCCCCCGAAAAAACGTCGAAGACTTTCTAGATAGCCAAGTGGCTGCTTGTTTTCAGCCACTTTTGCCGGTTCTTGGGGTAAAGTGCATGGAAAAAAACAAAAAACAATCGCACCGGGCGATCCCGGCAAGCCAGCGGTTTAGCGGAAGCTGCCACTCAACCGTCAGCTAGACCTAAGGAACTGGGTGAACCAGTGAGCCCGGTTCGCCAATCCAGCCCGGGAAGGCGCAAGAACAAGCCATTTGGGCCTCGTTAAACAGCAAACAAATGGAAACTCGGGGCACCTGCCCTTGCTGGACTTGGCAAGAAAAAGCGCATTTGGAAAGAAAAAGCGTGTGTGGAGCCTTGACCCGAAAAACGGACCAACCCCGGACGTAAACGTAAAACCGCAAGCCCTGGATAGGTGGATCGCGCCACCGGCCTATACCAAACCCCATGTCAAGAATCAAGCCATGTCGAAAAGACACATAAACTCTGGACATCGAACAAGGAACCCAAGTGGTTGGTCCACAAATGGATCTGGTCACCTGGCAGGGCAATCCCCGGATCCCGGCCTGACCCCCTAATCCCCAACCTGGCCCTGTCTTTCACGGACCAGTCGTTTGTCAAACAAACCTCCGATCCGAACAGAAGACCACAGGGAAGTCTTGACCTTATCGCCCACCAAGTGATGTCCAACATCCTTGGAGGAATGCGAAAACCGGCGGTTTTTAGGTTGGATGTGGCTGATCCACGTTGAGGGGCTCCGGGACTGCCTTGCCTCGCATGATGTTCCTGGCTGTAGGTCAAGACGGCATACCATTGGGGGAAGGTGTATCATATCTGAAACTGTTACAGTACTTCGAACACCCCCTACCCAAGACCCTCACCGAGGGCGAAGCCCCGAGCACCACTCAACGAGCAATTGAAGAGCAACGCGTTGGCACCGCCGCCTCGCTTGGGATAGGCATAAAAACGTTTTTCAGACGGTCAGCACCCGTTTTGGCGCGTTTGCTTCTCAACGCGAAAAAGGACACCTATCACTTACCTGAGTGCCAGCGATTTTCAACCTCGAATCCTCCAATTCAGTTTAGCTGCTAGGCTGCTGGCCCCCGTTTCTTGGGCCTTCCGTGGCTTTGGGGCCTTGATGCACTGAAATGATCCGACGGCTGCATTCCAGAGCCCGGACCAGTGCCCGGTAAGAAAGGCCCCTCTTTGGGGCAGTCAATTTCATCTAGGGGCTTGCCCCCTCCAAAAGAAAGAGAAACAAAGAGAAAGAAACGGGCGCCACCGGGTGGGAGAGGTGAGGATTCCGACGGGAAAGGGTCCCCAGGGGCCACTTATGTTAAACCTTCGCTTCCCGAGTGGATGGCGCAACAAAAGTCCAAACTGTTTGTTCACCACTGGAGATGGTCTTCCCAGAAAGTATAAAGTCCAGGAACTCAGGAAGTGAGAATCTGCGGTTTGTCCCTTGCTCATGGGACCCATGCAGGTCTAGCCAAATGAGTAAGATGAAAATGAGCCACAGGTTTAGTCCTGAACCGGTGATCCTTAAAAAGAATGTGGTTCTTGGACTTATCCTTCTATCAGTAATTTGGAAGTGGTTAGGCAAAAAATATATATGATGCCAAACTGCTTGATGCCCAGGACGGCATTACCCCAACCAAGGGTATCCTTTTTCTTTGGCCTTAAAACCCCATTTGGGTGAATCTTTTTGCCACAGCCATGACCCTGAATAAGCCCATTTGGAACCAAACACGCGGGACCATGCTATAAGGGAGGTCCCTTTGTTGCCCGGCACCCACGCTTCCGTGCATCATTGGGGGGCACCTGCCGGCTTCTCACACAGCGGCCGCAACACGAAGCGCCGAAAACGCGACTCGGTCTTGGCCCTTCTTACAGCAAGAAGCATGGAGCACTAGAACACGCAAGCGTGTTAAACATAGGGCCACAGGGACTCCACAGAATGGAGTAGCCCTTTGCCTTCTCTTTAAACAAAATGGAGAAGGCGCTCCAAAAGTTCTTTTTCACAACTCAAAACCAGTTTTATCCGCTGTGACAAAAAATAATTATCCTTAAAATATCCAAATAGGCAAACAAGTAGAAGAAGGCCAGCATCAGTCGGTCAGCTAAGTGCGGGACCAGCCCACAGGGCATGGGTTAGGGCCTGCAGGCTCGGGTGCGGTTCATGCCATGCTGGGCACTGATCTATAGTTTGAATTATCATTGGGCCTTTAGTGGACGTCATATAGGTGAAGACTTATGTCCACCACTAATGTTAGACCTCCTTTATTAATTGTAGAAGGTGTTTCTAATTCTTTTTCAGGATCCTGTGACTGTTTTAGGGGTCCTCTATTTAGGAAAGTTGGTTGCCGACAAATGCCGGAAACAACGGTGGACAAAATATGGGCAACACAAAATTGGCAAGCAAGTCGGACAAAAAAGGCAAACAACTCCTGGCAAACATTAGGAAATCCTTTTCTTGAAGTGCTCCCCAAACCATCAAATTTCAGATAGCTTCTTTACAAAAAAGTGCGAGCAAACAGTTGCACAAAGGGGGGTGCCACAGTCACACAACCAGAAGAGGCCCAGATCCTCTGTACTGAAACTGTTTTAGGGTCCTCTTTAATGTCCAGCTGGTTTCGGGGTTGCTGAGAATTGAAAACCAAGCCTTTTACTTTCAAAGGAGGGGGCTCATCCTAAGCTCTCCCCAGCTCCAAGGTTAAATGCCTGAGATCTAGGAAAACAATTTTGCAAGTTGTTATGTTCCCAAACCATCAAAATTAAGATAACTTCGTTACACAAAAGTGAGGGCAATCAGTCACGCAAAGGGGGGCGCCCACAAGAGACCCTGATCCTCTTTAGTCTGACTGTTTTGGGGTCCTCTTTAGTGTCCAACTGGTTTCGGAGGTATGTACTTTTCTTCCAGACCCCAAACCCCAAAAGAGGGTCCAGCTGACTGGTTCCACTGTTCAGGGGGGGGGCCGGGTAAAGAGGGTCCAACATTCCTAGGTGGGTTCTCATTGAAATCCATTGCCATCTGGGACACCTATAGCAATCCCCCAGCTACTGAGGAATCCTGCGCAAAGGAACCGAGGGCTTCATAGGTGAGCTCGTGGCGACTTGCCCACAGTCCGAAATATGTGACACGTACCAAAGTAGTCTTCATTTCATCCCCGTGGCCACGGAAAGCCGCCAGGAACACACCAGGAACATACCTCAGCCAGCGAACCAAATTGGACAGTTCACCAGATTGTCTACGGAGCCCATCTTGAGAAAACCAAGTGGGCTGGGATCTTATGCCACGTCCGTGCGGTCATCACCCAAGCAAAGAGGTGATCCATTAGGTGATCCATCGCCTTGGGTGGTTTCCACGAAATAAACGAGTAATATACCAGGTCAGTTCAGGTGGAGCTTGTAAACTTGATCAGTTCGTGGCAGAGAACCGGCTCTTCGGAGAAAGTTGTTCAGTGCGCAAGTGGCAAGTAGGAGTCGGCCCAGAACCAGGAGAGTCTCATTTAAGGATGGATTTGCTCCAGCCCAAACTTACCCAATCCCAGCTGCTGCTGTGGGAAGCAGGCGGTCTTTGGATTTCTCCTTCAGGATCCCCGTCTTCCATTTGCTTTTTGCCCCTGGAAAATGAAGTGATAACATATGTCCAGTAGTGAAATCGACTCCCGTTAAAACCAACAGGGGGGAAAGATGAGAACCTTTGCCCAGTGATGGACTCCCTATAAAACCAGCAGTGGAAAATAGAAGAAAACAGAACATATTTACTTCAGCAACTGGAGAAACCTCTGCGACCCCTGAGGCTTCGGCATCCGTCGGCACATCCGAGTGCAGGTCCTAAGCCGAAGGTGAATCTGAGGCTGAGGTCCCCCTTCACGGCCGCGGGTTCTGCGCAAAATCGGCCAATCCAGCTGCTCTACAGCCTCGAGCTCAGCTGCAAAGGTTGCCTCTGAACGCATGCCTCAAGGAAGCCATTAAAACCTGATGCATAAACCTCCTAAGTGGGGTTTACCAGAGTTCTGATATCACAGCCCAAGAGCAAACTGGGAAGACCAAGCAAAGTGCAAGTGGATTTGGATCTGTTGTTGCTAAACAAATGCCAGAACCTTTTATCACATGATGTCAGACCCTATCGACACCTACTCCGGCGCCTGGAGCGCACAAGGCTCGGAAGTAGGGTTTGGCCTACAGTCCTGCGGAGAAAACAGATGGATCTGCAAAAGCCCCCCGCCCCCTTGCACGCGTTCTTCATGCGTAATCACCTGTAGCGTGACTCAAGATGGAAATCCCTCATTCGTTCATGGGCCGGCTTGCAGGATGGGTTTCCCCGAAAGATCAGGTGAGAAGCCCTTCAGGCCAATAGGCAATTAAGCAGCATGACGCCCGCAAAGGATCCAACTGCGCCAGCAAGACATGCGCAAAAGTGAATGAATACCTAAACAAACATACACACACAGACACACAGACACACAGACACACAGACACACAGACACACAGACACACAGACACACAGACACACAGACACACAGACACACAGACACACAGACACACAGACACGCAGACACGCAGACACGCAGACACGCAGACACGCAGACACGCAGACACGCAGACACGCAGACACGCAGACACGCAGACACAGAGACACAGAGACACAGAGACACAGAGACACAGAGACAGAGACAAACAAACACACAGCACACAGACACGCAGACACGCAGACACGCAGACACGCAAACACGCAGACACGCAGACAGAGACTCGCAGAGATAAAGAAACACAGAGACACAGAGACACAGAGACACAGAGACACAGAGACACAGAGACACAAACACACAGAGACACAGAGACACAGAGACACAGAGACACAGAGACACAGAGACACAGAGACACAGAGACACACACACAGACACACACACACAGACAGACACACAGACAGACACACACACACACAGAAAAACACACACAGACACAGACACACACACAGACAGACACACACACACAGACAGACACACACACACACAGACACACTCACACAGACACACACACACAGACACACACAGACACACACAGACACACACACACAGACACACAGACACACACACACACAGACAGACACACGTACACAAACACACCCACACACCCACACAGACACAAACACACAGACACACACACACAGACACACACACACACACAGACGCACACACACACACAGACAGACACACAGACAGACACACACACACAGACAGACACACACACAGACACACACACACACAGACACACAGAGACACACACGCAGACACACAGACACACACACAGACACAGACACACACACACACAGACACAAACACACAGACACAAACACACAGACACACAGACACAGACACAAAGACACAGACACACAGGCACACAGACACACAAAGACACACAAAGACACACAGACACAGACACAGACACAGACACAGACACAGACACAGACACAGACACAGACACAGACACAGACACAAACAAACACACACACACACACACACACACCCACACGCACGCACGCACGCACGCGCACGCACCCACACACACACACACACACCACACACACCACACACACCACACACACCACACACACACACACACACACACACACACACACACACACACACACACACACACACACACACACACACGCACACGCACACGCCCACGCCCACGCCCACGCCCACGCCCACGCCCACGCCCACACCCACGCGCACGCCCACGCGCACGCCGCACGCCGCACGCAGCACGCGCCAAGTACATAAATACATGCCAATAAATACATCAATAATTCAATAACAACGCACATAAAAATGATATTTGTTTATAGATGCATCAATAAGGTATTAGTTTAGTGACTTTTCAGAACTTCTATATATATATATGCCTTGACAGAGGCGGTTCTGAATAAACACTTGTTTTCACATTTTGGGCCCAAACGGGCTTAAAACCCCGGACAACCCCCCGGACAAACCCCCAGAGGACAAACCCCCGGACAACCCTCCGGACAGCTTTGAGGGCCCAAAAGCCCGGGACAAACCCCCGGACAAATGCCCGGACAACCCTGCGGACAGCTTTGAGGGCCCAAAAGCCCGGGACAAACCCCCGGACAAACCCCCGGACAACCCTCCGGACAGGTTTGAGGGCCCAAGAACCCGGGACAAACCCCCGGACAAGTCTTCGGACAGGTTTGGAACACGCCAAAACCACTCGGAAACCACTCGGAAACCACTCGGAAACCGCTCGGAAACCACTCGGAAACCACTCGGAACCCGCTCAAAACCACTCGGAAACCACTCGGAGGGAAGCATTCTCGCGGGAGGGGGGGTTTGCAGCATAAATCTCGGCAAAGTGCGCGGACAACCCTCCGGACAACCCTCCGGACAACCCCCCGGACAACTTGCCGGACAGTTGTTTGTCCAGCAGTTTGTCCCGTACTTTGTCCGGCACTTTGTCCCGCACTTTGTCCCGCACTCTGTCCCGCATATCGAGGGGGGTGTTTATGCAGAAGGGCATTCGTCAATATATGCCATTGCAAAGCGATTCTACTCGTGTGATATGACAATGACATGTAGCTTAAAATTCAACATTACACCTCCACCACCACGAAGCGGCCGACCATTTCCACAGACCATCGACAGCTTGCAGTTGTTCCGGGCCCCGCGCGCAATCCACCAACACGGGCTGACCTGCAGTGACCTGATGCCATTCGAGGCGTCAACGGCGGCGGGCGGGGCCCATTGAAATGACAGCGTCTTCAACAGACCAAAGCCGCCCCCGACCGAAAGTCGGCCTTTTGGTGGTAATCACAGGCAAAATGAAGAAACACCATGAGGGTAAAAAAGGAAGCAGGTTCGTGAAGTCTGGCAAGGGCGTTTGGAGAAACTATCAAAATCATGTTTGGCAGGCTTCCCTGTAAGCAACCAAGTCAACCAACTGGGGACTGGGTGGTTGTTTCATTCAAGCCACGAGGGATATTTCAAGATGTCTCTCTTACGAACCGAGTTGACAGCCCCACAAGCGTAGAAAATCGACAGTCCGGGAGGGAACCAAAGAACCCGCCAGCTGGGTGAAATCTCGCACAATTCCAACTCATGTTGGTCACTCGATATCCCCAGCAAAAACAAAAACACCAAGCTCCTTAATGACTTTTTTGGGTTGCTCGTTTGCTCAGAGGCTTGAGCAAAGCTGGTCAGAAAAATTCAAGCCCTGACGCGGGACATCACGCTTGTGCCCTCCAGTTTTGGGCTGGGAATTTGTAAGAAATCTGCGTCCTTGGCGGGCGCATGTTGCACCACGGCGGCCTTTTCACCTGGGACTTGGGAACAGTTGCCATAGGGCTAGTCATTGCCCCTACGCACCAGAATGCTTCTCAGAACCCTTCGGTCGGAACTGGCCTTTTGGAAAAAAAGACGTCAGGAGAAGCTTTAAAATGGCCTGCTCTCATGATTGGCTTGTCGCAACCATGCAATTTCACATACTATGGGTGGGTTATTTTGTAGGGGACCACCCATGTTGGTAGCTTTCCTGCTAGTTTCCCTTCAAAACATGTTAAAACCACACAAAAAAAAAGGGGCACCCTCGAAAAATGACGGACCCGCATTAAGTTTGTCCTTTACGATGGTGAGGGGAGCACGCGATTTCCGACAGACCCCAATTCCTCCAAACGGTGCCTCGCGAGGTCGTGGGCTAGGGTAAACATGTGGGGAACAGTTTTGAATAACAGGATGAATGGATGGATGGATGAATGGATGGACCGACGGACCCGACGCTTACGTGGACCCCTATGAAAATCTGGATGGCAACTACGCTTTGCAAAAATGGCGCGCGGGGCGGACTTTCTTCGAGAGGGAAAAAACAGGAAGAAAACAACGGGAAAAACGTAACAACATATTTACTTAACAAAAGAAAGAAGACAACAAACAAAAGCAAAAAACGGCTGGGGGCGCCTCAAGGCAGCTGATGGTGGCAAAGTCCCGGGAGAAGGGGGAGGAGGCCCCGTCACCCGCGGCCCTGGGAGGTGGGAGCCATGACACACGGGGGGCGTTGATCAATACGTCCTTCGGCCCTGCATTCTTTTTGAGCATGGGCAAGTTCACCCATTTTAATGGGGAGTATATCCTCCCCGTTTCAGGGGGGATTGGGCAACTTGCCCCATTTTAATGGGGAGTATCGTTCCCATTGAATGGGGATTATAACATATTTTTGGTGGCTTTCCCCAATGGTCACATGTTAATGGGGAGTATATCCTCCCCGTTTCATGGGGGATTATCTTTTCGGTGGCTTGCTCCAATGGTCACCACATGTCATGGACCTTTTTACCAAGCCCCGTATCGAAATTCCACCTACTGTACAAGGATGAACCTTTGAATCAGCTGTCAAACTTCATAGTGAGACTGGCCAAACAAGTATTCTCTCAGGGGCCATGTTGAACCATCAAAAGAGACAATGCAACAAAGCTGGCTTCTCAAGAAGAAAGTCAGCCAACCCCCGTGTGCCTATTTCTGACACTCATTTGCCGAGGCTTCAAAGGGAAACTAAAGGGATCCACATGTTTGCGGGGACTAGGTAAAACGCGATTGAGCGGTCCGCCTTGGACTGGCGCCATTTTTGTTTACCACTATCAACGTCACCCCTTGAGTTGTAGCTACAGGGAAACCACCAAGTCCAGTTTCTGACTTTGACTTCCAGAAGCATTGGACATCCAGTGTTGGTTTGCTCGCCAGCCTTCGCAAACTGACCCAAGCAGTTGCTCCCACTTTAGGCACGACACAGGCAAGTTGACAGTCCCCATCCCTCTACCCGCCTGGCTGCCCTCAACTGATCGCAGGACAGAGGGCTTCCTCCACCCCAACGAAGATTCGGTTCAGGGGGTTGTTTTGTTCTGATCGGGCAGCCCAATGGAAAGCACTGCAAAGTGCCACGCGCAACGAAAGAGATGCGGAAGTGAAAGGAGTGTCATGTTTGAAGGAGCTTCGAACTGCCATGATCACAAAAGCACTGAACAATACAGTGATATGCATCATTTGCCGTAATAAATTCCACATCTCCACCACCAACCGCTCTCCGAACCTGCCATCGACTGTGCCACGCGACTCGCCGACGCGCCAAGTTTGACCGCGAGGCAGCCGCGGCTGAGGCCAGGGCGTGACCGTCATCCCTAACCTCCAGAACCTCACGCCCGCCGAAATGGTCTAGTCCTTGATTTTCTTTTCGTGTTTTGTCTTTTTTGCGGAGGGTTACAAGCTTCCTTCAGATTACCAAGTTTGCCAATAAATCATTGATGGATGAAAGCCTCCGGAAGTTTTCTGGGCGTCTAGCCCCATCTTTTGAACAAGGCTTTTGACGACAAGGGTGTTTGCGGTTGGATTGGATGGCATCCTCAGAAAAGGGGGGGTTCAGTCGTCCTGTGTTAATTATCTTTCTTGTGGGTGATGGTGAATGCCCCCTTGCTCATGCACGGCCATCGTGCGCTCCCTGTAGCGATGACGCTCCCCACTGTTTGGATGTCAGCTTTAGTAAACAACCGACAGCTGCTTTTGGCCCCCCAATGGAAACCAAAGGAACCAAGAACATAATTGAGGCACATGCAAAGCGTATGATTTCTCAGGAGACGCCAGAAGCCACATTAAACATTTGCACCCCTCTTTCCAGGATCCATGACTCACCTGTGATGCACCGAATGCAAGCATTTCGGATTTCAACAGGAAGTTGTGTCCATGTTCAACGCCGTTCATGTTGACTTTTGTGCATATATATATATATATTTATATATGCATATGTATATACATTCCTCAGGGGTGGGCGTCCAAGAGGGCGAGGCAAACCGCACCGAGGCACGGGCACGGCGGTGGCCGAGCAACGCACCACCTAGGCGACATGCGCGATCTGACCAAGAGCTCTGGAGCCAAATGGATCCGATCAAAGGCCATGCTTTTACAGGGGTCGCTGGAATTCCGCGCTTCACAGTTTGCAGTGTACTGGTTTTTTCCAACATAATTGCCACTTTTGGAGTGCAAAAAAGGGGAAATGGGAGCCCTTTTTTAGGGTGACCCCTTGTTGCCCAAGCACCAACCCCAAAAACTGTTGAGGGGTAGAAGAAAACCAAACGACGCCGGCCGTTTTGTTTGTTTTACGGGGGAGGAGGGGGGAATTTGGGGACGCATCCAAATGATAGAACACCAGCATGCTGGAACACCAGCCTTAGATCAGACCTGCAACAAGTTGAGCGTGTTGATTCCCGCAAGGCAAGTCCACCACTTTTTGCTGGTTAAAGGGACAGTGATGGAACACCAAAAGGAAGAGGGTTAAAGCGGTCTGTCGAGTCTGGGTCCCTTTCAAGGGGGCCCCATGGGGCCCCCAAAGGACGGAGCTACATTCCTTCAGCTTCCTTGCGCGAGGGATGGGGTTCGGGCCTCCAAAGCGACTCGTGCAGAATGGCGCTGGGCCTTTGGCAGCGCAACGGGTTCCAAAGACCACCGGTGCCGTCTCGGGACCGGTTCCAAATGGCTCGCAAGCCGTCCGCGCGGCTTCCGTCCTGGCTTTCAAGGGGAACCAGAGGGTTTCCTCACTTGAGTGGATTGGCAAAAGCAGACAGTGGACTTTTCATTTACCTCTGAAATGGTCCGAAGCCAAGAAGTGACTAATGTTGGCACTTGATTAATAAAGGCCCCCCCCCCCCTGAACAATGGAGGCGCCAAAATAATGGGGGTGCACTTTTGGGACGTCCAAACAATGGAGGGTTTTGGGGCCCAATTCTACTTTAGTATTGCAGCCACTTCCTTTTTGCAGTTCTACTTTAGTATGGCAGCCACTTCCTTTTTGCAGTTCTACTTTAGTATTGCAGCCACTTCCTTTTTGCAATTCTACTTTAGTATCGCAGCCACTTCCTTTAGTATTGCAGCCACTTCTTTTTTGCAATTCTACTTTAGTATTGCAGCCACTTCCTTTTTGCAATTCTACTTTAGTATTGCAACCACTTCTTCCTGAGCAGACTTTTTGGAATACTACTTTAGTATTGCAACCACTTCTTCCTGAGCATACTTTTTGGAATACTACTTTAGTATTGCAACCACTTCTTCCTGAGCATACTTTTTGGAATACTACTTTAGTATTGCAACCACTTCCCTTTCAGTTCTTTCTGTAGCCATTCAAAGGAGTTTGCAGTTTCAGGGCTGGGGATGGTTTTCAACGTTTCTGAGGTACACAATCTTCAGCTTGTTGCTGAAGGAGATTCAGAGTTTGGGGGGGGGATGGTTTTTTAATTAAATTTGCTTTGTGGAGTGTTTTTTGAATTTTCCCCCTGGCCAAAAAAACTTTCTATTATTCTGGTCCCCTTAAACAATCACATTATTGTGGTTCAGTGGGGTCTGTGAGGGGTACCCTTGTCCTGATTGTTTTTTTTTTGCATTTTTTTTAGCACGGTTTAATAAAGAGTTTGCAGTTTCAGGGCTGGGGATGGTTTTCAAATTTCTGAGGTACACAATCTTCAGCTTGTTGCTGAAGGAGATTCAGAGTTTGGGGGGGGGGGATGGTTTTTTAATTAAATTTGCTTTGTGGATTTTTTTTGATTTTTCCCCCTGGCCAAAAAACTTTCTATTATTCTGGTCCCCTTAAACAATCACATTATTGTGGTTCAGTGGGGTCTGTGAGGGGTAATTACCCTTGTCCTGATTGTTTTTTTTTGCATTTTTTTAGCACGGTTTAATAAAGAGTTTGCAGTTTCAGGGCTGGGGATGGTTTTCAAATTTCTGAGGTACACAATCTTCAGCTTGTTGCTGAAGGAGATTCAGAGTTTGGGGGGGGATGGTTTTTTAATTAAATTTGCTTTGTGGTTTTTTTTTGAATTTTCCCCCTGGCCAAAAAAACTTTCTATTATTCTTGTCCCCTTAAACAATGGGTGTGAACCAGAATAAGGAAAACCACTTTCTATTATTCCGGTACCCTTTACTAATCGAATGCCAACATTAAGGCCCAGGAACTCAGGGAGTGAGTTTCCCGACTCTTGGGGTGATGAACAGAAAGCAAACCCGAGTCCTTCAGGGTTTTCCTTTTGGTTTCCCTTTGAACCAGCCCATTTTGCGGGTCTTCCTTCTTTTTCAGGGGCCTCCCCGAAATGGACTACCCCAACAGCTGGGTACCTTGAACCGAAATTTTCGGGCACCCTGAACTGAACTACTCAAGGCTCCGAAAACTTAACTACTCCCAGCAGGGCATCCATGAGCTGCTGTCAAGTTATGGCCCGGGCAGTGCAGCCCTTGCCAACCAGCTCCCCGCGTTCCGGATCCGTGCCTCGGTGCTGGATCCGAATCCAGAACCCCTAGTGGAAAGCCACAAAGGGGACTTATGTTCACCCCGGATGAAGTTAAACCCCTGGTTGATTTTGATTGGGGGGTCCCTTTTAGAAGGGATTCAGACCACTTTTGGAGGGAACACCCCCCTAATAATGGAACGGGTTATTATGAATCCGGGGTGAACATTTGTCTGAACGACTGGCCAAAGTCACCCCACTTCTTTTGGCCTTTTGGCCACCGTGGTCTTCCACAACTAAGCAAGGAGTACAGGAAGGGACTGAGCATCCCTTTGATACCCAAAATTATGAAAAGAGCGATCTTGACAAGAACTCCACGAAACGTTCGAATCGCGAACCGGGCCCAACGCCCCGAATCAATGCGAAACCCCATAGTTCAGGAGATGACTAACGCCCGCATAGTATGGAACAACCTCTGTATCAACAATCTATAGTCTGTAGCACTACACTTACAAATGAAGTTGCTTGAAGCCACCATGGCTGTCGGCTTAATGCTACGCGCATCTTACACGCAAATTGAATGTGACCAAATTGTGAGTACACAAAGGAAGACGAGTCCTTCTGACACTGCGAAACTACTTCAGCTTTTGCGCCCAATTAAACTAACGCCCAGATTGTGTTCTATGGTTAGCGTACCTTCACATGCATTTTTTTCTCGAGACGAAGCTGCTAAGTTGACTGGCTAAGAGTTCCAGAAGTGAATAAATCTTGCAGCAAGAAACTTGAAAACTGCATCATGTAAAGACTGTTGCCGGCAAAGGCAAGAATGAATCCACTCAAAAACCCACTGCTGGTTCGGCACAATTTTGCGCCTGTGCCAAAATGAAAGAAACCGACCAACCTAAAGCCTAGAGCCCACCAAACAACCTGCCAGCTGAAAGTTTATGAAGAAACCTACCAAAAAGTGTATGAAGAAAGCGGCCAGCAGGAAGCGTAGGACGAACAAATGCCAAGGACAAGTGTACCAACGTGCAGGACTTTGTTCATCCACAGCATCGGAGAAAAAAAACAAGTGTGAGCGTTTGAGGTTCGCAAGCTCAGCAAACCATGCGGATTGCAAGCTGTCTTGGGGCATGACCTGACTCGCCCACCGGCTCGCCTGAGACCGGAAAAGGCCCACAGCGATGCAAACGGGACAGATGGGAAACAGGTTGGCTGGTTTTCTTCCAATTGGCGGTTTGATTTGGTGGTTCAGAGCTGTTTCGGGCGTGGTTCCCCCCCCCCACCCTCAAGAGCCAAGGGTTCAAATCCAAACCACTAATCCAAACTACCAAAGGAGCCTGACAAAAAATCCAACCCACGTCGTTCAACCGGACTCAGCCTCCAAGACATGAGCGTCGCTTGGGAAGCGTAAGATGTTAACCCGGAGCGGAACATGGGTCAAAGTGATCGCCTTGAGTTCCAAGGATTCGGGTTCCCAGAAAAGAAAACCAGCACGGAATCCCTCTGCAAAAACACCCTTGGTTGACGTTGGAAGGGGAGCAACAAATCAAATTTCAGCAGTTGAGTGGGGATTTCCCACGAAACCACAATAATTAAGCAACAATATAAAATGTTTCCCAACAGCAACCATGAGTAACAGGGCTGCCATTGTGAAACTGTTTGGGGCAAACTTGTGGGAGAGGTCCTTCACGGTGAATTCAGGTCAATGCGCTTTGCAAGTCATACGGGACAGTGGGCCAACCCCTCCCAATTCGACTGGGGGATAGGTGGAGGGCCCTTGTGAAGAGTCCAGGATAAATGAAAAGACGCACTCGGCCAAAGGATTCCGGGAAAATAGCGCATCTTTTTCAGCTGCCCGCTAAATGGTGGCATGGATTGGTGGTTTGGAGGTTCGGGTATGGTTCCCCATTTACCCTCTAGAAGAACCAGAGGGTCAAATCTGAAAACCACCGCCAATTGAGGGTTACCTGACTGCTGGCAGTTAGCATGCTCCCAACCGTCATGGAGCCTGAAATGGAGCAACCTCTGAAGTGCTCTTTGTTTGCCTTTGGAAGAACAGGGGGTTGTCTCTAAATGGGGGCCCCAACCCATACGTGGCTTCCCTTCGAAAAACCCTTTGTGCCAGGGTCGACGCTCATCTGTGACGCCCCCAGAGGAGAAAAACAACACTCTATAAAGCAAAAAACCAACAACACTGCAACAAATACCCGCCCCCCCCCCCCTCCCCCAAGAAAACAAAATAAAACAATGAACAAAACAAGCAACACAACAAAACAAAAAACAAACCGCAACATATACCCGACCCCACCCTTGCTATCTTTGTGCCAAGCGCGACTGGCCTGCCAGTACCACCGGTCGATCCAGCACCAGAGGCTCCTGCCGAAGACTTGCGGCCGTTTGGTTGGGTTCTAAACCCACGACGCCTCGGTTGTTTTTGGGTCGGGCGCACCCATACGGATTGACCATCATAAATTTCAGTGTCATCTGTTGATGGCGCAGTCAAGCACCCTCTGTTTGTTACATCTGGGGGTTATACAGTACAGCCTCTGTTTCTCACGAGTCGTCGGTCAGAGATGCCCCGAACTACATGGGTCAAATTGGGAGTGACTTTCCGAGCCAAATGCCTACTTCCAAGTAATTAGGGGAGCCCCTTGGCCCAAATGCACATCTTTCCAGCAAACCTAGCATTAGATGGCCAACTTCGCTTCGGGTTGAGGTCGTTTGCAGCCCAAAAGGATCAACAAGCACCGCAAAAGGGAGGTGAAACGAGGTTTGTGTGCCCTTTAACGAGCGGCTGCACACCCTCTTTTTGGGAAGGCACGCCCAGCCCCTCAACAGTTCCCAGAGAAGACCCAAGCCCTGCTTCCCGCGCAATAACAGGCCCTAGGGGAGCACAGCGAGACGGTCAAACCATGTGGGGAATATGACTGCTTGTCGCTTGTCAATGCGCGTGTATGTCAGACTGTCAAACAGAAACCTGCCGTTCTGGGGGAAAACACCGAAACACCCGCATTCCCAAACCGGAAGCCAAGGTTTAACCACACTCATCATGGATGCGCAGGCAACCCCCCACCGGGCGACCTCACAAAATATGTTGCCCAGATTCGTTGGATCTGCATTGCATGCCCTTGTCGGACCTGGGCATAAACATTGACTGAATATGCGCCAAAACCGGGGAAAACAGGTGAAAATCTCAGATCCGGCCGAGCCGCGTTCGGTCCATACTTCGTCAAACCTGACTAAAAGTGGAAAACGATCCAAAAAGGGGAAACCAAAAGCTGGGGGGTTCTCAACAGAGAAACCCACAAGAAACGATGCACTTGGAGGGGTCTTCGATTTTGAGAACACCAAAGGCTCAAAAACCCGTCGATCGGCGAATCGGAGCGCCTCCAACTCCAAACGTCCCTGCACCTTCACCACACTCAGCCCCAAAGGTGCTTCCTTCACGGCCGCCCGCAACTCGCGCCTGGCGACTGGCCCCGTGGGGATCCGCCGAAGCTTCGGCGGATTCCTGGAAGGGAAGCAGCCCAAGAACACCAACCCCCCCCCACACACAACCCAAGAAAGACTCCTGAATTAGCCCTAGAAGGGTTCTTAGGGCTCCACGAAGCTTTCTGCCGCTCCTTTTGCACACCACCTGCTGCGCCAGGCGGATGGGAAATGCAGGGCTTCCCTTGTTCTTTGAAATGTTTGGGACATTCACAGTAATCAACCCGTTTAAGTGCCCGAAGACCCTGCGAAAGGTCAAGCAGCCTGGTAGAAAGTCTAATGGACACTGGGTTGCTCTTTTCTTGCTTCCTGGAACCCCAACAACACGGGAAAAATATGGCGCCACAAACACTGTGATCTCAGACTCATCAAGGAACCCCATCCAAAAGGGTTCCTTTCGGGGATTAGAGGGCGCTTTGGGGATCCCCCAAAAGGAATTTATGAAGAAGTGACAAATCATAAATCCACTCCGCGGCTGGGGATCCCTCAAAAGTTTGGCCGACTCGAGGGATGCGTCGGTGGGCGCACGCGGTGGTCACCACGGTCTGCGGCCATTCCACCTCAGTACACCAATGGGCCGAAGCCCTATGCCAAGGCCCCTTCTTACCCAAAATTCCAGGGTCAAACAAAACATGTGTTGGTTTCGGTAGAGGTGAATTCAGAAAACGTGATCGGCCGCCGCCCGTCTGAAAATCGGCCGGCAGCATGGGGAAACTCGGCCGACAGCGGGTAAATTTCGGGTAAATTCTTCTTGGGCCCCACCCGCCACTCAACAAAACCAAGTCAAATGTCGACTGTTAACATTGGATTTGAAAGTCGGTCAGGGTCGCCCCTCCCATGCACGCCCCCGGCCTCCCCATTCAAAAAAAAACACCTAAAAGCGCCTAAAAGGAGAAAGCGGAATGACGATCAAAACAAGGTTACCCTCAACCGCCCCAACAAAGGGCTTGTTCCCCGAATTTCCTGCCAAACAAAGCTCCCACAACTAAAAACGGTCTTCCCTAAAAAGTTGATAAAGTCTAGGAACTTGCGTGAGTGCCGATCTTGCTGTGGCCTTTCTGGCTATCCCTCTGCCGATCGCTCCCTGTCGCTCCGAACACTCCGAGCCGACTGCGGCCAGGTCGATGCCGCAGCTGGCGGAGGGGCCGTCGTACTGCCTCAGTTGCGGGGTCGAAGCGCTTCTTGGCCGAAGGGTTCTGGTTATAAACTCTCACTTTCCCCAGTGGATGGCCCCCAAAAAAAACCCGCAAAAAAAGCTCCCAAACTTCTTGGTCACCACTGAGATGGTCTGAAACAAAAACTAAAAAAAACAAAAAAAGTCCAACAACTCAGGAGGTGAATAACCTCCTACATGGAGTTATTGGGTTTGCAAACCTATTGGTAAAGCAAACAGCGGCTAAGTTGCCTCAGGGGGTTCCAAACCTTGATAGGCGTGGAGTAGAGCTCAGAGCATGATTTGTTGATGCCAAAGGGAGCCCTTACGAAATTAGAAGCCCATGTATTCGTACGTCCAAACCTCTAATGGCCATTAAGGGGGGGGGAAGCAGGGGGATGTCTCACATAAACTGCAAATCACCCAACCCCAAGTTGGTGGTTTGGGGTGCCAAAACTCCATTTGGCTTCACAAGGAAGTGGGGTTCCCTCACCCCCAATGTGTGTCCGCGGCTTTTTCCGCCTGCATACGCTCTGCGATCTTCACCGCAAGGGAATGCATGGGATCACCCCAACCCATGCCCCACAAAATGGTAGATTTGCTCACTTGCCCAAAGGATCTGGAAACCTCTCTCGAGTTTCCTTCATGTCTTGGAGCAGGGTCAACTTTGGCTTGGGCAAGCGAGCAGTAGCAAACAATTAACAACTGAGCCGCGCCCAAAACCTTTTCTGTTGGTTCCAACATGGTTGTAGAGGCTCATGTAGCCCTTACTACGGCCCCTGCAAAACCAGGCAGTCGAACCACCTAGTTTCTAAATGGCCAGTGGTTTTGGGCGCCATCTCCCCAGCGATGCGAAGCTTTGCCTTGCGACTGGCGCCGATTCTACGACAATGTCTTCTTGGCGCAGCATGGTTTGGTATAATGGGTTAAGCCGAGAAAAGCATTGTTTGGCAACAAGCTTGGGGTCATAACACCGGTAGAATAAGCCATCAGCCCAGTAAAGCCTTTCAATATACATCTAGCTTCATTGACCCAAACAAAGCCTTTGTTTCGCAATGCATAGGGCACGTATAACCACATGTGTATCCCCAACCCCCATCGGCTGGAAAGCTCAATCGCATGCAGACTCATCGGATTGATCCCATTGACTGATGACCTGCAAGATCTGTTTGCCATACTTCTTGACCTCGAACTGAGCAGCGCCGAACTGAGCAGCGCCCAAAACTCCGCGACATGCGGTTCTATGAGATGTTTATCAGTGGAGGAGTTTCGGGCGCTTTTGGGGGTGACAGAGGCAGGCGCCTGAGTCCATGAGCATGATGAAAACCCGGTACTTGGTATGAAAGTGGTCTCGCAAAGAACGAGGTTTCAGGGCCAAATATCCGCATGGCGAGGGGGCCTTTCCCTACCCTTCGCATAGCCCATGGTCAAAGTGACCCCCAATTCATGGGAGGGGACCACCAAGCGATCACTTTTTCTCGGCTTGGGAAAATGAAGGAAACCCCAAAGGGCAAAAGAGCAAAGAAGTGAGTTGAGTCAAGCATTGGCAAGGCCTGATGGGAAGCAATAGCCTATAGCTTCGCTAGGTCCCTTTACTGAGTAAAGGGACTATGGAGTAATGCACACTCACTTCCCAGTTGCCACCAGCCCGGACGATAGAAAAAGAGTTGGACTAGTTCTTTTGGGGCTGACCTTTGTTGGGCCAAACCACCGAACGCAAAGAGATTCGGGTGCCCCTACAACTGGGCCGCCCCCTGTATTGCAGTCAGCTGGGTGAAAAAGCCAAACCAAAGAAAATGAACCGACTCCTCATTCATTTTACTTGATCTCCCCACTTGAAGGATTGCATTTGGACAAACTGGGTGCCTAGAAAGTAGGGCGGAAATCACAAAGTCATGGGCTGTTAAACGCGGAGAAAGCACGGGGTTGCCTCGTTGTTGTGGCAAGACAACCCAACATCTGTCAAAGTGAATTTCCCCTCCCCGTGGTGAAACCAACGTTGCCATATGCGGAGTCCCTTCATATCACACAAAACATGCTTTGTCTCAACATGTGGAGTTGCTTGGAGTTAGGATACCAAAATGACACCTGTTGGCCTCCCTTTACAAGCAAGCAAAAGGGGCTTCCCCCCACAAAACGAGACTCGTGCTAAACCCCCCAAAACACCCAACGACCCATCGAGCTCAGGCGCTTTGATCTCCCCAAAGCCGAAGACCTCCAGCAGTTCTCGCTCGTTGCTGGGGCTTCGAGCAGCCAAGTCCTGGATGGATCGCTGGCCTTGGAGCGACGCCAAAGGCCCGTCGACGCCCGTCGGCACGTCGGAGGTTTCGTCTTGTCCACTCGGGCCCGGCAGCCATTCCCCACATGCGCGTTCGTCGCTCACATGGCTTGTTTGCGGAAAATATGGTTCTTCGTGCAAAACGGGCCTCTCTCTAAACAGGGGGACCATCAAAAGCGGTTGACCATTCAAACCAGGGCTTTAGTTTGGGCCATGTTGGAGCCGCACCTGCTCGGTGAAATTTCGTTGGAGGGTCAAAATCACACCGCCTCTGAGGGGCCTGGAAAACAAGTGATCACCTTTTGGAACGTTGATCAAACATGGGCCAAATCCTGGGAATCAAGAAGATTAAAAGGCCAATTTGCTTTGGACTTGTTCCCTGGCTAAATCAAAGGCATTTCCATGTATGAATGTTGGAGCTATGTCGCTATGTGCATTGGCATATAAGCCTCCACGCCTCCAACACCTGAACATGCCCTTGGCTAAAAAAACACAACTGGAGCCATAAATCCTTCTAAACATATCTAAGCCTTTAAGTGTCGAAGGGCATGTATGGCGAACCGCCAAGAGCATGCTTGCGGGAAACAACCCTTTTTGTGGGCTTCCTATCCCCATGACTAGTGCATCACTCGAAAGGGGTTCCAAGAGATATCCCACGAAGCATGGAAAACCATTACCCCCGAACCACAAGACTCCCAAGTGAAATGGCTATGGGTCGAAACCCCACACCCCCAGTGAACATCCCAATCCCCACCAAAATAGGTTCTAAAATGGGTGGTGCACCTACCCCAAAATGGGATCCCGTTGGTTTTGACCCACGGCCAAATTGTGAATCGGGGTGAGAACCCCCGACTCGGAAGCCAAGCTTTGCTTTGGGGGAAAGCTCCCGGACTTCTTTCCTGGCTCTTCTAGGTATCCACTCCCACCCATCGCAAGGAATGACCCCCCCCAAAAAAAAATCACCACCAAAAAGCAAACATTGTTGAAACAGGGGGTGAATGTTGAAAATCCTGGTGGACGTTTGGCCTTCCACACCTCCAAAACAATCACACGACGCGCTCGCCATACACATGATTGACGTGTTGGGGCCCGCGGACGCGAGAACAGCGCGAGGTCAGATCTCGGTTGCTTTCTGCCACACTGCTACAAGCTTAACTTTTAGTGGTTTAGTGGAAAACCCATTAGTTGGCAAAAAGTTAAAGTCCTAACAGCCAAGCAAAATGCACCAAAGAGATATTGCCTGAGGATATTTGCTGGGTGTTCCGGACCTTAGGCGCGATGCGTGATACCTTAAACCTGGGATTGGAGGAGACGGGCAATGCGGCAAGACGCCGAAGACCAAGTAGGCCGGGCGCTTTCCGGCCAGCTTGCGTCGCAGCTCCTAGGGCTTGATCACCGGTTTTGGATCAGCCCAGTGATTGGTGGCTTTTTGAAGGGAGTAAGTAATCAGAACTCATCGGCTTGACCCCTTTTGAAACCAGTGCTTGGATTGCTTCAGTTAAATTGTGATTGGCATCAATTATTATTAAACCAGTGCTTGAATTGCTTAGGTGAAATTGTAATTGGCACACATTATGATCGGTTTCCATAATTTGCTGGTTGGCTTGTTTCCAAAAAATGAAACTGAAGCCCGTGCCAATGCTTTCTTGGGGTAGCCTGGCCCCACCACGCACTTTTACATTTTGAGGTACCCCCTCTGCCAGTCTCAGCCATCTCGCAGGTCTCCTGAAGGCTCTCGAGCAGGCCCGCTGGAGCTCCCTCGCGCGCTGGGTCGAGGCCATCCCCGCCCTAGCGCCGGTTTCAACTAAACAAATGGGCCCCCAGACGCATGAAAACACAAGGGGTACCTTCCAATTCCACTCTTTCCAGGCATCCTTCTTTCTAACAAAACCACCCAAAACCCTGGGGAAACAGATCCGGTTTTTGAAAAGAACCAAGGTTGAAAAGAGTGGAAAAGGAATCAACCCCTAGAAAAACACCAGTTGCCAAAATTGGGCACCCCAGAAAGGTGCTAACACCTGCAAAGATTGCTCGGGTTTGAAAAGCGTTTCAGAGCAGCACGCATGCTAACACAGGCGGGCATGAGTCTTGGCACCCGCCTGCATATTATCCAGACATGACATGGCATAAAGAGAACCAACACAACCCAAACTAAAACCAACTAACAATGACTAACACTTTGAGCATTCCCCTTGGCTTTTCTTCCACAGCCACTCATAGAAAATGATCAGCACAACAAATCAATAGCTCAACGAAATAATCATTGTTGCAACCACCCAATGCAAATGAACAGCAACAAAACCCAAAACACATCACACAAACACATGTCAGGACCGAGGATCTGCTGCATCAACGACACCCGATTCGCACTGGCCAATTACCTCCAGGATGTCCTTGCCGTAGCTCTTAACCTCAGGCCCATCGATCACTCTTGAGGCTGTGAACCAGAGGCACGTCGAATCTGGACAAACTACCAGAAGGTCCATTTGAATAAAATACACAGATTCAAGATAAATACATATATGTACATATCTAGGTAACCAGGGTTTCTAACTCTTAGTGTTTGCGTGATGGTGTGTGTCGGGTGCCAACTCTGGGTTTATGCGGTCGGCTTAAGGGATCAGGTGGCCAAAACAAACAGAGTTGGTCGACAAAAAATGGAGGGGGGGGAAACATGAGGAGCCAAACGACCCTACAATTCACAAACAACTCTTCCGTTTGTCCGCATGAGTCTGCAACGCTCGGCTTCGGCAGAGCAAGGCAGCGCCAGCTGGTTCACATGCGGGATCCAAAGCACCTTCGACAGCTCCTCTTCCCCATCGATCGTGGCATAAACGAGCATGAGTTGCCAGCGGAAAAATTACGGGATCCCCGTGAAAGACACCGTGGGCGACGTCGCTTAGGTCAAGCCCTGCGTCGGGAAACCAAGCGCATGGTCTATTCACCAGGACGCAGCCAAGACTAAAGGCATCTCAAAGCGGGTCATGAAAAGGCCCCGCGCAATGTCCTGTCAGTACCCCGATGGCAAAGCCGGAGCTGCACCGTGCAAATTGTTGCGGGATCTAGGAACTTAATAAATTGGGGGCGGGGGGGCTAAGCTGTGGATACAAATGGCCAACCAACTTGTTGCGCGTTAAATTCGCTCTTTTGGGTGTCTCTCAAGCCATGTTCTGTTTGAGTTGAGCATTGGCTGGTGTTCCCACGAATCGAACTCCCGTCTTCCATGTTCTGCGGGTTAGGGAAGCTCTGCCCAGGCTTGGAAGTTTGGAATCTCCAAAGCAACCGAATCCTACAGGACCCCAGGAGTTCAACAGGAAGTTGGACACGCGGCCATCAAAAGCAAGGACTTCCTGCAGAATTTCCTCCAGGTCGTTCCTTGGCGTTTCTATCATGTTGCAGGCCACTTGGCAAAGATTGCAATGTCTGATTGCTTCCGGTTGTCTTTGCCATTCAATTGATCTTCATGGAACTGTCATTTGCTTAAGTCACCTCGAGAAAATTGTTAAACAACAAACAACAAGCAGCCACAAATCCCGTTTAAAGCCATCAGGGGAAAGCACAACATATGGCTTCAGCAAAAGGAAGGCAGGTATGACAAAGCCCGGGAACTGAGGGAGCGAGTGTCGGAAATTCAGCTCAGGCGCCTTGATCTCTCCGAAGCCCCACACCTCCAGAAGTTCTTGCTGGCTTTTGGGCCGGCGCTGTGCCAACTCTTGCAGAGAGCGGTCACCTCAGTGCCCGGCGGTCAGGGGTGAACCCTGCACCAGGGTGCAAGTAGATTTATGTGGGTGAGCTTAGACGACACAATGGCGTGGGTCAAAAATACATACCCAAAATGGAACCCTGATAAGTGGAAACATGGACCAAAGACTCCCCGCGGGCGCCTGGTGATTGTGCTATCTACTTTTGCCCAACCGGACCGTGAAGGTTCTGAAAGGGGTCCTGATCCCGGGGTGAGGCGCCAAATTGCCATATGAAAGAGGAGAAACGCCGCGCGTGCTCCTTGCAGTTGGAGGTCACGCTTTTGTCGAGCATTTTGCAACGAAGTTGAGCTTGTGTTCAGGCCTTTGGGCCCTTTGGGGCCAGCAAAACGAAAAGTCGCCAGCACTTGCCCAGCCAGTATCAGTATTGCACATTCCGATGTTCAAGCTTAGTCAATGCAAAGCAAGCTTTGAAGTCACTCTCCTTTAAGGTGGTTCTTCTTGGGTCAGAAATGACACAGCCGGCCAACGTATTGGCATGTGTCAACATATGGGATCCCCCAAAATTATGGTTTCCTTGTTGGTCCCCCTGCCAAACCAACAAAACAGGAACCTCCCCCCCAAACAAACAAACAAACAAACAAAACAAACAAACAAACAAACAAACAAACAAACAAACAAACAAACAAACAAACACACACAACCAAACAAACAAACAAACAAACAAACAAACAAACAAACAAACAAACAAACAAACAAACAAACAAACAAACAAACAAACAAACAAACAAACAAACAAACAAACAGCAAAACCAACCAAAAAGGGAACCCCTCCCCTCCCCCCCCTCATCTTCAGCCAAAAGGCGAAAGATGAAATAGGGCTGTTGCCCAAGCTGCCTCGCCAGCCGCTGGCGCAGCTGGCGCAGCCCTGCCACTAGAGCCTCTGAGCTCGGAGTCGCGCCTACAGCTCCGAAGCCGGCGGATGTTGATAACGTTGACCCAGGATTAATAAACCCCTCCCATTATTAGGGGGGTGCTCCCTCCAAAAGTGGTCTGAATCCCCACTAAAGGGGACACCCCCCTATTAATCAACCAGAGGTTTATTAGTCCGGGGTTAACATTATCCAGTGGGCTGCAAAGAATCATGGTTTTCATTGCGGACGTGCCAGCGCTTGGAGGGTAGCAGTGAATGAAGCGGTTTTGTGCAGATGTACCTATATATTTGTGTAGCATTTGCCCCTTTGGCTTTCTCACTTCCGAACGAGTAACCAAACTTCTTTGTGTACCACTACAATGGTCTTCCCAACTAGTATGTAACCAGCGGTTGTCCTTGTGGTTTTTTAAAGGGTGGCTCCCTTGGCTCCCTATACAGGGACATGGAATCACAGGGCACTGTTGGTCAAATTTACTGACATTCACTTGCACAGTATCCCTCTCAGGGCAATAGTCGATTGTATGCATAAATGCATGGACTGCAACATTTGGTTTGTCGAACTCTGTGGCTTGTCTTGCGCCGCAAGCATCGAAAATTTCAGCGTGACTGAGCGTGATTCGGGGTGATTGTCAACTGGCGTGTGTGTCTAATCCCAAGCCCTCCATGCAAAATCTACTACCATTCATTTTCCAAATGGATCAAAAGCTGGCATGCATTATCTACATGCGATGTCGGGGAATGCATGCCGGCTTATCCATCTATGACTGTAATTTCGAACACGGTTTGTTGGATTTGTCGACCCCACGGTTTCCACCCTCTACCAAAGCCCTTTGCCTTACGCATCTACACAAACCCCCCAACGGCTACCCGCAAAAATCCCAGTGGCCCCAGGCGGCCCCAGTTTTAGTTTTGTAGGCAACGCAAAAACCCACCCGGGCGAGCCTGACACTTCTTCAAGCGGAGCAGTCTTTTGTGCTCGCGTCAGCGTTCTCTGGGTCAAGGGTCCTGGGCTGTTGCCCAAGCCAGTCGAGCGCGAGTTTCCCCAGCCCAAGTGTTGCTTGGCTACCTTCTCGCAAAAAGGTAGGGCTTCCCTTGGTACTTGATCATGTCTGCAACCTAAAACCGAACAAGTACGTTGGCTGTGGAGTTTGCTTAAATCAAATAACTTAAGTAGGCGGCCTGGGGAGAAACACCGGATGGCATGCTATAGAGGTGGATTTTTGTGGCCGGGGGCAGAGAAACGTTGAAAGGAAAGCCGACGAGAAAAGCACACACCTGAATACCTCGGTCTACACAATGGGAAAATGGTAAACCTCATAAGCTCAGTTTGCCGGGTGTATAATCGTGCTGGGGATCACTCCATTCAGCGTCAAAGTCCTGGCCACCTTTCTAGGCGCCCTTCTGCTGGACAGATCTAAAATCAAGCCAGGGATTTCCGGCAGTTTCTGAAAAATTCGATGGGTGAAAAGAATTCTAACAGGATCAACCTTGACAATGGTCCAGGCAAATGTTTTGAGGGAAAGCAGAAAACCAACCACCACGAGTGCCCTTTAGGCCTGGAGAAGCCAGTTCTTTAGACATATGCATGCATGTGCCCATGCATGCACAACCGTCTTGCCAACCCTTGCCAGGATAGCACACTTTGTAAATGTCAGTCCTCAGGCAAAAACCCAAAGAAGCGAGCACTAGTAACTAGTATGAACTTATGCACATGTACCTGCATGAGGTCTGTTCAAATCGAAAAGGCCGGGTGTCGGACCTCAGCACCGGGTATTTGTTGCCGTTAAACAATCAAGGTCCAAACAAAAAATAGATGAGGGAAACAAACAATCAGTGACCTTTCAACATACATCATTTAACAATTCAACCAGGGCCTTTCAAAAGGCCCCATGTTCAAAAGCAGAGCTCCCCGTTGAAGTTCAAAACCGGCTCCAATGCTTGCGCTGGCTTGTGGCTCAAAAACGGATCGTGAAAATGAGCCAGGCTCTAAATCAGTGTCCGAAGGTGACATCCTTAAAATGTCTCCTATTTTTGCAATTAAAAACAACCACTGCGTTCCGAAAATCTTGAACACCTCGCAAAATGTAGAGTTTGTGGGACCGACTCGATTCACTTTAAAGGAAATCTGAAAGAACAACTCTTGAACGGACCACACGTATCCCTTTCCTTTCAAGGCATGTTTTCAACCTCAAACACATTTCGCAGTATGAAATAATAACTATACGATGGGTGTATTTTTGGGATACCCTTTGCGGGTTGTCTTCGACTGGACACCATAAACACTTTTTCTTTGCAAATGGTGGCCACCACATTCCGGAGAAACCGTGAATCAACAAAAAAACCAAGACACGAATCCTATGGGTTCCAATGGGTTCCATGGGTTCCATAGGGCATTTGCAATGTCTTGTTGGGATCCTCAGTGCGTTTCTTGTGGGTTCCCACAACCCGAACAAATCCCCCCGGCCAAGGCTGCCTGAGCCGCGTTGAGCGCGTCCGCAGACATCGCAGGCGCCGCAACCGCGCGCCGCGTCGACCGCGTCCGAGAGGCCGAAGTGACGCGCTAGCTGACGGTGCCTCCGAACCATCGCTGAATGACACAGGATTCATCTGCAAAATATAGAAAAACCAGCCCCTGAAATTCTGAAAGGTGTTGGGCTATGGCACATGGTTTCAATGGACGTAGAGAAACAGCCTTTGACATCTGGAAACTTTTGCTGCATGGTGAGCTCATTCTCCCGAATCGAGCTCGCTTCACCCGTCCCTTGGTGAATCCCGGGGCACCCACCTAAGTTGCGTGGGTGTATTCATTAATACGTACGGGGTCGACTTTACCCAGTGCCAACCAGTGCAAACCATCATGTAAGACAGTCTGGAATACTTGGCAAGAATACCTGGTCTGATCGCCTTTTGAAGGGCCTGAACAACTAGAATGGGGTTGCGGGGTACTGATCCAAATCAGGATCATAGCGCAATTTCCATTTACTGCATTTAGCCCTTTGTACTCTTGGTCAGGGCTGTTCAAAACTGAGGGTTGGCCAATCTTAATCCAGAATCCCTATAGGAGACTGACTGGAAGATCCGTTACGCAACAACAACAAAAAAGGATTAAGGGCTGCCTTTGAACAACAAGGTGACAAGGGTGCCTTTTTTTACCCACCACAACCGTTAACAGGGGGCCAACTGGCCATTTATGGCAAGAGGTCACGGCAAATCATAGCTCCAAGCCAATAGTCGCTTACTCAGCAAATTCAACGCCTTAGAAAGGGAAACATACTGATACACGAAATCCTTTCACACCGGTTCAGAAAACCCTGGAATGACTCGATTCTTCAACGTCAAGGCCAAGCAAACCATGGTTTGCCTTGGTTTCAAAGTGGCGCAGGAGTTTTCGTCCATCCACAGTAGCAACACCGCGCAGAGTTTCAAGAACACACGTTTTTTTCCCTGGGACATGTAGGAATTTGAAGGATTGATGGCCATTACTTTCAATAAGTCTTCCCCCTGAGTTTTGGGTGGCTTCCTTGAAAGAATCGAGGAGTAGCCTTCCGTTAGAATACAAGTATCGGCCTGAATCATGGGTGAGCTCGTTTGCCCCGAATCGGCCAGCTCTTTGGGACTTGTTTGCCCACTGCCAGTGGTAGCCTACTGTATTGCCAGAGCCTGAAAGCCGGAGGAAAACACGTTTGGCAACTTTCGCTTTGACATCATGCGTTGCAACAAAAAGCCGTGGACGGTTGGGGCAGCCTGGGGCCTTCAGCTGGTAGTCTCTCCCTGTCCACCGTCATGCCTCTTGGAAATGGGGTGTAAGGGCCCAAATAAGTATAGACTGGGGCGATTGGGCTCCTTGAAGCCAAATTAAGCCATGTGATGCAGAATACATGCAAATGCTAGTCACTATCTATCCCCAATGGTGACTGTGGGGTCATCAGCAAAGGCAGCCCACCCCTTCCCCCCCCCACTCTCCAAAATGGGAGGTGTCTTTTTGATTTCCCTTTGGCGCATCCGCGGACAAAAAACAGACCCATACGCTGGATGTGCGAAATCCACAACGTTGAAGCCCGTTGAGGAATCGAATCATTTCAAGGTTTCCGCACTTCTTGGGTGGATGGGCAAAAGAAACAACGGTTTGTTTGCCCCAATCTCCCACAACCACGAACCCCGGGACGGAAATGATGGTCATCGAACATTCGAGTGATAATGATTCACTCATCGGCGATATGAAAAGCCTTTCGTTTATTCGGTGATGAAACAGGAAACGTCCCCATCACCACTCGAAACCCAAAAGCAGCACGGAAAAAATACTTAAACAACACATAGAAACAACCTGAAGCAACCCGAAACAAACCGAAACAACCCCCGGCAAAAAACACACACACGAAAAGAATGAAAACCCGAAAAACAAGGCAAACAACAGCCCCTAAAAACAACACACACAAAAAAACATGACCAGTCCAACCGAAACCCAAAGCCATCCACGCATCCGATCCTGCAGGTCTTGGACTCCAGGAAGGCCCAAAACCTCCAGGCCAAAGCCCCCACTTCACCCCAAGGTTGGGTCTCGACGGGGGGGTTGGTTCATAAGTATATATATATATATTAGTGTATATGTATGGGTATGAATGAACAAATGGGTGCACACACATATGTATATATCAATATATATGTATGTGTGTGTGTGTGCGAATACATGTATATAATGTATATATATATATAAACCACTCCCCCGCTAAGAGAGAAAGAGAGAGAGAAAGAGAGGTATCTATATATATAATATACATACATATCTATATGTACATGAAGACACCACCCGCCTACGTTTTTTTTGGGGGGGAACCCCAAAAAAGGTTGGGTTCCTACTTGTTTCTTGCATGGAAGCAAAACCTCTTTTGCTCGCCTGCCTCATTTGCGGTCCCCAAAAGCAAGCGCAGACCCGTCCCTAACCCCAAGGGCTGCGACGTTGCCGCCGGAACTCGCAGCCTCCAATCTTTCACGAAGTATGGGGAAGGTTGCTTGAGTTCGCATGGGGTCTGTCGATTAGGTAACCCCGCTCTCCTGTTCTGCTTGCGAGAGGGGCGCGAAGCTGGCGCTTGGGTGGTGTTTTGCTTGTTTTACAAGCGTGCCGCCTTGAAAACACATGAAAACTGCTTGCCGGGATGGGATATTCATGCGCTTTCTCATATGTTTGCTGAGCAGGGACTTTTGTCAACTCATCATAATCAAATGTCTTGACACCTCCTTTCAGGTCGAGTAGCTCTTCGAACTGCCGGGTCTCTATTGTCCGGCCGTCCTGGCCATCCTGGCCAAGCCACAGTTCTGGTTGCTACGTCCCCAGTTGCCGGAATCCTTCCTTCCGCTGGCTTCTGAGAACTGACCACTAGACAAGTGAGATCCCAATGACCAGCGCTCACCTCAAAGCTGGCTCCGGCTTATCGCGGAAAATGGGCCAAAGCTTCATATCCCCTCGACGAGGTGACCGTACTCTTTACTGATCCTGCCTTTTTGGAGAGAGGGCCAAAGGCCCCAAAAGCCCATCAGGAAAGTTCAGAAGGGGTTTGGATCAATGAACCTCGAAGCTTTCTCTGAGTAGGGGGCGAATATCCTTGCCACCCACACCCCCAGAAAGAAGACACTCAAACCAACTTGGCAACCGAAAGGTGGCCGAAAGGTGGTAACTAAACCAGCCCAAGGAAGGTGTAGCACACCAGCCCAACAAAGAAGGTATAGTTGGCACTTATTAAATATGGGTGCATGGTCTGCTCTTTGTTCCTTTTGGTTCCCCTTTGCACCAACCTGAAAAGGGCACCCACCAAAACAAAACAATATATGTTGATGTGATTTGAGGTCCTGGCTTTGGCTGGGTTCCTTTCAAGCCAACACAACAAGGTAGCCATCCTCAACTGTCCTCAGGAGTACCCTCCAAACAGTGGTTCTTGAGTGGCCAGAAAGATTTCAAACTCTTGGTCTCCCCCAACAGTTTCAAGTCCATGAACTCCGTTCACTTGTCTACTCCAAAAGGGCGGTGAGTGCTTCAAGGCGTACTTGACTAAGCCATTTTGGGGGGTTGCCTATTTTTAGGGGGTCCTGATCACCAAACAAACAAACAGACATGCGCAGGGTGACATACAAACTGTTGGTAAATTGCTAACTATGTTCGCTTGTCCGGAGGGACCTCGAAAGACTTGGATTCCGAATCCAAGCTCTGTAACTTCTTGATCACCCCAGGGAAGACTTTGGGTTCTGTTCTTAATGATATCCCCCCCTTAAAACAGCTTGGGCTCAGTGGCTTAGACCTTGCCACTCTCCAAATCTTAGTGGAGAAATCGCCCCTTTTAGGGGAAACTAGTCAAGGACCCTGAAACGTCAGATTCCATGTTAGATGACGGGAGGGTATTTGTTGCGTTCCCCCCTGCAAAATCACGCATTTCGGGTCTCAACGCGCGTTGCTTGTTTGAGCGGAAGGGACCCACAAAGGTCCCAGAGTTGTAGCCTAGATCGCCAAGTTGCTGCTTTTTTCCGTCACTGTTGCTGGCTTTTGGGGTAAAGTGCATGGAAAAAAGCGATGGCACCTGGCGATCCAGGAGGTCCCTCTCAAGCGGATTGCTTCTGATGGTTTTCGCGCGAATGCTCACCCCGGATTAATAAGGTGTCCCCAGGTTTAGTGGGGATTCATCAGTTTTGGAGAGGAACACCCCCGTATTTATAAACAAAGGTTTATTGATCCGGGGTCAACACTAGCGGACAGGAATCGGAGACCCATCGTCCTGGATGACGCGAAGCTTCGCCGCGCGGCTCCGCTTGCCGCAGTGGAAGAGGCGGCACTCCGCCGCTTCCCCGTCCCGCCCCGCGCGCCCCACCTCCTGCGCAGCCGAAAACCGGGAGCTGAAAACCGTGAGCTGTGGATCCCTGTGGATGGATGCGAAATCCATTTCGCCGCCACTTTGAAACCATGGGAAGCCATTGCTAGTTGGTATTTACGGCGGAATCATCATTCCAAGGGTTTCTTAGGTGGTGCAGGATTTCGTCCATCCACAGTAAAGTGGGTGGGGTCTTTTGAAATCCATTTCTTCTATGTGCTTAAGCCCCTGAAAGAAACAAAAGCATTAGTGAGAGATTCCCTTTAAAGCCAACACACAGAAAATAAGCATATTCTTAAGCAAACTGAAGGACCCGATGTTTGTTTCTCAAGCAAGCGAGATTTGCCCAAAATGGGTTCGACATGTGAAGCAGGGGTCCACTTGCGTCTTGCCCACAAAATGATGGCTCTCGAGAGCCTCGATGGCAGAGACGGGTCCAAAGGCAGGCAGGGACGATTCGGTCCTGGTAGTACTGAGGAATACTGCTGGGCAAGCCAATGTGCAAGACAAAGCGCACATCCGGCCTGCGCAGGGGTCCATGCATGGTTGCTTGAGGCCCTGTCACAACACATTTGCATACAGATCATACATGCATTTTTTAGACACAAATATTTGTATATGCATGTATGTTATGCACAATGTATTCCACGTATGGCAGCTAATGTCACTGGCATGCGTCCAAACGCTACTTGGCGCAAACCATGGGTGCTCCTTCGCTGAAGGAAACATGTTGCGCAACTGCTCGTCCTTGTCGCTGGCTCCCAAATGTCAATGTCCCACTGGTTGCGGTTGACTTTGAAAGTGGGTTCTCGAAACGACCCTCATGGAGGTTTACACTTGCTTGCCCAAAGGACCTGGAAATAAAGCGTGATCGCCTTTTAGGGCAATGACTAAAAATGGGAACCCAAAACAAAATGTGGAAACTAAAGGGTGAAAAGGAAAACTTCGCGTTGGTTGCAAGTGAGTTCAAAGGAAACCACCTGTAGAAAGTAATGTAAAGAACCCCCCAAGCTATCCGGCTAGTCGAAAGGACGGAAAGCCACACATCTGCCAACAAGGAGGGGGTGTCCAGCTGGCTTCTACCTGAAACTCGCTCAGCTTGGCATCAACTTAATTGGAGCCACCGCCTTGTATACGGGCTGAAGGACCATTGCCCATTGGATGCCAATCAGCATTTGGTCATGAAGCGATGAAGGGCGAAAACGATTACTGAGCCAATTCCAAGAACCCCTCCCTATCCCCAGAACCTGGCAGCGCTGAGCCCCCGCTTCCCAAACCGTAAAGGCGCCCTGAGCCGGGAGCCTTCAGACATGAATCAGCATGCATGTGTAATGAGCAATTGACCGGGCCCGGATAAAACCAACAACATAAATGGGCGGGTCAGCCAGCCTTTCAAGGGAATACCAAACAGCACCTCTAACATTGACCACCACACGCAGGCACATCTAAACCTGTTCTTTCGTTCCTACGTAACGTTTTGTGTCAAAATGGGGGAAGCTGCACAAATTGGACGTTTCCTCCAAAAAGGGTACCCTCAGAAAAAGACACATCCAGGAACCAATACGAAGGCTTCAAATATAACCAGGGTGGATGCCCTTCATATTCCAAGTAAAGCAACCACAACCTCTACTTCCGCCCCTTTTGGTGCAAAAAGCCATGTTTCAAATGGGCAAAATGGAGATCTTTTAAGGAGCCCTGTTCCACAAAACCAGCAAAACAACAAACCCGAGAAAGGTCCTATGGATCGCTGAGCCCATGCCCGCTGAACCAAAGGCCAAAGAACCCGAAGGCCAAAGGACCCGCCTGTCGATGCCCATGCCAAAGGCCGTGGTGGCAATCACCAGGTCGATCTCTTGGCGACTCCACTGGTCCGAGACCTGCCAGCGCCGAGCTCGGCACGCGGCCGGCCGGGGACTCAGAGAGACCAATCCGTCGCCGGGTTTTTGGAAAAGGTGACCCGTTGGTGGCTTGGATTGAACAATTGAACTTGTGGTTCAATCTGCACATGGAAAACCAGCCAACCTTCACACCACCAATCCAAACCACCCATTGGGAAGCATATTTTTGGTGAGTCTTGGGGGGTTTAAGCTTAGCGTTTCGTCTGACCTGCAGGGACCTGAACATAAACTGTGATCGCCGAAACTGAGACCTTGACTAGATATGGTTGCCAAAACTCAAACACCAACTTTGGGCAAGAGTGAAGTCTACAGTGGTTCTGTGGTTGTTCTGATGCTCTCTTGTTTGAGTTCTGCTTGAACTGCATCTTGGAACATCTGCGTTTCCGGGAACCCCTTCTCTAACTTCCTGAGTGGACGGGTCCTTTCCCTTTGGGAAAAAAAAAAAACGAAGCTCCATCCATGTCCCGAATCTCCTCTTGGTGGGGCCTCCCCATTGGGTTCCATGATGTTCCATGTCAGCCTTGCTTCATGGCACCATGAACCGAACCATGCTGAGAGAGAAAGGTACCGGGAAGAATCCTCAAAAAGCCCCTGCCTTCTCCAGCCAAACAATACTGCGGAGCTATGAAATCCCCTCGCACCACTTTGAAACCATGGTTGAAACCGTTGTTTTGGTGTCTGCGTGCGGGAGTCGCCTCATTCCGTTGGGTGTCTGACTGGTGGTGCGCAATGGATTTCGTCCAACCACAGTAGCTTGCCAACACAAATGAAACATGGCTTGCGATCGATCGCAAAATTGAGCCCGAACCATTTCGCAGGTCCCCAGGACCTTTTTGAGAAACGCCCCATAGCACCCCAAAGTCAAGCATGTCAAGCAAAAGGGGGCAGAGACCCAAAACTTCGAGCCTGTTTTTTTGGTAGTGTTTGGAGCTGTGCCATCCAACAAAAATGAAAAACACAACATCTTGCAACATCTGAATCCCTAACTTTTGGGGGAGTTTCGTGCCATCATCTCTTCCACCTTCCCATCAGTTGGCGGTTTGCATTGGTGGTTTGGTGGTTAAGGGTAGTTTCCCATTTAATTACCCCGGTTCAAATCCAAAACCAAGCCACCCAAACCACCGATGACAGGACACCCCACTTGTTTTGGAAACGGCCGCTCGACCCTGGGCCCTGGGAGCTCCAATCGCGACACCCTCAGGCCCAATCTCCCCCCCCCAACACACCTCCAAAAATGGTCTGTTTAAATTTTAGCCTTTCCCAAGCAAGTGCGTAGGGGGGGGGTGTTGGGGAGGTGCGTTCAGGGTGTGAGCTTGGCGTTTCTGGGCTCTGCTTGCACAGGGAAACTGGATGCTACTCCGTGGATCTGGGGACTCAAGGAGTCAGCCAAAACGGATCCAAGCCCATGGCAACGCGTGGATTGGTCAAGAAAAGTCCAAACTTTTTTTATACCACTAAAATTCATGGTCATCCCAAGAAGGCCAATATCCAGGAACTCAGGCAGTGAGCTGTTGATCTTTATGTGATGCTTTTTGTTGGGGGCGGCGATCGCAAGCGCCTCAGCGCGGGTCTCGTCCTCGAGGTCCGCGTGATACTGCGCCAGGCCCTTATACCTCCCAAGGCCAGGAAAGCCCACTGCAAAATAGGGATCTCCTATGCTTTTAGTCTGCCTTGGGCTTCCTTTTAAATAATTACCAGCCAAAACAGGTCGCCTTCGGCTTTTAATATATACCAAGCTTTGCTGTAGTCTGCTTTGGGCTTCCCTTTCAATACCAACCAAAAGGGGTTTCGAGACGTGCCGGAGCTTCAAGGGATCCAGAGCCGTACCTGCAACTGCAGGTTGCAGCTTGCCCGCAGCTTGCCTTGCGCCACATCTATAAATATATATATATATATACAAATATCCCCCATTTGGCCCTTCTGCATGACAAACTCCTGAAATATTTGAGGGTTGAATATTGTTTTCGAGGTGTGAAACTTAACTGGGCACAGCTTGGTGGACATGTTTTTTCACGGGATTTATGTGCGCATTGTGCGCCAATCATTGTTGAATGTGCTCCGGGTATAGCTTATAATTTTATATAAGTGTATACATATATATTTCTACATATTCAAGGCCAACAAGACCTCGCAACACGCGAGGTTGCTTGTGAGTTCTGTGGTGGCGCCTCGAAAGCTCCGCAACTTAGAATTGGCGCGGCAGCTCTCAAGACCTGCTCGGAAAGGACCTATTCTGGGGCCCTACTTGAGGGGCTACCATTCTGTGAGTGGCCCTGGAAATCATCAAACATATTCCCCCACCAAGAAAAAGACGGCTTGGTGTTTTTTTGTTTTCTTTGTGGCGTGAATCCAGTTGAGACTTGTTCTTACCCCAATAGGATCAATCTGCCGATCCTGGAAACAGCTCTCCCAGTGCTGTGTTTGGCACCTTGATTTCAGAAGGCCGTGCATCTGGCGCAGCGTCTTCTTGCTGGAGCAGAAGATGATGCCACACTCACCTAGGCTCGCTTACTCTTCTACTCGTTGGTTGTTATATATATATATATCTTATTCTGTGTGTATAGGCATGTACACGTACAGATATGTTTGTATGCATGCATATGTGTACATATTGTCAATACGCAGATGTTCGTTCATTAGCGGTCCTTGTTCCATGCATTTCCCTGCTAAACACTCCACTTGCTGGAAGCCCAGACTTTGACTTGGAGAAACTGAGTAGTCTATGGGCAAACCCACCCTAAGCCTTCAGTCTTGAAACCTTTTGCGGATTGGCCAAGTCCAACAAGTTTGGCCCAACAAAGGGACTTCCCAAAAGCAAGCCCAGGGGCCTCAGGCGTTGACTTGCTTTCAAGGGAGGATCTGGGTGCTTTTTCACACATTTGCTCCGTGGGGCAAGGGGAAAATAGGTAGTCCGAAGTCCGAAATGGACAAACCCGCCCATTCAGCCCGTCGAGTCACCCGCATGGCGCGCTAGAAACTCGAAGACTCTCCGTGGCAGCTCTTTCATGCTGCTGAGCTGGGTGACCTATCACTGGGCGCGTTGCGCTGCCAAACCCAGCTTCTTGATGCTGAAATGTTGATCACATTTAGGGTAATTAATATGTCATAAACTCCACTAAAACCAGCCAGAAGTAAATGTGTGCCAAACACTGGAGGTACCCCAAAAATGGTGGGGTTCCTGATGAAGACAAAAAAACCATGGACGTTCCAGAGTTTCGCTTTGGACTACTGGCAATTCTGGCCTGGCATCTGATAAGCCTTCCCCGAAAAGTTCAAGAGCTCTTGAAACAAAGGTACTTCCTACTAAGATGCGACCTAAATGGAGGTCCCTTCAAGTAATGTACTTTCCTCTCAGGGCGTCCTCTTTCCAAGGTGGAGGGCGAACGAGGAACCGCCAATAGCACTACGGAGCATACCTGACGGTAGTTGCAAGATGGGGAGGGTATGTACTGATAAACCGTATTGAAAAGTCTCGACAAGTTTTGGATGCGTTACTCCACGAAAAGAAAAGGAATCTCCAAGTGCGGGGCCTTCATGACGAGGACCGAGCTCCCTCTCCCCAAGTACTCAATTTACAAGCAAACCATGGCTTGGTTGTGTTGAGCTCAGATCAACCCTTCTAGGGCTACCTTCCGCATTCTTTCCAGGGATCCGTCTTTTTAGCAAACCTCCAGAACTGCAGGGAGAAGGGCGAGAGTTTGACCAGAACGATGGTTTTACACGAGTAGAATTTCCACAACCCTTACACGAGTAGAATTGCTACTGCTCGCACAACTACTCCTATGGCTACCCGGGGTCGCAAACCTTGGGAGGTCGAAAGGTTGAAAGCGACGGGCGTGACGCGAAAAGGGAGCGCCTGCAGCTGCAGGTTCAGCCGCGGGGCGCCGCTCACCACGAGCTTGGGCTTCGACATCCGCAGCTGCTGGAAGATGTCCTGGCGCGGGCCCGGCTAAAATGTTTCTTTCTTTCTGGCTGTGGGCAAAATGGAACCTTGGTAAATGGAAACACGGACTAAAACCTGCGGTTGGTTGGTGATTCTGACCCAGACCCTTCTGGTTCCGGAGGCTGTGCCGGACACAACAGCAGCACTGCTGGCTGTTCCACGAAAGCCCGGGTAAAATGCTGACATTCGAATGGAGCCCGGGTGGTTTCCCATTTACCCCCTACAAGAACCAGAATTTGAAGTCAAAAAAAAGAGGAACAAAAACAATGCACCAAGAACCCTAATTTCAAGTCGGGGAAAACAATAATCAATGCACCAAGAACCCGAATTTCCAGTCCGAATCCAAACCACCAATCCACTAAAGGCTTGCTGAAAATCGCGGGCCCCTGTAAGGGAAACCCCAAAGGGGGGAGATGTCCATCGGATCGCGAGGGGAAAGGAGGCCTTTCCCAGTTGCAACCTTGACTCAACCCTTGGTTCAACAAAACTAGTTGAAATCCGATGAAGTTAACACCAACCCGTTTGTCACAAGGCCTTGAGCCTGGCTCCCCTTTTCTGAACCCATCTTGAGTAACCGGTGCTGAACAACTCTCGGAAGCCCCACTTGGTTTCAGTGGCGCGAAGGGGTACCCAGTTGCCCAGTTACCCAAGCGAAGCTCGAACTGCCCAAGGCACCAATCCAAACCAATCCAATCCTCCATTCGCTTTTTCGGTCCCTGGAAAAAAATGAACAATATGCTCAGGAGTGATAGATTCCCCTCAAAACCAACAAGAGGGGAAATCAAACATATTCACTTCAGCACATGGAAGCAATCCAAGGGCTGTCTAATCAGGCTTCGCGTTTTTTTCCCAAATCGACTGCAAGGAAAGCTCTGGAAAAAAGTGGACGGGGTAATGTGGAAGAAACCTCCCCAAAAAGAGGCGGAAATGGGGTGTCTTTCCCCCCCCCAAAAAAAAAAACAGGTCAAGTCTTCCTTGTTCTCCTTTACAGCCACAACACACGTTGGGTGTGGCTCAAAATTGAGTGACTAGGGTTACACAGGTTTCAGTCTTTGGCTCCATTTACCAAGGTGCCGGCCACAAGACATACGTTCTTTACTCCGCGCAAAAAAAACAAGGGGGGGGAAAAACGGTAGCCGCCCAAACTCGACTCGCGCGTTTCTTGCGTTTCGAGCCCATGGGCGCTCCTTTTGCACCTGAGCGCTGGCCGTGGCCGTAAAGGCCTGGACCTTCACCTGCGAGAACTTTGGGGGGGGGGAAAAGCATGCCGTCCGCACAAATTCGATCAGCTTTTCTCCTGTTTAGGTGAAAATCGATAACAGCAGTTGGATGTTATACAGCTTGAAATCTAGTAGTCCGAGCGTTTCCCTACACCAATACAAACTCTGGGCCAAAGAACCCGGCCACTTGATTTTTTTTCAAGGAAGGGGCTATGGACCAAGACAACCAACACATATGGGTACGAATTTTAACAACGGGCACTTTGGTGGACATCAGAAAAAGGTGGGGATTCATGTCCACCAATCACTTTTGAGGTTGCCTATTAAAACTCAAGGCCATATATCACAACCACTCCCCGGCCAACCGTCCGTCCGTTCGTGCCGGCCTGGAGCTTCTGCGCTAAGGAGCCGATGTGGCGATAGCTGGGCCGAAAGTCGTGGCCCCATTGGCTGACGCAGTGGGCTTCGTCCACCACCACCCGCTGCACCGGCACCTGAAAAGCGCGAACCACATCTCCGGCGCGCGCCACATATCTTGGCTGGAACTATCTAGGACCCCAGCACATATATATATAATATATATATATATATGTTGCTTGCCTGGTTAGTGGAAAACAAAGGGAACCCCAAAAAGCCAAACAAATAAAAGGGGAACTAATTCTGTGGAAAATATGGTGATGTTCCGACCGGAAAATCGCCCCAGACGTCGGGCCCCGAAAGGTAGACGCTTGGGCCAGCGACTTGTTGCAGGAAGAAGGGAAACAAACCCAAACAACATCTTCAGACTTCAGCCTGCAACAGTCAGCTATTTGGTGGTAGAAAGGAAGAAATCGTGGCTGCCAATGCTAGAGTGAACAAGGGGAGAGTCAACAAGTCACTTTCTGCAGATCCAAATGTCTGGCCCTTTTTATGAATCACTCTGTCTAAGTGGCGCCTTGCAAAGGCGGAAATGGCTATGGGAATGCCCTCCCATGTTTCACACAAACCCGTGTAGAAGATGTCCGCCAAAGGGTCCCCAATCAAAATCTATACCCATAAGGGCTTGTCTCATTGGGGGGTAAAGATGGGGTAACCTAAGAGGGTCTCACTTTAATCACCCCACCAACGGAACCCCATGAGTGAGCACCCGAAATTGGCCTTTGGCTTGGGCGGAAGAAAGCTCCGTACGGAAAATACAGACGTACACCAAAGCAAAGCATGGGAAATAGAGATTTGAAAAAGGAGCTCCCTTGATGTGAGGACCCCTGCCTATTGGCTCGGAGAGGATTGGGCCGTCAAAATACCGCTCCGCAATGGACTGGACATTGGCAGTTTGGGCTTGTCTTTGGGCGAACCATCTCAAACTGATGGGGGCCTTTGGTTGTCCTTCAAGTTTGCCAAGGCCAATTTGGCCAGGTTTGCCTGGAAACAACTCATTGATTAAATCGCCAGTTTGCCTTTACAGGCGCCTTTGGTCGACCAGGTGCGTCTCACCTACCCAGACCCGAAGATCAAGGTCATCACCAAAACTGGAACCTTGAATCTGGTCTATTCGCGTTGGTGTGTCTTCTTAGGATTAGGACAAAGGATTGCAACAGTGTTCTTCTTTGGACTCCCCATCAAAATGCCCAAAAGGGGTGCCTGGACGACAAACAACCATGGCACCCCTTCCCCCAAAAAAAACATCGGAAGGGGATGAAGGTTCCTTTTGAGGGAACCGGTTCTGCAGATTCCTTCCGCTTTGTTTTGGGGGGGAGGGCACCCTATGACGGATGCGCTCTTCCGCTCTTCGCCTGGAGCTCCTGGAGCCTCCGTACGAAGGAGCCCATCCTTGGATCACCGGATCACAGTTCGAGCCAGCCGGGGCCACTGGAACGGCAGGAAACCGCCAGGTCTTTTGATGTTTCGCCCTCTTTTCCATGGGGGGATTTAAATCAAGGTAAGCCACAAGATGTTGGCCAATGCGCTTTGACCCTGCGGGCCAAGGGGGAAATCCCTAAGGCTTTTCCGCGAACCCAAAGGAGCCCTAAGAGTTCTAAAGAACTACCAGGGCTTTGAACTGCCCACCCGCCTTGTACCTTCCCTGCGGATGGGAGTCCATAATTCCTTTACCAGATTCTTCTGGCAAGACGTTGATAGTTTGAAGGGATTTGTTCAGGCTCAACCGACTGTGGGAACCATGTTTGACTTGCATCCCGAAAGGGTGAGCGGCGGAACCAGGTGGGCATTCACTTTAAGTGACGAAGGAATCATATGTCTAAAATATATTGGTCCGTGTGTGTAGTCACATAGGTCCATGTCATGTCTTTGTAGCAATCGTCCATGGTGTCCTCATGGTCGCAACTGTAATTGGCCAAGGCAATGCAACAAGGTGATGAGCATGTAAGATCAGGATCCAATAGATGTGTCCACTGCTGGTTGCCACGTTGGTCCACTTGCTTTTGGTCATGTCAGCCTCCGCTCACCGAAAGCTTCTTGTCAAACCCGCCCCGGCCATCTGGGACCCCAAAGACCCCGCCAATGGTTGGGGCACAAGTAAGAAGCCAGATTTGGGCAAAAAGAGTTGGTCAAAACAAATGACTTGGAAGGAGCTTTGAGAGCATGACAACCACCTGGGCAATTTGTCAGATCCAGTCGGCTTGAGCAAAGCATCTCTAGGCGTTCCGGGGACACGTAGAGCAAGCGAAGCTGTCCACGCTCCTCGGTGGATCGCTGGCCATTGCATGCGATCCCTGAGCACATAGGTGGCCTTTGGGAAAAGTAGATGGCCCTGGGTAAATGGAAGAAAACCTATCTAAACCAGTGGAACCCATCTATTTTGAACTAGACTAGCCCAAAAAGGGCACCTATGCCTGGGCGCTGAAAGTTAAAGTGCGAGCCTTGAACTGGAATCACCCACTTTTGCGGTAGGCGGGCGCCTTTTCGGGGGGTAAAAGGGAAAGTCAGAAAGGACTTCCCGTATGTTGAGGGCGGCCTTGACCTTGGCTGGGTGGTTCGGACCACCTCCTTGAGCCTCTACCAGAAGGGAACCAAACGCTCCGTTCCCCCAAACCACCAATCCAGTTCGCAGATTCACGGTGATTTGGGGAAAAAAAACGCATCCAAACTATACTCCACTTGCTTCATGTAAGCCAGGAATTAGAGCAGGCCACGTCAAAAAGTCCAGACTTTTCCATTCTCTGGTATCCTTCTCCCCCCCCAAAAAAAAGAAGAAGAGAAAAAGGCGAAAAACATGGGAACATGTGTGCCTTCCAAAAAGGGCGATAGGTGAAAATAATGAACAATGAAGCCTTATATGCTTCTTAGCAACAAACCGATAGCTGCGTGGCTGCATAAGACAACCTAATCCTATTTCTTAAACAGAAAGAGCGACGCAAGGACCTCAAAGACTGAGCGTCAGTAACTCAGTACCGATGGTTCATTTGGGCTGCTGATTGCTGCCGCACACAGAATTCCTCGACATTGGCTTTCCAAAGTCAAAGGGCGAGTATGAGGGGGGGCCCACTCATCATCTCTATGTAGGTCTAAATTTCCCTTCAGGACGTTGGTCGACGTTGTTGCATGGGAATGCATGTGCAATAACAAGGAGCTGTGCAAACCCCAAGGATCCAGGAAACCAGAAGGGACCCCCCTTCTGACAAAAAAAAACCTCATGTTGCAACATGTCGGGCTGCCCCCAAAAAGGAGCGCGGAAAAAAAAGGCCCCTGCCCCAAAAAGGCGCGAACAAAAAAAAGGCAGCAACAAAAAGGCAACAAAAGAGCAACAACAAAACGGCAACAACCAAAAAAGCAACGAAAAGGCACAAAGGCGGAACAACAAAAAAAAAAAAAACAGCCACAAAAACCGGGCAGGGCGAGGCGCGAGGCGCCGCCAGACCTCTTTCTGCTGCAGCAACGTGCAGTCGGAGCCCAGATACTCCGCCCCGCAGTCGAGTGGAGCCTTCTGCTTCAGGCCCTCCACCTTTCTCGCCGATGAAAAAGACCCGAGCTGGGGGTGGCGCGTTGTTGGATGGCACCCCGCTTTTTGTTTGGTGATTTTGAATGGACGCCAAAAGGAGAACCACCATGGGGGGGCTGTCCTCTAACAAAGACACACCCACATGGTGAAGAAAATGCTTCATAGGCCTGACTACTACCCCCATGCGACTGGGTTTGATCACCTTCTTCCAGGTACGGGGCAAGTGAGAGATTTGAAACCCTCTCATTTACCGAGCTCCATGGTTTGGTGGCCTTTGGTTTTCAAAACAAATGTCTTGGCCAAAGGTTGGGAAGAGAACCATTGGGTGGTTCCTTTCCCCAACAGCTCCGGAGGCCAGGGTCTTTGTGAAGGGATGAAGAACTACCGTGTGCACCGCAGAATTTGCTACACTTGGGAAATGGGCGTGCTCCAACTAGTTGAGTTGCTCATTTGGAGGGGGGCACATCATGTTTTCTTCCTGGGGGTGTTTTTGTTTCTCTTTATGGGTGGCTTTGAGGATGCCGCGCAAATACTGCAGCAGATGCTCGGGAAGTTTGGCCCAAGCGCGGCCCTGGGGAGATGGAAGGCCACGGCATTGGTTCATCTTCGCCGGTGTGGTAAACCAGTTGTGCAGGTGTTTGATGCGTGGGCTTGCCTTTGGTTTGTGTGGTTTGGTTGATGGCTTGTTCGATGTTCCTTGTTTGCCGGGGGGGGGGGCAAAGCTCAACGCTTCGACGCTTGGGCAGGCAGAACTGACTTTTGCACTTGCGCCAGGTGAGCAGCGCGGTAGAAAGGCTTTCTCCAAAATAGGACCGCTTCAGGTGGCTGTTGTCCTTGTTGCTTCCCATGGCTTCCCCTTAAAAATTGAAAGCATCCAAAGAGGGACCACTATCAGTTGGAGGGCCAACAGTCCGTCAGCAGCGCCCACACCCTCCATGGCCCATCGCAGGAGTTCTTTCGACTACCTGGTTTCACCGCACCACCCCAGCACCCTGCACCGGGGCCTGGTCCCGCATAAGGCTGAGCAACGGGCTCACCACCAGCCTCGGCGAGCCATGGGCCCCCAGCAACCCATGGCCTATTGATTCTACCGCTTGGCGAGTCGTCGGAAAAGCTAAGGAGCAAACAAATGAAGACACCACACATCATCATCATCATCATCATCATCATCATCATCATCATCATCATCATCATCATCATCATCATCATCATCATCATCATCATCATCATCATCATCATCATCGAACCAAGTGAAAATGCTATTAAAACGCTTCAAATGTTGAAGGCTAAGCTTAGATGTTAGGACGCTTTCATCTTCCCAACCTCCCAAAACAGAACCCACCCCCCTCAACCCTCCGAAATCCAAACAAACACGACAGACACCACAGACACCGCCCTACCCGGCGCCAAGTCGCGTCAGGCCTTCTCCCAACACCGCCGGAGCCTGGAAGCAAAAGCTCTTGCCGTAGCCCGTGGGCATGACCACCAGCACCTCCTCGCCCGCTCAGCGCGACTCTAGACGTCCCTCCCCGAGTCTGACATGAAATCCAAGGGGCGACTTTACTGAAGCACCTGGATCGCCAGTTTACCCCAAAAAACAGGAACAGCGACTGAACAAAAACAGCAACTTGGCTATCTAGGCACTGTCCTTTTCCGCTTTTTGGGTGGAGATGTCCCAGTCTAATCCGTGAATCCGATGATTTGGCAACACTGCAAACATTATTTCTCTCTAGAACCGAATCACGGCCGAGGTCCTTTTCCCAAACTGCACTTGTGAGAACGTGTCTGCCCATATGAACTTCCGCCAACATGCTTTTTGTTAAATAGCGGGGTGCTTTTCCCTGGGTGAAACGTGGTTGGAAGCAGGCCAATTTTGGAGGGGCCAAAAATCACCCCCCTATTAAGGCCCTATTAGTAACAACGGGTTGAATTTCATATGGGGTCAACATTAGCCGAATTGGCTAGGAACTGGCCGGGGGGGATGCTTGGCCCGACCGAGTCCCAGTGGATGTCCATGGGAAAAATGTCGCACATGTTTGTGTTGGTTGGGTCGAAAGGGAAACCCCTCCAAAACAGCAAAGGTCACCGTACCTGATTTTTCCACGAAGAAAGTTGCGAACCCTTTGAAAGTTGCGAACCCTTTCCACACCCGCGTGACACAAGACAAAACCCACGCCAAAGTACGCAAACCTACAATGAAGAGCGCTGATTTTGGGTTGCCCACTCGTGGCGAAACTGCCGAATAAGGAGATTCGAACCGACCTGGACTATGCTGCTTCACGGCTCACATATCATGCCCCTACTTGCCAAAATGCGAGAACTCCAAAAACGAACGTAGTTTCCCGATGGCTTCCCTTAAGCCAACTTGAAAATGGCTCCCTTCGGTCATACTGCGGATGGGCACCAACTTCTTCAGGGACGTCGCACACCCCGCGGAACGTGACGGCGCCAATGTGCGCAGAGATATATGTGTGTCTTGTTGTTCCGCGGGTGCCCCTGTTATGACTGTGGAGGCAAGCCAAAAAGGCAAAAAGGGTGGTCACTTCCTGAGCGGATGGGCCAAAAGAAGTCCACACTCTTTGTTTACCACCGGACCAACATCAGTCTTCCCAAAAAGTGCCTAAAGTCCGAGACGAAACCCAGGGGAGTGCCACCCGCTTTTCCCCACTGTGCGCTCCTGGCACGCAGCCACCGCACGCATGGCCTCCCCCTGCTTGGGCCGTAGGCGCCGTACCCCCCAGGCGCGCAGAAGCTCCGGCAGGCGCGTGTCCACCTCGGCCAGGCTCGCCAAGTCCTCGGCCTGCGGGATATACATTTCAGAGGTCTATAACCCTACTGTGGATGGACGAAATCCTGCACCACCCAAGAACCCCTGAAATGATGATTCCCCTGTAACTACCAACAAATATAGGTTTTCCATGGTTTCAAAGTGGTGCGAACGGATTTCGTCCATCCACAGTATCTCTTGCCAAACCATGCCAGGGCCTTCCAGAAAAGGGGCGTCGAAGGGCAAGCCCAGCGCGCCTCGGCACGCCTAGCACGGCGCGCGCCGGTCGCCGCGACCGCCGCGGCGAGTGCCGCTGGGAACGCCGGCGCGGACACCATCACCGGGGCGCGCACCGCGCTCGGTGAGGTGCGAGAGGGCGACGGGTGGAACGGCCATGACACAGAAGTGGCCCGGGAGATCATCAAAGATGACCTCCTGGTCACTGAGCTAGTGACCATTTGGGCTGTGGAGTCGTGCAAAACGTCAGGAATCCTAGTTCCGATTGCTGACGGCGCGCTTTTTTGGAAGGTTGAATAGTACGTCTGGGCTTCAAAAGCTACCACATTGACAAATCACCTCGCCCAACCATCTTAAATGAGACAGGCCCAAGCCGGTCGCCTTGGATGAATTCAAGCATCAGCATGAATTGATTAAGAGTTTTTTGTTGTTGTTTTTCTCGGACAAAGCCATCACAAGCACAACGTCGACTAAATGCAACCTATAAAATATCCATTCGAACAATCGGTGCTTCTCTTCGCAAGGCGGCCACTTTCAAGGAGCTCTCCCACCCCTTGGGCCCTTGGGCTGCAGCCACATCAGCCTCTCGCGACTTTGGCTTTGAAAGGCGGTGATCAGCAGGCAGGGACTGGACTCGGCGGAATACGTGCAATTCACCCAACTCTCTCCAATCACACCGAAACGCCCAAAGTGCCCCTTGCCCCCCAGAGGTAATCCCCGGCAGATTCACATGGGTATGAATGTGAATAAGGGACCTTTGGTGGACATCATTTAGGTGGGGATTCATGTCCACCAATCACTTTTTGCAGTAGTTCCCTGTTCATGGCCACATGATCATCTGCCTTTGGCACCCCGATTCCAAGCACCCACACCCGACAGTGTTCGCGAGAACCACGGCGCCCCCTTGGCCGGCCAAACGACCTCAGCTGCATCTGACCCACCAAAATCGGCGTTGGGTTCCTGGTGGTTTCCCTTCCAAACCAGCCAGCAGGGTGAGCCTCAAAAAGCGTCGGAGAACAAAAAGAATATCACGCAAATCCAAGGACCCCTGAAATGTTCACTCAGCCTGTGCCGCGCGCCGTATTTCTGAAACCACAAGTCTAGGCAAACATCGGCATAGCAATCAGCCAAGCACACTTTGGGGGGCTGGATGCCTATCAAGTGGTCTGTGTCTATGGGTCAAACACCAAAAATGTTTTGGCCCTGCAAAATCTTATTCTCTCAAGGGGCGAGACATCCCAACCCACTCAGACACGAAGCCTCTATGGCGAACTCCGTGAGGCCTCATACCACTCCTGCAAACACACCCTCCAAACCTCTTCCAACACTCCCTCCCCCCCCCAAAAGAAGAAAAACACAAACAGGCCAAAACGAATCCAACCTTCCACCCCCCGCCTCAAAGGCCCCTCCAAAGCCACCGCACTCATCCCCCGAGCCCCGAATGGCAGCCAAGGCATCCCTGCCAGCCCCTGCAGGACTTTGCCGCAGGTCGCAGCCGCTGTTGGCCCACACCCTGTTCCGCACCTTGGAACTTGCTTCGACGTCCCCTCGCTGGATGCCCTCATTTTGATTCTTCGAAGCGGAACCCAACGCACATTCAACCATGGTGGCCGATGCTCTTGCAAAAATGGCATCCACTGCATCTCGCTTGGCTTGTTTTAGATTGCCCGTTGGTCACCAAAACAAAGAGAGCTTTCTTTTGGCGGCATGAGGCAAGGAGAAATGTATCCAGGGACCCCTTTGGCGGGGTGAGGGAATGACGTCGACCAATCATCCCCAAGGCGGCTTCCTCAATGCGGCTTCAATGGTCAATCCCCAAGCCAATGTCCAAAACCCTGAGCCATTCCCCACTGAGGACCGGCATGCAAAAGGGATTGCAAACTAGGGTACAAAACATGCAACTACCAACCCTGGTGTGCATTGAAAGGACACCAAAGGGAGATTGTTTCAACAATAGTGGCTACAACTGGTTTGCACAACGCGTAGGTTTGTTGGGGAGGGAGCTTGGGGCACCCGGAGCGAACCAACCACCAGTCTTGGGGAAGGGGTGTTTCCGCAGTCAGGGTCCCTCCAAAAGCACTTAGTGGCCTGTTGATCCCTTGCTACAATCTGAAGTTTACCTGGCATGTGTGTGAAAAATATCCCGTTTAAACTCGGTGCTCTTAAAGTCTAAGGGTACAGCTTGGAACTGCCAGGTTGAGTTGTAAGTCCCCATCTAGTCAAAGTTTTCGAGTTTGTCCCCAACCAGTGCAGCGGGACCTAAGAAACCTCTCCTCTCCGAGTGCTTCCAGCTACCCCTTTAGGCAACTAAGGCAAACCATTCAAAACACTCGGAATCATTTGCCAGGATCTTAACAGGTGATCACCTTCTGTGGCCATGACTAATAAAATGGACCTAAGAGCCCCCTCCCCTTGAGTGCCCGGCGATGGTGGTGACACTCCGCCGCGAGGATTCCACCAACAACCCCCCCGCGCCGTTCCTCAGGATGGTGTTGCCTCGGCGCGGTCAGACCTTGTGAGACCACATGGGTGGCTCGTCTTTGAGGGCACCCCGACTTGGGTTGTTCAATGGGAAACCCAAAGGAAACCCACCATATCCCATGGTGTCCCCTATTTTGAGACATGAACATATTCGCTTCTTGGCGAAATAAGCGGGGAACCAGCTAAGCACGACGCTCAACTCTACCATGTACCCATGCTGTGGGGGGTTCTCCAGTACATGTCCCATAGTTTCCTTCCCGTCACGAGCTTCGCCTAGGCTACGTTGTTTTTTAACCAAAACAGCTTTTCGAGCCACCTACCCGAAACGCTCTCCAGGTGGCCCGCCCGGTGAACATTCTTTCAAGCCTTGCCTTCGGTGTCTCGCAGCGCTGAGTTGATTCACACGTGAGTCTCATGCAGCCCAACGAAGGGACCCATTCAAAGAAGTGTGTGTGTGTGTGTCTGGTTTTGGGAGAACATCTTTCTTGGTGGTTTTAAAGTTTTAAAGTAATTCAAAAGGAACACCACTCATTTGTGGGTGCCAACAAGAGAGACCAATACATATATATATATATTTATATATATATACCATACATATGTCACATTCTCCCCAACCCTCTGATCCAGACCGGAACCAGTCTCTTTGTCAAGCAATCCACAACTTCGATTGTCATTTTCCAATTCAGATTGACAGTTCAACTGCAAGCTGTTGCAAGAAACATTACTAGTTGGGAAACGCAGAGTCGAAAGCGCATAGCAGAAAGTGAGGAGCCAATTTTGGGTGAGGACCAAAGTGGAAACCCCTCTGTATTGGCCCCAGTTAATTTGCATTTCTCCCCCATTCAAGGCAGATCTGTTAAGGTGGACGAGGAGTGTTTCTCCTTTTCTTGTTTTTTTTGTTTTTCTTTTTTTTTTTTTTGGGGGGGGGGGGAAATCAAGCCCTCTGCCCTACTTGGCCACCTGTGTTTGGGTCATACATGGGGCTGGCAGGGCCAAGTATGTCCGCAGCGAACATCATTTTTGCACAAATAAAAGAACTGCTTGGCAGAAATCGCGAAGCTCCAAAGGCCCTGGCAGAAACCAGGGCCTGGTCTGGCTCAGAGCAAGTAAACTCAGTCGAACCGCATTGCTTTGAGCAGCGGATGTGATATACTACGTAGTATAATTGCTTGCAAATCGCAGGCCAAAAAAAGCGGCAGCTACAGAAAGCTGCAGATGCAAATCCCTGTCATTCGCACTGTTGCTGCTGAATGAATCTGCAGGCCAAACATGACTCTGCAAATCGGAAAAGATCAGTATTGAAGCAAGTCAGAGCCATGCCGACTCAGACGGCAACCTCACCGCTGCTCAGGCCGCTGCTCAGGCCCACGCCGTGCGCGCCGTGTGTGCGGCGTCTTCTGTGCCCCTCCTTTCTCACCCTCGCGTTGATGTCCACCTTACTAGCCCGGCCGGGCGACACGGCGACCAGGACCCCTCAAAACAAACACCCGTGTTTTTGTTTCTCTCGAAGTGAAACGCTTCCACAGAGCAAGCGAAACAAGCAAACAAGAAGTCCGGGAAAGGTCTCCATCCACGCTGAGCCACGCAGCACACCCTCCACACAGTTAGCAGCAACACACAGGGGCAATAGATCGAACTCAGGACTAGGAAAAGAAGGGACAGCATCTTGGGGTGGACTCTGCCGCCTCCCACGCAAGCTGCATCGGATGTCTGCGTGTATTCCACCCAGCCCCATGCAACCAAGAGAAGAGTCCCAAGGCCAGTGAGGATCTGTAGCCGAAGCCCCACTTTGTACAGCGACCTTTGTCGATTGAAACTGACATCTTGCAAACTGACTGACAAAGGAGGCCCCAAAAAGGCTTTCCTCTGCTATGCATGCGTTTTTTTGATCCGTGTCAGTGTTCACCGAAAAAAGTTACCCCCCGCCTCTGCCCAAGAAAGGCAACCGCCGCCAAAAAAACCTGCACGACAAGTCCACATGCCGCTGGCAGCAGTGGAAATACCCGCATCCAGTCTTTGAAGCTCTCGTAGCGCTCACCTGACTGAAACCGGCCTCAACTCGGCCTCAAGCCTTGTGGTTTCCTCGCAGCAGTCAAGTGACCCTGGGATCTTGCCTGGGTTCCCGACCGAGCTATGGAATATATGAGGGGGACAAGGGATGAGGGGAGAGGGTATAGCTGTTTAGAGACGTATCCAACAAGCGGGCATGCAATTCCCTAGACTGATTGGAAAGAACAAAATCCACCACACAGTCGGGCAATTAGTCCAGTCACATGAAGGGAGGATGTTGGAAGCCCCCATCCAGAAAAGAGCAGGGATCCAAAGACTGCAGCCGCTGAAGCAACACAGCAACCCGAGAACTATGCGTGCTTCCTTCATCTCCTCCTCCTCCGCCAGCTGCGAGGTAAGGCTTCGTACCACAGGTTTGACTCTTTCACAGGCACCGGCAGGGATTCGTACAACTGATTTTTCAGAGTCCGCCATTGCAACTTCAGACGAATGGCCGCACTTGAGCCGGACCGGAGGACAGTTGTAAGTTGGATTCAACTAGAAGGCACTGGTCGAGAGAAAATTTGATATCATATACGTAGCATGTAAACATATACGCATATATACATCTGTATATATATATATATACATATACACAGATACGTACACATACATGTAACAGAGTTCAGAGGGTGAGCCTCCAATTACGCCGTCAAGCAATTGCAGGGCTCAACCTCAAAAGGTACATTCATATGGGCCATGAATTTTAATTAGGGACCCTCTGGTGGACATCGTTTTGATGGGGTTTTATGTCCGTTTTATGTCCACCAACCACTTGCCAGGGGCTTCCTGATTTAGCTTCATGGCCATAACATGTCATTGTTGGCCTTTGATCTAGTTCTACCTACTAGCCCCCCCCAATCTCCCTCGCGGGGGAGATTTGCGCTTAGAAGTCCGGACTCTGGAAGGAGACGGCTACTCGCCTGCAGATTGACATGGGACCCCAAAAAAGGCTCCCCGAGGAGAGTTCTCTAATTTTTTGCTTTTTGTTTTTACTCCGGGGGGGGGGTCCATGTTCATCTGCAGGAGGGTCATGTGCACCTCAGCCTTCTAAATCCCTCAGAAGTATACAGGGATGGCCTCGTCCCGTGTGTCAAACTCGGATTGACAAGGCGAATCAGGCCGGGTGAGTAGCACCCGTTGGAGGGGAATTCGGTTGGGTCCTACACAAAGGCACCGAAAACAAACACGCGACTTTGGTTGTGGTGTCCAAATTTAAACCAAGACGGGAGAGGTCCCTCAAAAACCACGCCAACTTGGACACGTCGTAGAAACCAGTAAAATGCCACTGAATAGGTATGGCAGAACACATCTTGCAACTGATATTCAAAAAGCGGAGAAGCACGAAGGCAAACCAAACCAAATGCCAGAAGCGAAACCTTAAAGAGAAGGTACCCGGCCCAAAAGGCAAAACAGACATGCCGAATCCAGTGCGCACCACCTCCATTAACCAGATCCATAGCCCGGGCGTCCAACATGCATCCAACTGGAAGTGATCAGCTTCCCAGTCGGTGGTTTGGAGCCCTGTGGTGAAACGGGGCTCCCCATTTACTCTCTACAGCTTCTAAGAAAAACGGGACCGGACAATGGCCAGCTTCTGCCAGCTGGGATATGTCTTGGATGCAAGAACCAGGGCTTCAACTCATGCAAACCACCAGTCCAAAGCACCAAGTAAGAGTTGCCTGAAGTGGAGATGCCGAGCAAAACACAAACTGGTGGTCCGAAAGGTTGGGTGCACAAACCTGCGCGTCCTTTAGCCCAGTCCCGTCACACGCAAAGGGCGCCCATTGCCCAGAAAGTACAGTGCCAATGGACAAGGTTCCGTGTCACTGGCCTACATCAAATGCTGCCTTACCCATCCAATGAGTGAGACGAAGCTGGCCTTCTCCTTTAGGCCTTTCGGCCTTTAGGTTCCTCACCTGAAAAGTTATGCAAGCAAACCATGGGCACCTATGGGCTGGGGCCGGAAACGTGAAATATTGGGTATCCCCAAGTAGGGGGACCCCTCTGTTGGGTGGTTTCATACGCTGAACAGGACACCGAAACCTGTAGCCCCCACTTTCGAGAAGCACCCGTTCATCAGGCGCCTCATACGTGGGTGCCAGAAAACGCTGCCCCCGATCGAAGCATTCGCCCGCGTGAAGCAGGCCAGCGGAACCAGCAATGCAGCCCCTGCCAGTTGCACGGACCTCGCGACGGCCCATGCCAGGATCTTCGCCAGGGCTCGGACTCTATGGTCCAAAGAAAAGTTCTGCTCGGGGACGCTGTTACTGTCAAAAATGAAAGATGTGGCATCCCTTTAAAGTGGCCCCTTTGAGTCGCGCCTGATTGTTCGCATGCACTGGGAGATGCGAAGCACTCATCCCAACTCACATGCTACGCCAGATTGCTAACTCAACTATGCGACTGTGATAGCTCTTGCCATCGCCACATGGCATAAGTGCTGGTCTCTAGTTTCAGGCGTGGTTCCCTTTTGCCCTCACAAGGACACACCCATAGAGTCCCATGGCGGCGCACTGTCGCCTGTTGCCTCGACGGACTGAAAAAGGTTCATCTTGCAACTTGCAGCCAATGCCCTCCAAAAGGTTGTCAATTTGGGTGCTGCCTATAATGCGGGGGGGGGGGGGGGCGGGGGGGCAACAAGCAGTACCACCCAAACCCAATTGTGCTTCCAATTAAAGCTACCTCTACCCTCTAACTTCTCTAACTTCTCAGTCTAGGAAAATGTCAGACGCGTTTCTAAGCTACATTCGACACCCCAATGGGCTCCCAGCCCCGAGCGCACTCGGCCCCTAAGAGCGGGGTCGGCGGAATGCATGCGTCAGGCTCTGCAAAAGGTGTGTTCCTCTCAAAGTGAAGAATTCCCCCAAGAAATGAGAAACACACACACACACACACACACACACGCGCGCTATTCACCGCCCATGGGCTTGTTCGGCAGACATTCCTCTGCAAACATCAGGTATGTCAGCTAATCTGTTTCATTAAAAAAAAAAAGCCCTTCCCCTCCGCAAGCCTTGCTGGGCCATCCGGTATTTCAGAAAACGTGTCCTTAAAAAAATCTACCCTAAGATACAAACCAGCCTCTGGCCATTTGGCCATGGGGCATAACCTATGGCTCCATTTTGGGGTAGATTTGTTCATCCATTTGCCACCGATTTTGATGTTCACCAGGCTTTTTGAGGGTTTTGACCCACAGCCATTTTAATGTTTCTTGGTTGACGTTGGAAGGGGGGCAACAATTTCAATTTTAGCAGTTAAGTGGGGAAATCAGATTCCAACCACTAAACCACAATAAGCAAACACACAAACTGTTTCCCAACAATAGCCATGGTTTGGAGGGCGCTCGCTCCGCCTAAGGCGCCGAAGGTCCAAAAGCGAAGGACGGGGCTCCGGCCACCACGCCGGCGCCCCGGTGCCCTGCCAGCGTGGTGCGCCAGATCAGCGGGTTGGCGTCTCCTGCAGCACTTCTTGCCCACAGCTGGACGCGGAAAAGCTCCAAATCATGCCTAGCTACACCCAGTTCTGACGCCAAGATGAGGAGACCTCCAGATTTTCTGGGCGAAACTCGATGCAAGTAAAGCTGTTGATGAAACCTGAATGGGGAGGGAGGTTCATCTGCTTGCAAGTGTACACCCCGCTTAGCCAGATACCCACGCTGGGCCAACTTCCTGTGGGCTGGCTTCTTAAATGCATGCATTTTTCACAGAGCTCCACCTATTGTACGAGCCTTCCAGACTACCTAGACGCTACCTGAACATAGTTCACCTTCAGGCATTGAGTGTGGGATGTTGGCCCCTTGGAGACTTAACACTTCACTGAATGCATGAGCCCGGCGAACGGGTGGCGTCTGGTTTCATGGGCTGTTCAACCAGAATCTGAGTACTTCTTTGTAGGAAGCCAGCCACGGCTCAAGTGTCGTCTCGGAATCCAGTTCAAATTCAAAGTCTTTGCGCATTTATTCCGAGCACGGGGACCCCTTGGACACTTAAGGACAAAAGCCAAGACCAAGCGACTGGAACTGTCAAGTTTCACTCGATGGCCAGGCTTTTGGCCACATGCTCGTGCGGTCCTGTGCCCGCCAATCCCCTGAGATGTATTCACCTCCCCCCCCTTCTAAGTCAGGGAAGGTTGGCCAGGCTTGGGGTTGGATGAACTCTCCGCAACATCATCAACTTCAGAAGGATGTTGGGTGGGTTTGAGGTTGATGTTGGGTCAGTTGGGATCGGCTTGGGGCGTATTTGTGCTGTGCGCAGCTGGTTTGTTTAGCGGTGTCTTTAGGGTTGCTGTAGGGATGTGATTGCGTGAATTTAGGGCGAGATTGTTTTGGTGGTTTGGGGCAACGCCTCACAACTGACAACCAATCCCAAACCGGCCCAAAGCTCACATAACGCACCCTCAAGCAACCTTGAAGGTACTGCATACACTGGGCGCACCTAGCACAAAATCAGACCCAAGACACCCGTGTGAGTCTGTCGCTGTATCAATCCGGAGCCGACATTCATGTGCTGCACTTCAGACCGACCCATGCCTCAGGCCTTCCAACCAAACCCCACAGGCGCAGCGGGTGATGTCGCAAGCGGCCACCTGCATGCGAAGCAAGCAAGGCTTGGACGCGGCGGACCTGGGGGGTTGCAACCGCTCGGATTCAACAGCTTCTGCTTCTCCGCGAACTTTGTGCTTATTCCTCTCCCGAAAGTACTTCATGACCAGTCACCGCAGGTTGACAGAACCCCATCGTCCGCTCACAGTCACCAAACCTGCCAGAAAAGGAATGGAACGTGTGGTTAGGAAAGCCTTAGAGGGCAACAACTACACAAATCAATCTGTTCAGAATGTGATAAGCGGTCAGAAACCACTGTCAATATCCCGCTGGCGTCCAACTGTCAGTGAATTTTGGTCAGTAAACATCATGTTCAACCGGAATTGTGAGTATGGACGACACAAATAAACCAAAATATGAGAGGAACCATTCAACGTTAACTGCCAAAAATGTGGCTTCCTCCTGGTCTGCTGGTCTGGCGGACAAGGCAATGTCTTGGCCACAGTACCAGTAAATTCTACAATAAGCCCAACCTGGATTCCCAAGTCGATGACCCACATCATGTTTTGGCTCCTACCCCCAAATCGCATAGTTACATCTTATTTTCGGAGGCATGCGGCAGAACTCGCTCAATTCCCTCCCAAACGCAAGCACTGCACAGGTCACAATTGGTCGAAATCATTCTGGCGCTACAGTCCCGTGCTAGTTTTGGATGCGTGTCGTAAACGTGTCAAAGTTGGATTTCGTGGCAGGTCCAGCGCTTTGGATGATTTTGAGTTTGTGGCAAGCTTACTTTGCGTGAAAGGCGCAGCAGTTTCGAGCGTTTTGGTTGAATTTCGTGGCAAGCGCGGCACTCTGGAGCTTTTCGTGCAAATTTCGTGGCAGGCGCAGT